CCAGCAAGCGCCTTGTCGACTTGGCGCACTCGGGCCCCCCCCCCCCCCCCCTCTCCCTTCCCGGGTAACCCCGGGCCCGGGGGCATGTTCGATCGGACAAGTTTCGCACTTGGGCGTTGAAGCACCTTCGGGTGCGCAAAACGTTTTGTCTCTTGGTTCTATTTAGGTAAAGGTTGAGGGGTTTGGACGGTTGAAGTTTTTTGTTTTGTTTATATAAATATATTTTTTTCAAAGTGTTGGGAGGGCTAAGCGAGGATTGAGCCAGCTAGAAGAATCATGTAGCTCAGGCTATCTAAATGTAAAGGGATCAATGACATTGATTAGCAAGTTTACCTGTTAGTGTTATGTTTATTTGATAAGCTGTTGATTGAAAATATTTATCCCATTAGCAAGTTGAGAGCAGACGGTACATGTTTAATCACGATATTATAACGCTAGAGAAGACATTCGATGTCTGTGAAAAAGTGGGCAAATTTCTGAGCTTGTCGCAGAACAGGAGGGCGCGAGTGTCTTAAATCGATATCCAGTGCGTTTGCAGTATTTGAAACTTGACTTGAAATTATCTCCTATGATCGAGTACACAAATCATGCGGCACGATGGTATATGACGCAGAGCTTCTACATAATATTCCACCAAGTGTAATTTTCACTTTCGATCATCAATCATCAACCAGTAGTTGAAGTTCTGGTCTCTTTGTTTAATATAATAGTTCTAACTGCAAATTCAAGGCAGCAAGTTTCAAAGCTGACTTCAAAGTTGAATTGAAGAAGTGAACGAACGACTAGCGTCGTTGCGACGTGCAACAAAAGCGTTTGTTGAGTGGGCTCACTTTCAATGAATTCAAAGTGTCTAGCGTGGTATTGACCTTCTGAGCATGTACCGGCTATGTTGTATGGACATCACTTCATCAAACGCGTATGGCTTTTTTCATTGGTGTTCTGAACCCCACGAACGACACCGGAGAATATTCGGCCAGAGATCATCTTTTTGGGGCGACGGGAGGAACTATGATACCAGCACTAAGCATTGGAGGATTCTAGATTCGTATAGACTAGAATAATAAGTTAAGGGAATTACAAAGCATCAGAAATTCAGGTTACGATCTAACTCAAAAAGGGAGCAATCAAACAAGTCACAATCCTTCACATAAAAAGTCGTAGGTACAAGCAAATTCATTCCCTCACTTAGTCCCCTTCGTAAGTTGATCAATGATCCTCAACATCGTCTCTCGTTCCTTCCCTCGCTCTTGTAAACACTTTTTCAAATCCTCATCTTTCTTGTCTATCTCCTGTTGTAATTTCTGGTTCTCTCTCGCTAGCTCTTCCACAGTGTGGCCTGGTTGAGCACTATCTGCAGATCCTCTGGCCTTCTTTGTCGTGTTCTCAGACCCAGATGCTTCCCCTTCCACTGCATCCTGAGCAGGTCGACAGGTCAAGGGTGTACGTTTCCGCTTTCTGATTTCCAAAGTGGTAACCTTTTTTCTTGTAGAAGCTGATGCTGCTTCGAAGATTTCCGGGACATCGAAGAATTCTCCCCGGCTTCTGTTACATTAGAAGGGGCCGAGGAAGAAGTTGACCGCGCTCGTCCGTGGACCATAGACGTATGCCTATCAAGAACACCTTTCGTTGCGAAACCAGAGTTGCCTTTGCAACCAGGGACAGAACATTGATATGGCCGAGTGTGTTTGTCCATGTGCGTTCTGATGGATCATGTTAGCCTTTGAAGTGGCATAGAGGTGGATGGATTGAGCTTACTGCCAGCCTGACAGCCATTTGAATGATTGGTTATCATCACATCCAGGGTATGTGCAAACGAATCTACCTTCGGAATCCTTTGGAGGAGCTTGGGGTGCTTGATATGGTGTTGCTGACGCTTGTCGTGGGAGGAGAGCAACGGGATTGGGCGGCATCGAGCTTGCCGATGGTGCTGCAGAAGGTGCGAAACGCAGGGATGTATTCGGCACTGGGGTGATGCTCGAATGAGACTGGTGATCCGGAATGCCTGAAGCGACTTCCGACATCGAATAAATACTTTCCGCAGCAGGATAAGAGTAATTAGGCATCACCCCAAAAGAAGAAGAGTCGGCTTGAAGGTAGGCCCCCATTGCTGATCCAGACGCAGCTGGAGCTGGAATCTCGGCCAGAGACGTTGGGATGGCATTGCTAACGACTGGATATGGATGGATCGCTTCATGAAGTCCATCTCCGAAGTCGATGTTGTTTGAGAAGTAATCCGACCCAGGTGGTAAGGACGCAAAAGTGGGATCGAATGCAAAATCTGCATCTACATTAGCATGTCCCTGCCTCTTTCCAAGAACGAGGACTCACTTGGAGAAAAAGGTGAGAAGCTGTCTTCATTCAAATACACATCGAAGTCTTGCTGGCGAAAAGGGGTATGAAACATCCAACAAACACCCCAAAGCACCACCAGCGAAGGCCAAATGGTCCACGGCATAGTTGTACATTTAGGACGTCGTCGATTTGGGAAGCATCCACACCGTCCTCTTGTCAAGAGGCATTGGAGTGTTTCAAGCAAGAGGAGCGTAAATTGTTCCAAAAACTTTGAGATCCAGAGACGAACGCAGAGTTGAATTTGATCAATGCTGTCAGGTGCTCCCGATACATACCAAAAGCAAGAAATAAAATATACTTCATATATACGTTCCTCTCTCTCGGCTTCTTCGAACTCCTGAATTTGTTGTCTTTTGGCTTCTTCGATCTGCTGCTGTCTTCGTTGTCTTTCCTCTTCTTCGATCTCCCGAATTCGCTGCATAAGTTCTCGCTGGCGTCGAAGTTGTTCTCGACGCTGTCTTCGAACTTCTCTTCTCGTGGTGTGCACATACCAACTCCCGCCCGATTTGAAAGGTGTCGTTGAATTAAAATGTGATCCCATCTCCGACTTTCAACTATAAAAGAAGATGAAAAAGGTATAATAGGCTCAACAATGAATGCTAAATGCAATGCGATTTCACTCTTTTTATGAGAATTCTATCGCTCTCACTTGAGCTTCTTGCAACGCCCGATTCTGCATGTGCGACTTTTTGCCCTGTTCTTGCACTGCAGTGCCAAAAGCCAATGGAGTATCGCCAATGCAGCCTCTTTTTGCAATGCATGATAGGGCGGAAGATGTTTGCGAATCATACGCCACTTCGTCATTACCTGGCTCGGTGAGAGAGATAGGGTGCAACAAATGCAAAAATTCACGAAAGGCTAGATCTTTACAGAAGTAAGAAGGCACTGCGGCGGGGAGCTTGTGACTGCCCCAGCTTGATGTGTGAAGCTCTCTTCTGAAACTATACTTGGGTAAAGCTTGTGGAGAAGAGTCACGTGACAATCACAGCATCCTGCCCATGGGCAGTCCCTGATAGTTGAGCTGGAAGGAAGACGAATGTTGCAGGAAGTCCAAGAGTAAGACTAAGATCACGCAAAACCCATCGCCGCTTCTTTCCTTGAAGTCTTGAAGCTCATAAATTAGACCTCCCCCATCACGTCTTCACCCTAGCATAGCTAGTATCAAACTGCTCCTTCAAAAAGTCCCGAACCATCATCTTTTCAGGCTTCTTCCAGCCCTCGCCACCTTCACAACCTGGAATACAATCAAACATAAATTTTGGGTTGCCAGTAAAGAAGTAAGGTATCGAGTATCTATCTCGTCCGGAGTAGTTCATCACTCGATGCAGGTCGGATGTGTATTTGTGATTTGTCCATCGCATCATCAAGTTGCCCAGATTTACGACGTAGGCTCCTGGGATAGGCTTCACGTCGAGCCATTCGCTAGTGCTCGGTTCCAGGACTTGGAGGCCGCCGACTTCGTCTTGCATGAGCAGGGTGATGCAGCCGAAATCTCGATGTGCGCCAATCCCTGGAAAATTGAGCAATTGATCTCATGTAATGGTTGGGCGCTGACTTACCTCGTTCCTTTTCACTTGTTGTGGGTGTTGGAGGATAGTGGATGAACCTCAGTGTGCCCACTGGACTGTCTGTGAATTCATCAAACCAACCTTCTTCCAGGCCCAACCCTAGTGCTAGTGCTCTCATGACATCGATCGCAACACTTCTGTACATTAGTATCAGATCAGAAAAAGACTTTCAAAATCCGTACCTACGCATGGCGTTCCAGTACTCCGTGCACACGTCTTCGAAGTCTTTGCCTAGACTCTTGGGCCACAGGTTTGGTCCACAGTTGTGATCTCCTCTCAGAACTCTTGGATGATCTGCGGGCAGATCTTCTCCTAGATACAGACCTTCTATACTTTCCGGTGCCGTACCTGGTTCTAGCATTTGTGCACCATGTTTCTCGTAGCCACGGTTGTATTTATTCTTCTTCATATCAAGCTCCAACTTCTCTTCGAGAGGAAGAGCGAAGAAGGATTTGCATGCCGAGGACACACGATTTCGGAGATCAGGAGATATGCCATGGTTGGTGAGCTGGAAGAAACCTTTGTCTTGGCAGGCAGACCTTATGTGCTGGATGAGGTTTGAGCGGACTTCAGAATCGCTGCTGTGAAAAGCTGCTTTATGTGAATATTTATGCGACTGAAGTCATGACAAGGTATGCTGACCTGAGAAGTCCAATATAGGTGGGGCCTTGGATGGTTCTCCTATGGACCCCATACTTCACTTGAGCAATATCTGAATATGCAAAGAACGTAGGCGGAGGAGGAACACAGAGAAGCGACGAGGAAAGTATGAGTGCACGGTAAACGATCTAGAATGGAATAAGCAATTAACCATGGGCATTCACTCGAATGCACAGAATCACCATGGACAAAGCACGCATGCTTGTAATCCTCAGCCTTCAACGGGCCTTGGTTGTCGTAGCCGTCGGAGTTCTCCACCATTTTTCAAGACATGTAAATCTGGGGAAGTCACAAGTGTCGATAAGAAAGGAAAGATAGGCAGCTTCCGAAGAGTGGGAGCAAAGTCCAGGCTCGGCCGAGATGCTGACTTCCAGCAAGGTGGGGTAGTTACACTGCATGGAATGTGTACGACTCTTTCAATACAGAGCTTGACGTTACTATATCCAACAATAGAGCATCTGGACGTTTAGGAGAGAAAAGAAAATAAGTAGTTCACGATGGAAAAAACAAAATACGTCGACCGCGAGATTCCAAAGGTCAAAGCACCTCGCTTCACCTGCTCCATTTGGCCACCTCAACTGACACACTTCAGATCTCCCTCGCAAACTTCGAGCAACGCATCAACGAAATCACCGCACAACTCGTCAATGCCGCTGAGAATGTTGGTTTCTTCTCGATTACCGATCATGGCATCTCTGCCGACGAGGTTGAGTCCATGTTCAAAGTCTCCGAATCTTTCTTCGTCCTCCCCAACGACGTGAAAGCGACAGTCCCCTGGAACCCGAACAATGTTGGCTGGGAGAACATGTCGCAGGTCCGGCCCTCTACTGGTGCCCCGGATGGAAAGGAATCGTACCAATTGCAGTTTGGGGATAATATGAAGGGCTTGTGGATGTCGGATGAGCATGTACCTGGGTTCAAGGACAATTGCATGGAGTTTATGCACAGAGTGCAGAAGGTATCGGAGAAGTTGATGATCTGCTTTGCCAGAGGGTTGGGCTTCGAAGACGACTTCTTCAACAAGGTGCATGATGTTTCGAGGCCGGATTCACAGTCGTGCTGTCGATTACTACATTACTATGCGACACCAGAGACGAACGACGGCAAGATACATCATCGAGCCGGTGCACATGCAGATTGGGGCTTCCTGACTGTGCTATTTCAAAGAGAAGGCCAGAGTGGACTGGAGATCTGCCCAGGTCGGGAGGTCGTGACAGAATTCGCTCTGGGAGATACGTGGACCAAGGTGGATTTGAAAGCTGGAGACATAATCTGTAATATCGGAGATTTGCTCATGTCGTGGTCGGACGATCGCTTCAAGTCGACTTTCCACAGAGTGAAAGCTCCATGTGAACCAGGAGACTACTATGGCGAGCGTTACAGCATTGCGTACTTCAGCCAACCTGTCAAGGACGCTATCATTCAAGGTCCGAAGAAGAAATATCCGGCGGTTACTGGTCGTCAATTCACGGAGAATGCGATAAAGAAATACTTTGCGGCGCTGAAGGCGAAGGTGGAATCGGACACACCAAAGTCTGTTACACATACTCAAGATCCAGTCTCGGCAGCGGTTTCTGCGACAGCGTAGAAGATATCTGTGGGAATTGCGATATTTAAGCTGTTCGTTTGAAGCTCTGTACTCAATTGGTATGGAGACATTATCCAAAAGGAGGATCGGAAAGTCTATGAGTTACAAAATATCAATTCGGCAGACAAGCTGCTTGCCAAGTTCCACCAACTCCCAGATTTCTCTTCCATGCATGTCCCAAGCCTTGATCCACCCCTCATTCTCCGGAATTGACTTCATGATAGGAGGACCACGGTATTGGCGCCAGCGAAGTCATCGTGGCAATGCGACTTGCGAGTCCAGCGATCTCATCCGATACCAGCCCAATGGGAATGTAGGTAATTTCCTACCCTCCAATATAATACAAGCTCTACACTCATACACCATTTGTGTCTTTTTTCTTCACGATATGTCCAAGACCAGATGAGCATCTATTTCTGACAAGGGCTCCCATCCAAGTTGTCTAAAGGATGTGATCATCAGTGCCATGACTGCTAGCAAACCCACGAAGACGACTAGTAGCACGATGATGGGAGAACGCTCTTCCAAGTTCCTCCATTCCCTCAAATTTCTGTTGTCGAAAGTGTATGCGGACCCCCTTGCACAGGAGCATCTTTGACGATGTTGTATAGTGGAAGCTGTGAACGGTTAGCAGCTGATCTCATGGCATCTAGTATTATGGTTTCTACTTTGGCCTCTGAATCGGTCATATTGCAAGCACGGAGATGCTCTCTTGGTGATAGAAAAATGTGTTGTAGTCAATCACGTGGGCGAGAAGTGATCAAGGGATTGATATTGACGGTAGGTAAATGTCCGAGGCAGTTGCACGTCAGAGAAGATGAGTCAAGTTTGTCTAGAGAAAATGGACACTCCATCATGTTTAAGTTGGAATTTTTTGAGATACAATGCGACATCGCGATGTTGGTTTTGAATGTTGGTTGTGCCTTAATGAACCCATCCTGTTGGTTCATGCTCCTAATTATAGCTCAGCGGCTACACTTTTGCGGTACCGAAGTTCGGATACTTCTTCAGCGAGTTTCTTCAGCGGCGATCTTGCGCGTACTCAAACATCTTACGATAAAGTAGTTCACTGCTCCGGGGCCGCATATAAGGTGGAATCATTGTGTTTCGAATAATTTCGGTGCTTCTCTGCGGTGCTTTTCTGCGATCCAAGTTTGGAATCACTTCCCCTGCAATTCTTCCCAGCTGTCAAACGCAAGTACACCTCTCATTCTTCGTCCATTCTCTTTTCAATTGATGCCGTTGGGAATGTACTGATTCCGTTGTCCTCCGACCTCTCTCTCATTCATCTCATCCTCAACCGGAAATTTTCAATCATACTGGTGCAAGGCCAGACCGTGCAATTTGATTTCCTGTTGAAGAACCAGAACAGCAAGCTCATGATGATAACAAGGATCAGAGCAAGCGTGGGGACGTCGTGGATGATGTCGCGCTCTTCCGGTGAGCTTCTTGTTCGAATTCATTGATACCGTCAACGAATGTGCCGTACTCGACTGTGCCTCTTTGAGAGGATTCGTCGGAGGCAGTTTTAAGTGTATTTGGCTGTTGACGGTTAGCAGCTGGTCTCCGAAGATTGTCTGTTCGTCATACCTCTGTTGACGACTCGTCCATGTTGGAGATCTGGAGGGAGAAGCTCTTCTGGTAGAGATAAGATTGCGTTTTCCTCCTATCGCAAGGCCTCGAAATCAGAACTCAGATCTTAACGAATCTAGAGACAAATGACCAGAAGAGATCTGGTTGTGTTTTGATTTGTGAGAAAGATATCCATGAAGTTACGTTGATCGGTCTGGCGAGAGATCGTGAAGGTTTTGAGTCATCTGGCAGTGAAGGTGAGTTAGACCGCTCGCTCTTGCATTTTACAATCTGCACATTCACCGCGACTGCCTTTCCCTCCAAGATAAAATCAGGCTCAAGCCGAGATGAGGGATCTTAATGTCCCCATTATCATTCTACAACAGCAATTCATCATCTGCTGCTTTACCTGCGTCCTTCCTGCTAAGCAATCTTTGCTTCATCTTTGAACCTAGCAATCTGACTACTCTTGTTGTTCTCGATGCCCAGCTCCGTAGTCTGACTTTGAAAGCTCTGGTTGTACTGGTCGTTGACTTTGAATGTTACTCCTCTCGCTACGACTTTGCGAAGTCTTTAACTTCTACCGAGCGCTATGTGCGCTGTCTGCGCGATACTCGTGCCTCTTTCAGACTCAGCGATACACCAACATCTTTCACCTACCATCTCCATCTCAAATTTATACATTCGCATGTCTGTCCCGGTATATCGTCGCTAATTCTCAATTCTCAATCCCGGACATACTCGGCCGTGAATGTTTGGTCAAAAGTGGGACAATGCCAAGCACCTCGATGGATGATCTTCTGACAAGCATCACCAACAAGGTCACAGCTCCTATGTCCCCACCTTTGTTGCATGTCTCGATAAGATCTGTTCATCTCGGCCGAATTGAATCATACTCATACCTCCAAGCGGAATCGTGTCCCGAATGAGCGCCGCCATGCTACGCTTCTCCATATTCGACTATCTCTCGAAGCGGGCAGATAGCACACGAACCCTGATCTTCTATCTAAGCAGTATGGCAGTCCCACATGCTTTTGAAATACCAAGAGCAACACTGGCTGTACATATAAAGCTAAGGGGGAGTCTCTGAAACTCTTGATCCGATCCTCTTGCTCCTTAGGGACATCATGGAGAAATATTCTGCAAGTGTCAAGAATGGCGTTACACGTCGGATTGCGGTTGTTCAGGAGGCCCTCTCCAGTAAAGAGGCGTTCATCAAGGCCATCGAGACGCAAGAGTCTGCAACTGGTCGTCTCGAGCATCGAAACCACTGGAAAAATGAAGATCTCGATATTAGTCCGCCGTCTCACTGGACTTGGGCTTGGTATGATTATGCTGCATTCTGGTGGTCATATGGTATGTAGAGATCTCCAATGACTTGAGGCAACAAGACTGACAGTGTCGAAGGATTCTCATCAGGAGTCTGGAGTCTTGGATCTTCATTGGTGACGATCGGATTAACTTCCTGGCAAGGTATGCATCTCAATTCGTGCTTGGCTCTCAGCTGCTGATGGGCAATGCGTAGTTTGCATCTGTGTCTTCATCGGATATTCCTTAGGAGCGCTGGGCGTGGTTCTACACTCACGATCTGCATCAACTTACCACTTCGGCTTCCAAGTCGAAAGTCGTATCCCATGGGGTCTCCGCGCAGCCTACTTCCCCGTTCTGATCTGAGTCGTGACTTGCACCATCTGGGTCGGTGTATCACTCATTCAAGGCGGATACTTCGTCGCTGTCTGCTTGCGGTGTATTTTCGGACACAATTTCACTGATATTCCTAATCATATTCCTGCCAGTGCCGGTATCAATATCCAGCAGATGATTGCGTTGATCGTTATCTGGTTTGGCTCGTTGCCTTTGTTGAGTGTCCCAATCCCGAGGATTAGACGCATTTTCTCGATCAAGTCGTTTGTTGTGCCACCTGTTACTATTGGGCTGTTTATTTATTGCATGTTGCAAGGCAAGGGCAAAGGAACCGAATTCAAGACTACTGTGCCTATGACAGGGTCAACTCTAGCTTGGGCAATGGTTAGTCCAATTTGATATGATATGGGAAGTCTGCTGATAATTCATAGCTGAGTGGTATCAACTCCGTCATGGGAAAGACCTCTACACTTGTCGTCAATCAGCCTGATATCGCTCGATATGCTCGAACTCGAAATACCCCAGTCTGGTCCCAAGCCCTTGCTCTTCCAATCGGCAACACTGGCTGTGCAGCGCTTGGTATTTTCGCCACGGCTGCGATTAAGAACTCGTGGGGGACAGCGTTGTGGAATCCGTGGGATCTGTGCGACGAAATCTTGACTCGGAACTGGACAGCAGGAACCAGGACTTGGGTATTCATTGTAAATGCAGGATTTGTATTGAGTCAAGTTGCTGGGAATCTCGGGTAGGCTCTCCTCTTCCTCAAGAACAAGGTTAAAGCTCCTAATCTTATCATTACAGCGCGAACGTCATTCCATGGGGAGCAGACAGCATGACTTTCCTCCCTCGTTTCTTGAACATTAAACGGGGCATGTACCTTGCCTACATCCTAGGTGTTTGTATCGTCCCATGGAAAATTCTCAAATCCGCAAGCTCTTTCCTCGCTTTCTTAGGAGGGTACTCCATCTTCCTCGGCCCATTCCTCGGCATCTTCATCACCGATTACTTCGTCATCCACAAAGGCAACATCTTCATCGAAGACCTCTTTCTCGAGAACGGACGGTACTGGTATCACGGAGGCGTTAGTTGGAGAGCGTGTGGCGCTTATTTGATAGCGGTGGTTTGGACGTTACCTGGGTTTGCGGCGATATTCGGAAATGCTGTTCCACTGGGCTGGAGGGAGTTGTATAAGGTTAGTTGGGTCTTTGTTTGTGCTGTGGCTGGGGTGACATACTTTGGGTTGTGTATGATTGGCGATTTTGGGAAAGAGGAGAGGAGGATGGTGTTTGAGCAGATGTATCATGAGGGGAGGGCGATTGTTGGGGAGGATGTGGAGGGTAGTGCGGGGAGTAGTGGGGGAAGTGATGTTGAGGTTGTTGGGGTGAGTGCTGAGAAGAAGGTATGAATGCTATATGGAGAAGGGTTTTTGAGATAATAGTTAGTTCAATATTTCTGTTTCGTGACTTTAGTAACCGAGACCAAGCTATGAAACTGAATCCTTTTGTCGGAAATTCTTTAGTCAACCACAGAAACCACGCCTTCTCCAAACGAAGTCTCTAATTTGTACGATTAACCGGAACTGGCGAGAAAAACTGCGAAGATGAAGGATGCTTAAGCCGTAAGTGAAGATGATGAAATGAGGGTGTGAAATATGTTTTACTGCAAGTCCCAGTCTCGAAACATTCTTCTCAAATTTTATGTAAAGAGCAATGGCTAGTAATAACTATACTTTGCTCTTAGCCTTAAAGAGAACTATAACCAAAGCCTTGAGCTGTAGGCATAAAATGTAGAATTGTGATGTGCGACAGACCTTTTTGTGTTCTCATCGATGTTTGAACAAAGAGCTGGTTTGCTCAAATTCGCAGTTCACGCCTCACCGAAAGCCTTCTTTACCACCACCGCCAAATCACCCAAAGTATCAAACGTCTCCGCCAAATCAACCATCCCTTCGAAATCTTTCAACTTCCCACCCATCAGCGTTTCATCTCCAGCCCTTTTGATCCACACACTAGGCTGTAGCCCAACCTTCTTCACCGGAACATGATCATGATAAAGACTCTGAGCAACCTTCAAAATCTCCTCCTTCCTAGCTCCAAATTCCTCTCCGGCATGCTTGATCAGGTACTCAAAGTTCTTCAAATCAGGCTTATACGACCCGATGTCCTCAGCTGTGTAAATAGCATCAAACTTCACACCAGAAAGAGGACCAGAAAGTGTCTCATTGAATGACGACCGAGACACGTTCGAGAGGACGATGAGCTTGTAATGTTTACCCAGTTCTTGCATAGCAGCAACCGTATCTGGAAATGCAGGCCATTTCCCAATCGTTGAGCCGAATTCTGTAGCTTCGTCTTCGGAGAGTGGGACTGAGAGCTGCGTGGCGAGACGGCGGTAAATCTCGGCGAGGACTTTGGGATAGGCAAGAGTGGGGTGCTCGATCTGGATTGCTTTCTCGAGGTTGGTGTATTCTGTGAGTAGGAAGATGCGGTTTTCTCGCTCCGAGATGTTGGATGGATGGCGTGGGTTGGAAGAAGGGAGTTTTGATGCGAGTGGGAGGAGAGCTTCGAAGATGCCGGTTTCCCAGTCGATGAGGGTGCCGTAGATGTCGAAGCTTAGGACTTTGAAGGCCCTTGGATTGAGGACCATTGTGCAGTCAGCTTGGAGGAAGTTCTCGGTGTTTAGGTTATGTTATTCGTTCAATGACTCTTATATGTTCTGTGGAGAAGACGTTGACATCAGAAAGGCGTGATGGTAGGTGCATCACGTGAAAATGCTTGACTGCAAAGGTGGGTTGCATCGTCGTTCAGAGAATCTTCTGGACAGATTTTATATAGAAATAATGACAGACCCATCCATCGACAAATGCGCCCTTGTGTCATTGAGCCCTGTGCGTTGAGGCTCGTAATTTGTGACAACCCCTCTTTCAAATTCTCGCTTAAGACAGACGAGCAATGGTCAATTTGGCCGATGGCATGTAGAGTACACATGAAATGCACTACTCTGGTCATTCATACTATATGTTCCAGATCTTTGAATTACGGCTTCAGGATTGTTAAAGGAAGAGATACTCTCATATCAGAACTTTAGTTTTGACCAAATGTTTGCGGAGACAGTCCATCAGTCTCGCTCACCACTGACTAATCCCGTTCTTATTCACAATCTTCCCCACATCAGCATCTCTTTCTCCCTCCACAACTCTCCTGAGTATATCTCCACCCGCACTTGGATGACCTGCTCCCATCGCTATGCCCAACTCCGGATCTCCACCCAGATTTGTAGCCAAAAATCCAGGCGTAACGGCAAAGACCTTTACACCATCTTCTTTCAACTTATGATTCCAGTCCAGCATCAACATGTTCAATGCTACCTTTGTACAACGATATCCAATGGTCTCAAAGTCGATTTTCTTAGGCCAGCCAGCAGGCTGAGGTGGTGTTGGGAAGTACTTCTCGCCAGCTTGGGTGATGTTGGAGAGGCCGGTCACGAAAATAAGGCGGGGTTCCGAAGACTTGAGAAGGAGGGGCATGAATGTATGAGTCATGACATTCGTGCCAGCGACGTTCACGTCATATGATTTGGCAAAACACTCGCGAAGAGAGGTTTTGCCGCGGATATACTCGATATCAAATGTTGCACCTGGAAGCTGTTAGCTGATGGGCATCGGGGAAACAGTTTGAGGAAATACCAGCATTGTTGACAAGAGCGTCAAGATAACCTGGACCATTCTTCACTTGTTCGAAAGCTTTCTCAATAGACTCGTCGCTGATCAGATCGACCTGCATGGGCTCGACAGTGTTGGTGGACTCTGGGCATTCCTTCTTCAAGGATTCGATCGCAAGGTTGCTTTTCTCGAGAGAACGGCTGCCGACAAAGACGTGATAAGGTTTACTGGATTGTAAAAGCGCTTTTACCGCTTCGTAGCCAATACCGCTATTGGCTCCAGTTACAAGAGCGATCTTTCGGGCTGCCATTGCAAATATTGATGTCAAGGAATTGAGCTGATGGATTCTGATAATTACTGTTTGTGTGGGATTGAATCAATGCTTCTGGTTCTGTTCATACACCTTGGGTCATGACCCTCTTTATATCTATTTGAGCTTGGCTCCTCGTCACTGGGTAAGGCATAGCTTTGACGGACATTTTGATAGTCCTTGATGTTCGTTGTGGTGTTAAGGTGGAAATAGTAATTGGCGAATCAGGACTACCCTCTCCTAAACCAATTTGGGAGATACTACCGAGCTCAACTTCGGACTCCGAACAGGGGCGTAAATAAGCATTGCTACCTCCGAGCTAACCTCAGAAGGTTAGTGATACTCTCCCGTTAGCTTGACTGAACCTTTCATGCTGAGGCTGAAAGCTGGTGCTTTGTAGTTGGTGGAAATCTATAGGTACGCTTGAGTGAAGATAAAAAAAAAAACAATTTTCCAATTGTAACAATTTTTGCAAAAGCCGTGCTGCATTTCCAATCAACCAGCTATGAAAAACTCTTCAGCATCCTCTCATTCAGCTTCGCTCATCATTCTGATTGCTCGAGGTTGCTGTTATCCTTTGTGTTTGAGAAATTTCTCTTCCACACCTCTGCGTTTCATCAAGGGCGCCTTCAGCGAACGCTCGTCACGTGGTCATGTGACAATAAAGAACGTGTATTCAATGCGAAGCAGAACTTCGCAACCAGTTGAATGATAGGATGCCGAAGAGAGCCTCTTCAGGAATGGTAGAAGAGTGGAAATGCTTTGATGAGCTTTCATCACGGCCTCATTACTTCGTGACCTACTAACCATTCGACGCTAGTCGGCTAGTCGAGTCTCTGAAGTTCTGTTTCCCATCTTGATCCTTGATACTTGATATGAATCGCATACACGTGTAATTCCACGTCTACAGTCTCGCGAGAACAAGCGATTTGTATATGGCTGCTCCACGTTGCGTGTAACCGAGAAGGATGTGGAAACTCTTCACCTTGACTGTGGCATTATTCTACGTCATCTTCGATCCGAAACTGAATGAGCATCAAGTGCTTTGCGAGGATAGAGTCTCCTAGCAACAACTTTCTGCTATGAGAAAACGTGTTGGAATGAAGAGACATTGAAGCTGAGACTTTGTGGAAGCGCTAGAAGTATAAGCGAGACACACGTGACTGCACACACCACGAAGGTTTCCGAGTTCTTTGTTTGCACTTCTTTCGCAACCGCGTTTCTGATTTTCTTGAGCGCGTCTTCTTATCCAATCCAACAGAAGGGCTCTGAGGTTACTGACAGATTCCAAAATGGATTCGAACAATTGGCGCGTCAAACGCGAGCCGTCGGATAGTCCTGCGCCAATGAGAGCTAGAGAGCAAGATTCCAAGCATCAAAACCAACACCAAGGTACAAGATGGGGTAGTGATCGTTTCGACCAACGAGGTGATCGTTATCAGAACAGTTTCTCCAAGCAAGACGGTCAGCGCGATGGGCTTCGAAAACCTGTCAATGACGCCAAGGTAGAAAGAAGTCTTCCTTGTCACATGAGATTTCTGATGCTGATCTGCAACTTTTAGGCAGAAAAGGCTGTCGAAGAAGGTCGAAGAGTCTATGTCGGAAACCTTCCATACGAGGCTACTACGAAAGATATTGGGACGTTGTTCCAGCATGTTGTGGATGGAATTGAAGCGATCAACATTTCTGTGGATCCCATGACAGGCCGCAATCCTTCCTACTGTTTCGTCGATTTCACGCATAGCGATCTCGCTCGTGAAGTCATGCAAGAGTACGATGGGTATATATTCTTAGGTCGTCCTCTGAAAGTCAAGCCAGGTGTCAAATCCGGAACAGGTACTGGTCGTTTCGACGTTCGACCTCGCTATCAACCTGAGAGTAATCAAGACAGAAATGACGCGTTTTCCTTCGATCGTTGGCGCCGTCTCGAGCATCCAGAAGACATAGACAAGGCTGGCCAAGAAGGTCGACGTGTTCATGTCGCAGGTTTGCCAAGATTCGACGGTCAAGCTGATGCAAATGCTCAACTGCGGGAGTTGTTCAATGGCTTCGATGTAAAGGTCATTAGCAAGATGATTTCCACCCCAGAGGAGAGGAGGATGCACCCAGTCTACCACAATTATTGCTTCATCGACCTATCTTCTTCAGAAGAAGCTCAGCGAGCAGTCCAAGAGCTCAACGGAAAGGAGCCATGGGGCTGGCTTATCAAAGTCTCTCTGGCGGGTGGCTCATCACGAAAGCTTGGCGAACGACGGAGATTGTTTGTCAGCGGTCTACCCGAGTTCCCAAGTCAAGAAGCAACTGAAGAGGGTATCCGAGAGCTATTCCAAGGCTTTGAAGTCTCTGTGGTCAGCAAGTTGAATCTTCCTCGTGATCTTAGTGAGGGTACAAATGGTCATTGCTTCTGCTTTGTTGAGATTGCAACTGCGGAAGATGCTGATAAGGCAATGGCAAACCTTGATTGGAAGGAGATGTGGGGTGGGAATGTACGGGTCAAGCCTGCAACCTCAAATCGGCGATAAGGTGTGTGGTAGGGAATGGTGGATGGAGAGGAGTACGAGTGTGAACGAGCCTCAATGAGTCCCAATGAGCGAAGCCTACAAAGCCTTTGAGGGACTCCATCCTAGGCCACCAATACGTTAGCATACATAAATTGTAGCTTTCTTGCATCCCAAGACACGTTGTGTTTGTTGCTTCTGATTTGAGAAAGTGCTTTATAGCACGTGGTAACTTTAAGTCCAAGGTGATCACCGGAGACGTTTTTATTGAGAAAGAACTACATTGGTCTATACCATAAGTGTCAAGCGGCAGATATGATAAGTCTTTTTCTGGGCCACAACTGCAAGTGGATCTTTTGTGTCAATAAAGTACTCTTTTATAATAGTAGCTGTGCTTACAGTTGCTCACACGTGCAGTGTCTGTCCTCAGTTCCATTCATCTCAGTCCCGGTAAGTTTTGCACTCTTTGAATCTGCGTCGCTCTGGAGAAGTTCATGTTTCATTTACATTTGTCTTGACGTCTAGTCATTCGAGCGAGGCTAATTTACAGATGACCTGCCATTCAAATTAATTAATTATTTTTCAAGCTTGCAATAGCCTATGTGAAAGATGATGAATAACACTCGGTCTTACATTCCATGTTTAAAATACCAATTCGATTAGCTTCGAAGTCTGCCAAGAAATCTTTCAATTCTTTCGAACAGCCTGACCTCCAAAGCTGAAAATTCATTCCAGCCGAAGATGAGGCGAGATCACTCATCCTTTCTTCTTCTCCTTTTTTCTGAGACGCACAGGCAATCAAGCTTCATCATGGGTGAGCATGGCTCCAGCCTTCAGTTGGTTGCTAGTAGATTGCAGCTGTACATTGGATTATGTGAGACTGTGGCTGCATAAATGAATGCGCATTCGCCTGGGGCCGACAATTGCCTCTCAAAAGTAACGGCTTGGTAAAATTCTCACTACGAAGGTTCATATATGAAACACTTGTTGTTTGGATGAATATTGAATCAAGTTACCAAAGAGAATCAACCTCACATAGCTACTACAAATTAAAATCAAATTATTCACCACGACACCACCTCCAGCAGAATCCAATTATAGTCTCATCTGCCACGATGACTTCAACGGCTCCAAAGACTCTCTACCCAATCAGAACAACTGGTCAATCATCAAACGCAGGTCCCAACACCGGCAACAACGAAGGCCAAACCTACACCTCAAACACCACCAACAACGTATCTTTGAACGGATCTGGCATTCTCTACATCGAGCCCCAGAAAGACGGAAACGGCCACTGGAAATCAGCTCGCTTGGAAGGAAAATCAGCTTTCTCCTGTCCAGCAGGACACAGAATGCTTCTCCAAGCTGAGATCCGCACTGGCACGTTCCCATACAGCAGCCAAGCAGGAATCCGGCCAGCGTTCCGTGCACTCGGGAAGGATGATCGCAACGGTATCCCGTGACCCGAGTGTGGCAAATGGGGTATCCTCGAGAATGCACATGGAGTGGCATACACTCTCGCCTCCTTACATTATGGGCCTCATGACGGAGGAGAACTGTCGCGAGGAGGACAGAAGACTACCTTTGTTGTGGAAGACTTTCATACTTTTGCTATCAAAGTGAATAGAGTTCAAGTGATTGGAAAAAGGAGAGTTTGCAGTGGTTTCTAGATGGGAAGAATTTGTTTACGGTGACGGCAGCGCAGGTCAATGATCCTGTGCTTTCGGGAAATGTAGCGCATAAGGCTTTCTTTCCGATTTTGAATGTGGCGGTGGGCAGTAACTTTCCGAATGATGACGGGCAGCCGGATGGGAATACTGTGAATGGACCGGGTAGTGGGATGCAGGTCAAGTATGTGGCTTTTTACAAGTCTAATTGAAGGTTTCAGGTCTAGGACGGAGGTCTAAAAAGGAATGGAGATATGAGAAGTTCTGCACTAGTTATTGTGTAACGTCGTATTGCAGACGCGGCCCATGAAAGGAGGAATATTCACTGGGAATCCCATATACAGATATTGGGTTCCAGGTGGACGGTGACCTCGCTGTTGACTGAGAGTGAGTGTTCGCTAACGGTAGCTGATGGTGAATAAATGATACGCTGGGTGGTCCAGAATCGTGTTTAATACATCACGTCACTAATAGTTGGTGTAATCTCCCTTGCTCTTGGCATGATGCCAAGTTCAATTTCATCGCTATGATTCTGCGAAGCTTTGATATTCCATTTCCAAAAAGCCGCTGATGGAAGTCAACGGTTCCAGATTCGCCATTCACCTATCACTTTCTTGCCAGTGCACTGGGCTCAGAATGCCTCGCTCTTGCCCTTCTGCGGTGATCTAGTCCTGGTACTTCTCAAGTACGCCATTCCAAAAGTCTGCCAGAGGCCCAGAGGTCCTCCCCACCGCCTCTCTATAAACATCTCGCAACATCGGCTTGGCGAAAGCGTCACTGTTTTGTAGTTGGAGAGTAGCACTCTACAACAGGTGGCCAATACGTCGTCCCTCGGCAGCTGGATTGGATTCATTTTCAGCATCTGTGGTTAGGCGTGTCAAAATTGGATTCAGGCTCCTGGCGACTTGGACGAGATCATCTACTATTTGCTCCATAGTGGTGTTGATGCCGAGCTTGATGAAAATTAGAAATATCGATTACAGAACAGGGCTTGACTTACATTGGCGGGGAAGTTGGCCAAGCATTCGGCAGCATCATCTTCGGTGAAAATCATCGTGCTTGATTATTGTAGACTTTTGCGAGTGTTAAAGAGGGATTTTGTGATGATCGGACTGATTCAAGTTGTCAAAGCTATTCCAAATTGTGGTATGTTCTAGATGAAGAAGTGCAAAGTCGCAGGTGGAACTCCGAAGTCTACAACGCGCAAATAAGGCTTTCAATACTGGATCTTGTATAGCGCGACTCACTCCGTCTGTTCCCATTCACAAGTAGGTAGCGAGATGAGTCAATAGATAGGCAGAAATGAATTCAAAGTTTTGATTGCATGTTACATGCATCCTCAATTCTCAAGTATAGTATTTTGATTTCTTTTACAACCCGTCAGGTTCAGTTCATTGCACTACTTCTATGAAGTTGGCACTTCGTCTGACATGACTGCTCTGAAAGTCTTGCTGAGAAAGACGTCTCGCTGACACTAGTCACGCTGTCAAAGGCAAATATTCGGGCCCGCCGTTGTCAGGGTATCGTATCTGAGAAGAGAAGGATGATTTATTCTTCTATGGAAGGAGCGTCGCTATAATAGCAGGCGCGCTAACTACGTACTAAACTACCTCATGTGACTCTGCTATGCTACCGTGATAGCCGTCTCCTCGCCATGCCCACAAGTCCGCCTCTGTAGCCTAATCTCAGTACGTCTCACGCACAGCTCTCCAAAATGCAAGTTTGTACACTGTACCAAAAGCCGCATACAGATCAATGTACTCCTTCATCACTAACTCCAAGCGGACCCTGTTGCTCTGTAACTGAACAGTATGCATCCAAAGCAGTTGGCCAATACGTCGACCCTCAGCTGTCGGATCAGGTTCAATATCAGCATCTTCTGACAGACGATTGAATGTTGGACAGAGGTAAGACGTAAGAGAGATACTAGAATATCCATCATAAAGGCGGAACTGGATTATATTTAGTATGCATAATACCAGTGCAATACATGACTTACGTCGGAAGGAAATTGGGCGAAGAGTTCTTCGGCATTTCTTTCCGTGAAAATCATTATGCTTGATCTTTTGACTCTTGTGAACTGGCAAATCTATTGACACTAGGCGAGGCGATAGTTGAATTGCCTTCAGATTGCGAAAATTTCTGTTAAGGTTGAAATTGCATTGTCTTTGTGAAGGAAAATGTAGATTGACTACTTAAGTCGCAAAGGGCGCTTCTTTAAACTCTCGATTCGGTACACTGTGTGATTGTTCTAGTCCTATTCACCGATACTACCCTTGCTTTGCAAGTCATTGTCTGCTAGGAGACTTCTGGAAAACACTAGCGTACAACATCTAAAAGGATATTTATAGGCGAAGTTGCGAAACGATTGACACCTTGTACTCAATACTCCGCGCCAACGAACATAACCTTTGTCACAAACACGACACTGCAGAGTCACCTAGGTCGCATAACTTAAAACAAATACTGCGAACGCGCCTTGCTCATCTCCAAACCTACTCTTCTTGAAATTTCGCTATCGACATCATGGCTCCAGCGGCTCCCCGCTTCGGTGAAGCGCAAGCTATTGAGTTCTTCAAGTTATATCCCGATTCTGTGAGTCTACCTCTACATCATCCAAGTTGAGCATCATACTAACTTCCTTCAAGATCGATTCTATCCATGGCCCCGAGCGCAAGAAGGCCTGGACCGAGATGATCAAGTCTCTGGCCACTCTCGTCAAGCTGATGCTCAAGGACCCCGCTCTCGAGGCAGATCCCGTCGCTGAAGGCCAGCGCGTCGGAGTTCTGCTGTGGAATACCGGTGTCCTCGAAGTTGCTAGGTCTCGTCATCAAAGCCACTACAGTCGCACTTTCGAGAACTTCGCAAAGGTTGCTCAGCGAGCTGGTCGAGGCAGCCATGCTAAGTTCTATGCGACTGTCAGCGAGAACCTGAAGGATCCAGATCAAGACGAATGGCATATGATTGAGGATAACGACTACAAGTGAAGGAGGTGGTCTGGAGGCTTCGATGGAGTGGACACGATTGTTGGACCTTAATGGGGCACATTTAGGGTTTGACTGGATGCGTTCACTTGGCGGCTGATTTGGTACTGCGGTATAGGCTTCTGGCGGAAGATTCTGATTGGATCTGCGTGAGGTATCTGGAAATTTTGGAATATCGAAACCGCCAATACTGTGCAGAGTGGAGGCATAGAATGAATACTCGGAGGCGGTTTTCTTTGGCCCCAGAATTTCCATTCTCAGTTTGCAATATAATGTGTGTCAATGCGACGACGGAATATGTGTCCATACTTTCACACCTATCAAGCAATAATAGCAACCAACCCTAGTTCCTCTGCGCAAGCCCCATCATGAATGCAACCTCGCAGGTTGGGCAGGTCTTAGCACAGGATAGTTAAGAAGATGAAACCAAAATCTCTCGTTAAGCTTTCTCCTTAATGTTGAGCCCTCTCAATTAATAAACTCGTTTTGAATTTTTTGAGGGCCAATACAATTTCACATCTCTTGAACCTTTTTCAATCACACTGGCTGATGACTCAACTTAGATTCACATTCAAGACTCATAGAGAAGAATTGGTGGCAACCTCTATGGGTGAGACAGAAGTTTGTCCTTGCCTCCACAGAGCCAGTTTTCTGCTGCAGAAGCAAAAGAATTACTTGCGATTGTTGCTTGTCATATCTAAGATCGTGGAATTTCCACAAAACAGTGCACAACTGGGACGATTGCAGTCCGCTGGTATCACTTCCTTGGATAAAAGTAATAATAGAATTGGCATCCATCCCATCTCATTGCGCCGTATCCGAGGTTCATTGTAGTGGAAAAAGGCGCTATCATTTTGTGATCTGGCCTTACACCTCTTTCGAAACTTAGCTGCAGCAGATTGGGTGCATCCACAAAACGCTTGGATTGCTTGAACGCCATGACCGAGGCCAGATATCGCTTGACTACGACTTAATGCTTATGCGGATCTATTAAGAAGTAAGTCACCTATTATAGAGATAGTATACAAAGAGGAGAATATTATAATTGTTATCGAAACTCCATTTTCACGATACTAGCAATGAATTTTCGTCCCGGGCGTGTGACGATATAAAGTGAGGCTGAAAAGCAGGCTGAAAACCATGACTGAAAATCATGATCTAGCCTTGGACCCCTACTTTTAGCGTGCCCACAATGTAAATAATATCAGAGCTTCTTTAGAAAATTTCCCTCTTTGTAGACAATTTACGTATCAAACCTTAATTAACGTTAAGACCTTACCTTAACCAAGCGTCTACTTTTGCACTGTAACCAATTAGGGGTTGACTAGCTTATAGGAACGTCAAGTCTTACAGAACATCATGGTGAAGACAAAGTAAAGATCCGTTGAATTCTTGTGCCTTAAGAACTCATGTTCGACACCTTCGACAGTGTGATCAACACCCGTACGGAATTTAGCGATATTGAAGAGATAGCTGCGCTCCAGACAAATGGCGGAAAGCCGATCCAACGTTAACGCCATCGGAGCAATTGAGCAAATCGAAACATCAAGAGACTATAGTACAGGCTCTGACGAAAATACGATGATCCAGGACTAGAAAACGAGAAACTACAGGCTAAGCTTATAGATCAGGAAAGTATGTGGGCTGAAATCGCTTTGTCGATCAAAGATGCTAGAAACAAGAGTCTCTCTACTCTTCTGACAATGCTAAAGGGTGGACCCCTGCGACGCAGAGCGATGAGTCCAGATGCTATTGTTTTTTAATTAGCATAACCAGGGTTGTTAGACCGTTAATGTCAAACAACGATGGTTCCGCAGGCTCTATTTAGTAGCTGAGCCACTTCTCTTTCAAACGAGGTAACCGTTGTGATAAGACTAGACAACCGCGTCTATAATTAGCACACAATTTCATTTCTCCTCCAACAGCCACTGCACGCCAGTCTCTATAGGATTTAAAAATACTCTTAGTCTCAAGTTCCGACTTTCGACCTACCCGAATCCTTTTCCTTTTTCCAAACAAACTCATCAAGCTTCACTCGATACTCATGTGCGGTCTGTCATCTGAAGTTGCCCCTTGTTTACGCGCTGACATGCCAGCCATATTGCACTAAGGCTCATCCATATTGCTCTGAACGCCCCCTACTCTCAAACCCCCACCCTTGTATATATCGCGCGTGTATCGCGTATATACCCGACGATGATTCTTAATAGTAGAATACTCTCCTGCTCCTCTGACAACCTACCTTCGTCCCTGACCACCACCTTACGCCCGACCATGCACACGATAAACATATGCCTAACCTGGATTTGGTTATTTATGAGCAGCGTGAGCAAGGGGATGCAGCCTAATCAATTCAATCGAGGTATACAATATGGCTGAAGGGCAACCCGCGCTCGCTTAAATCCTATGTCGCTGTGCAGAACGTTATACAATAGTTGGTCCCACTTATGCTTCTACTTTGCTGGATGCGAATTTGTTGGGTCGTTAGTATGACTATATCATGCTTCCAGAGCCTTTCTTTGACGTGAGATTAGAACTGTGATGTGAATCATTGACCCGGCCCAACATTCAACTAACAAACTTTATTCTGCTTCTAATAACGACTCTCCTCTGTTTAAACATTCTTGAACTATTCTCTGTTTCAAGTTCGACGACATCTAGCCACGTTAAATGTTCGTCGGAAATAAGTCGCAAACCCAGTCTCTCGATACTTAAACGCTAACCTTCATTCAAACTTGCGCCTTGTTTTCTCTGAATACAAACACTCGAACCACAATAATACACCTCCATCTCCACCCCCTCCACAGTACACAACTACACAACAGACAATCCAACCTCAACAACAAAGATGACAACCTCTCCACAATTTAGTGAGGCCCAAGCCTTTGAGCTCTTCCAGCTCATCGACCGCCCCGTAGGTCCCTTCTCACCTCCCAACAACAACCCTCACCTAATGACGGACCAACAGCCCAACAACCCCTCCTTCCCCAATCACCCCAGCTTCCGCCAGAAGCGCATCGCAGCCCTCTTCCGGCTCCTCCGCAACGAGCCCGGAGGTTTCACTCGCCCATTCACCGAAGGCCGACGTATCGCCGGTCTTCTCCTAGAACATAACAATGATATCGTCGGACATCGGGCGTGTGTGGTCAAGAGGATCTTCGAGGAGGAGTTTGAGGCCAGTTACTTGGTTGCGAAGGCGTCCGGTATTCGGGAACGCATCATGTTCTACAGCACGCTGAAGAATAAATACAAGTGGGCTTTCCTAGCTGAGCGTATCGACAAGCGGTGCTTTGTTTGTAAGATGGCTGGGTTGGGGCTGGACGATGACGCGGAGTTGATGGCATTAGGTATGGAGTTCTGATCTTGGTTGAAGGCAATGGCACGTTACGAACTACTGGCATCGACTGGCGGGACTGAAGAGTTTCAACGTTACAACGGAGTAGATGAATATCGAGCACACACACTTGTAGATAAGGGGAGAAAGTATTTTGTGGCGGATACAGTGCGATTAGACGGAATAAGAATGAGCAAGCGTCCCCTCACTCACTTCTTGAATCTCTTGAGTGTGACTATGTTTGCAATTGGAACTCGCTCTTGGATTGAATTCGCTATATTATGAACAATGCTATGGAAGAGTGACTCTTCCAATTCAATCAATCACACACCACCAAGCTCGACCTATTGCAATGGAGGTATCATGAACCAACTTCTGAAGAGGAAAAACGGACGCAGAAGAACAGAAGTGAAAACGGCATACATATGCCAAGCCAGCTCATCTGAAGCACTGGAACGCTCCACAGCTGTAACATCTTCCACGAATCCTTCTTGGTCACTCATCAATTCTTCTTTCTCCGTAGCCAGCTCAGAAGCCGATGCTTCATCCTCATTTTCCCGACTGGACCGTTCCCCTGCGCAGGTTGTTTCTTCAAATTTCGCTGGCCATCATGTTCCACGAATTGATGGCCGCGCTGATCGTCCTCTAACCACTCCCTCTGTCTCGCGCGAGACATGCCCTCGAAATCAGATCTTTCACCATCTTCCAGATGAGTTGTGTTCAATTGCTTCCGCAGACATTGACCTCCTCCAAGGCTGTTGTCGTGATTTGCCCACATCTTATTATTGGACCCGTCCTGTGAGACTGGTATCTTCCCGAGACCCGATGAATCAAGTGGCCTCGAAGTACGCCACCCTCGACGTATTCGATCCATATGCCTTGCAGCTGTGGGGGTTGTTGGGACTGAAATCCCCCGTTTCGCTGGTATCAGATACGGCATGACAGAATTTGATTTTCCTTGAGTGGTTGAACCTTCAAGATCCGCCATTTCGAAATTTTGGAAACTTGAGGCGACCCGTGTGCGACTGGTCGTGGTATTTTTGAGCAATTTTCGATCAACGTGCTGAGGATCGGCATTGGTCACATTTAGAGCCTGAGACGTATCATCCATACTTGACACTGAAACTTGGTCAAAACCACATTTTGGACCAATCGTTGTCGTTGAGAAATATGTCACAAGTCGACGTTTGCCCTTGAACATCTTTTTGCAATAAGACCGTTCTATTCTAGTGGAGAATGCATATGATGTTGAGCGCAGATGTGGTTGCTCTGGATGTGAACCAAGCTTTTTATGCGCTGCTCTGACTTCGTACCAATGGCACCGAGCGAATTCTTCGAGCCTCGGGTTCGGAGTGAGTCTGATTTGTTCTACTATTAAATTTGCAATACGCTTCCCCTTATCATCGCCGAGTGGAATGGTTTTTGGATCGATGAGTTCGTCTGACTCCCAACACTTTCGGAGATCTGCCGCTTTGCTGGCATATTCCATCTAGCAGATGTTAGCGAGAGCGACATAGGTCGACTCGGATGCAAAACCATCTTTCGAAGTATATCGACGTAATTCTTGGCAACATCTTCGTCGAAGCTGCAATCCGGTAGAGGCGTTGATTGTCGGGTAGCTGGTTACGGGTCAGTTCTGACATACGGTTTTTGAAGGAAAGGAGAACTATACGAGAGGCATTGGTAGTTGCATGATTCGATTCGATGGCTGTAGCAGCGTCGGACTCAACACCTTTACCGTTGCTTCTAGCAGAACCTTGAGGCATGGTGAAGGAAGGCGAACGAGCGGTAGTGAGTTAGTAGTGTAATGATGGTGATAATCACAATAATATTGTAACGAATGAAGAGTTACAACGATAAGTCCGTTGATGAAAGGATGATGGGAAGCTTGAGAGATAGATTACGAGAGAAGGCATGGTTTCTAAACCGATTGATGAGAAAGGAGGATCAAGAGGAAGGCACGATGCACTTTGTTGGCATCACGTGCTGCATGCTGCTGTAAGCGAGCCCCTGAGTTGAGTAGACGAGATGAATAGTGAATGCCTGTGATCACCTTTGCGGGAAGAAATCAGTTCGGTTTTGACATTTACACACACAGCAGCCTTAGAGCTCGAGGTAATTCCGACGTAAAAGCGCGTTTTCGACATCGTCTTTGAGCTTTCATCTTCATCCTCAACACAACGTCGACAAACACGTTGTCTCTATCACTGAGAGATCGAGCGCGTTCTGCGGCCGTTCATACACAGATACGACCAGCGCATAATCTAGAACACTCATTCCTGAAATCAAATCGCAGACATGCTCCCCCTCTTCGGCGAAAAACAAGCCATCGAGTTCTTCTCAAACCTATCCCTCATGGTAACTCCCCTTCCCCGCCCTTCTCTGCACACCCACTAACAACTTTTCCCCTAGAACGAAGTCCGCCAAACCAACACCATGCCCACGCCCCGCGAAGCCTACATCCTAGAATCCATCTCCTCCTTCAAATCCCTCTGGCTGCGCGACCCGCTCATCCAAGCAAACCCCGAGGCCGAGGGACAACGTCTCGCTACACTGCTCTACAAACACGCGTCTCGGATGCAGAGCGACCGGGAGTTCTTCGTCAAGGCGTACTTTCCGGCGTGTTTTATGATGAGCAATGTGGATGGGAAGATGAAGGGGGAGTGGATGGGGAGGGAGGAGGAGAGGGAGAGGGTGTTTGAGCCGTTTTTGGGGAGTGCGGCGAGGGTGTGGAACGAGATGGCGGTTAAGGATGGGTTTTGGGATGTGGGGATGGAGGGGGAGATCAGTTGAGGGGTCGAGATGGTTGAATTGCGGAGTGTCTGATGATTAATTAAGGGACATCTCACCCAATGTCAACTTTGATCTGGACTGGCTGCTTGCTTACCGTCTTGACACCAGAACCTCTACTATCTCGCAAAGGCGAGAAAGTACCGAGGCGTATTCCTTTCTTGATGATTCGATGCTGGACAGAAACTAGAAGAGCAGAGCAGAATGTAAAAAGCAGACCTTGCTGCTTTTGAACTTCCAAACCCCATGGGAAAAAACCACAACATTTTGACTTTAAATAGCAGAGCGAAGCCTCAACTATATGCAGCATAAATCCAACAAAGAGCAGGGCAAACCTCTCATTGTCCAAAAGAATCTCAACGATAGAGCATTTCAAAACTCTCAACAAGCAGAAAACAACAGAAACAAAGTAAACATACAACCAAAACCCTGTATAAATCCGAACTCCCTCCTCCTCTCGGCACTTATCAGTCTCTCCTTTTCAACCTCCACCAACTCTCATACTCTCTCATTCCTCCTAAGGACCTTCCTTCTCAACAGGAACTTAACAACAGATCTAAAAACCATGCCTTGATGTCTGATTTCTCATGTGAATTCAGCGCACTCAGCGCACTCAGCGCACTCAGTCCACTCAGTCCACTCAGCGCAACCAGCGCAATCCGCGCATCTTGCGCACATTGCGCACCCAACCCACTCACACTATTACCACAATACTTTCTTCCCCCAACTATTTTCTTTCTCTCACCACTATTCCCCCTCTCCCCTCGACCTCACTAACTACAAATCACGTGCCTCACCCAAAAAACTTTGTTGCACATCGCAAGTTTCCTTTCTCCTCCCCTTCCTCCTTCTTTCTCTTCCCCCTCCTCCTTCTTTCTCTTCCCCCTTTCCCCCCTCCTTCCTTCCTCCATAATCCGGACATTGTACCTCTTCCATTCTCCCTCACCCTGTCTCTCACAAATCAGCCTAGGCCCATAGTCACGTGCCAGCACACTTTTGTTGCACATCGCAACGACCTGTTGCACTGCTCTTTCCTTTCCTTCTTCCTTCTCTCCCACCTTCTACCCGAGGCCGGACATTTGTACCTCTTCCAGGACCCGGACATCCGGACCTGTGTCCCTCTTTGAAGCGGTCTGATGTCCGACTGGTTGGAGAAGATACTGGATGTGGGAATGTCCGAGGGGGATGCGGTGTGCAACAAAGATTTTGCCGATGTGCAACAAATATTGTATTTGGGAGAGAGAGAGATGAGAAATGGAGGAGAGGGAGAGATTGGAGTTTAGTTGGGGGTTGAAGAGGATTGAGAGTGACGAGTGAGTTCCTGATTGCCGATTGACAAGTTGGCTGCACTTGCAAACTTCATATCACCTAAGACTCGCAATTCATTGAAAGTATTTACAATTCATATTATTCGATACTATAAACATTACGTACTACCAGGCACCACTTCCGCAACGCCATTATCTTACACATCCCACTCCACCTGCTTTCCAAATCATCAATCAAATTCCAGTTTGCCGGCCGTCGTGTGGTTAGTTGGATGGCCGTGGGTATTCGTGTCTCTCATAACAATTGCACTCCCCCTCCCCCTCCCCCAACCCCACACCTTATTTCTTTTCCCCTCCACCATCGTCCCCACACCCTTTCTTCATCGAGCAATTTAAGCGTACTCGTCCTTGACACGTCGTTGGCTCTCATTGTCAACGAAGGAACCTCTGGCGGAGCGTCTGCTCCGTTGACGACGAAAGAAACCGACGTTGCCGAGACCGCCGCCAGTAGCACCGTTGGTTCGTCTTGAGCTTCGGACCTTGTCATCACTTCTGCCACCTGCACCACAGCCCAGGAACAAGAAGATGGTTGCGAGGAAGATGGCGGCCCACGCTCCCCAAGAGAAGCCGAAAGCGTAGCGGCCGATCTTCGAGGTAAGGCCGGCACGGTTGAAGGCATCGTGGGCTTTCACGAATTCAGCGCTGGTATTTGTTAGTGTGATGTAATAGATGAGTTGATGTCATGCGAGAGTTGAATGCAACTTACGTCATCAGAGATACACCCATGGTGTAGAAGAAGAGTGCGAACATGAGAACTACGCCAGAGAATCCAGATGCGAGACGACTGCAGGGAGCGAGGAGAGCAGTGAAGAAAGCGACAACGGTGGAGACGAGACCCATGAGGTAGAAAACCCAGCCAAAGCGCCACAGAAAGAAGTAGTACTTGCTGGTTGTGTCCTTTCCGTGACCACTGCAATTGATCAGTCTGCTATTCCTTTAGAAACCATAGTATAATGTAACACATACCCAAGGAAATCGGATGGTGCGCCACTTCCACCTCCAACCCAGGCATATCCGAATGGCAGATCTGGAACGGGTGAGCCGCAGTCAGTGTTGCCGTCACCGCAGACGTAGAAGTATGTCCATTGAGAGATAGGTCGAGCTCCAGTGATGGAGGATGTATCGGTTCGCAGGAAGTACGTCTTATTAAGAGGAGTGCTATCCTTGACACCGCTGAGGACGACGAAGAACATCAGGACGAGGGCTCCTGCGATGAGGATGAGGGACACAGTGCCCATGATACCGCCTGCAAACACATGTCAGCGGTGTACCAGTACGATCGGATGCTCGCAAACTCACGCATTCCGCCGGCCATTGTGTATTAGGTGCTAGATGTGATGAATTGGGGAGAATCGGTCGATATGCGACGAGAGGAGCGAACTGCCTTTTGATGATCTAGTTAGCACAAACAATCTCGAAACAATTGGTCCTCAAGATCCAAAACCTCGGATAGACTGAGCAACAAACGTACCTTGACTTGGCGTTTCGAATGGACAGCACAGCTGCGACAACTCTGAGACTGGTGCGCGGGATTGTTGGATGTTGATTGAGAGGAGGGATCGTGACGGGGAGGTTGGGGTTATTAAAGTGATTACCTTGTTGGTGATTTAGGGTGATGGTTAGCTGGATGTGGCTTGACGGAGCTGTGATGCCAACGATGACGATGCAATCTTCGGCTGTTGCTTTTACAGTAGCTCAAACCTTAAGCGGCCTAGCGGTTATTTGTCCAGGGACTTTGTGCAATTTTGTGCTGAGTGTGCAGTGAAATTAGCTGATTACAGTTTGGCGGCATTTGAAAGCTTCTCTCACGTGTAATCTCTCCACAAGAAGCCCTCAGTCATGACGGCCCTCTCGACCTGTGAAATGGCGCATCTTCAGCTTGAGGGTCCCAGAGTTCGACGTCATCGCACTGTTTGGTCTAAGCTTGCAATCAGGGTTTCGCAAGCGAAATGAGAAGAGGAAGATCATGAGGCTGAGCTGAGTGGGGAAGAGAGGGGAACATCAAAACACGAAGACATCACAACAGCAACGAGCCTCAATTAATGCGGTCGTCTTAAGAGCTGGGATGAAATCGATCTCTGCTTGAGCCTCAGTCTCAGATTCCCGCAGAATCCCAGCAGCAGACAATTATAGAGGTTTCAAGTATGAAGGCATCCACGACTCACGAGTGTTTTGCTGGTGATGCGCGCTGAGCTGTCGTTCCTTGTTTTTGGGGAAACGCCGGGGTGGAGCGGACTTGGCCCGAATGCCAAGCTACACCGCTTCCGCCTGACTGATGACGAGAGACATCCGGGATCATTGTCATTGGAGGCCACGAACTTGACGTTGCGCATATACTTGATCCGGGGATAGTCCCCTTTGATGGAAGTATTGTGAGGGAAGACATCGGAGTCTCTCCTAGGTATTCCTGTCAACTTTCTTCACTCGCTTTCCCAAGGGTCATCTCTTGCGGGATCCACCACCTATTCTCGGACTACAGGCTGTTCTCAAAGATTGTCTTACCTCCGTACTAACAGCAGGTATGTAAGATTCGTTCCAACTGCAGGAACTGAATTCATTCCGAGTTTTCTTTACACATTTTTATTCCGTCATGTGACTCAGTGGATGCCGACCTACTTAGGTAGGTTCCAACTGTTTGAGACCTGATTCGCTAGGTACATGCTATTTCCTTGTATACTTTATTGTCTGGTTATGCGATGCGTAAATATTTTACTCTCTACCAAGTGGTTCATTGTCTGTCTTTTTACATGTATTTTTCTTCATATACCTACGCGCACATTTTACACCTCTCGTCCCGAAAGTTGCTTGCACATCGTACCCTCAGTCGTCTTTTCACTGTCGAATTACAGCCGATAGGGTCTTTATTTGTAGACATGGCCATACTTTATCGTATCGGAGACCCTCCAGAATCAATTGTCCCTAGTGCTTGCTCCAAGATGAGGAAAAGAGTGCTATAGGGTGCAATTACATCGCTATCCTAGCATTTGCTTAGGCGTATATTGTGTCAGCGCGTTGGCTGGAGATGCAACAGTCCAATATCATAGCGCTGTGATAATATATCTGTTATAACGCAAGGCACCCCATCTTTCTTTTCCCACGACTCATTCAACCAAACATTGCAGCTCCAGAGACCTGCTCAAAACCTAAATACCAGCTTTATCGCCTTATGTTCCGAGAAATCGCTATACGCCACTTCCCCATCCTCAATACTATATTCTTTATCAAACACAAAACTCGGCTTGCCCTTCGCACTCTCGATCAGGGTTTTCAATAAATCCTGATAATTATGAAGCTGGACGGGTCCACCCTTTAACGATAAACCTTTCAACCAGAAAGCACCAAGGGGAAGCTGAAGGTTGCCTTGGGTTATTGACATTTAGGAAGCTCTGCAGGTTGGATCTGTATTGTGAGGAATATTTGCATTGAAAATTTGTGGAAATGCCTCTCCATCGGTGAAATTCGTGGGCGATTTTGCGATAGGGCCTAAATTCACAAAATGTAGAGTATTGCGCATAACAAATTAAGTTTATATTTAATATTTTTTAATAAGAACGTAGAATAGTTTCTTGATAAGTTAAAACTTAAGTCTAATTAAAAACAAACTATATAATGGTGTGTAATGTTGGAGTTAGTTTAAGATATTTTAGTGTTCTCGAGTACCAAAATCGGCTAGGAATTTCATAGATGGAGAGAATGCGTCAAACTACCTAGGTATTCTGATATGGACTGGAATGATTTGGCTGTGAGCTATGCCGTTTCCGTATCTAGTCCATCTCCTACTCTAAACTACATAAGACTGATACATTTTCCATCCACCGAACATCACTCTGAAGCTATCTTCAGCTGTTCGCAAAGCAAGCCAGGTACGCAGGAGTGACGTGCGTCACCTGCTCGCTAACCCTGAATTCACTTGAGGCTTGACGAGATTAAGTCCGACATCAAGCTAACCATGTTTCGGACTCAGGAATACGATGTATTAATCATGCATGATTACAAAGTGTCGGAAATACAGCCTCAAAAGTTTGTCCATGGCCGTCTTACGCAAAAGTTGTGAGGGGGTGTGATTTTAAGTCCGAACCTCCGTCGACCTTCCGGCACTATGAGATGAGTATATGACCTTGACGATTTTTACTTCCTATAGCCTCATTATCTTCATAGAAACAAGCTCAACGATTTATCACTTAAAAAACCAAACACAATGTCTGCAGAAAACAAGCCTCTTGTCTGGCTCATCACCGGAAGTAGCAGTGGATTTGGCACCTCCCTAACATTCATTGCTCTAAGAGCCGGTCATAAAGTCATTGCAACTTCCCGCAACCCCTCCAAAACGCCAGAATTGGTAAAACAAATCGAGGGTCTCGGCGGCATCTGGCTCACACTCGATGTCACCGAAAGCCCGGAAGTCTTGCAGAAAGTGGTAGCCGAAGGTACCAAGAAGTTTGGGAGAATTGATGTTCTTGCGAATGTTGCAGGCATGTCTATCATGGGAGCCCTTGAGGACTTCAGGTGAGTTTTAAATCCGTTGTTGTGCTATAGGAGTTGAATGGTTGACGTGTGTGATAGTCCGAAGGAAGCTCAGTTAATCTTTGATACCAATTTCTTTGGTCCGATGAAACTCACTCAAGCTGTTCTCCCTCAGATGAGAGCTCGAAAAAGCGGTACGATCGTCAACTTCTCGAGTGGTGCTGGAATAAACCCTCAAGTGACTATGGGCATGTAAGTGCTGCAAATTTCCTTAACTCCTTCCGAGCTTGAGCGCACCGTTTTTGTTTTTCTGTGGACAAGTCAACTAATTGTCTGGTTGCAGGTATGCTGCAACAAAATTCGCGCTCGAGGGCTTCTCCCAAGGACTCGTCCAAGAAGTAGCGCCATTCAACATCCGAGTCTTGATCGTCCAACCAGGTCCCTTCACCACCAACATGGCAATCGCAGGTACTTTTACCGAGAAAGAAATGGATGAAGAATACTATGCAACGGCCATGGGAAAATTCATTGATGTTTTCAAAGGCGATCCCGGAGAATGGAAGACTCCTAATGACGTCGAGAAAGGTTGTCAAGCTGTGTTTGAAGTAGTGACTAGAACGGGAAGAGGGAAAGGAAAAGAAGAACATTTGAGGTTGCTGCTCAGTAGTGAAGTTGCACAGAGAGCCTTGGACCAGAATGCGAAGATTAAGGCGGGGTATGATGCTTTTAGGGATGTGTGGGAGAATACTAAACATGATGGTGGAGTGTCAAAGTCATATATGGACCTTCAGAGAGAGAAAGGTTTGGTGCAGAAGTAGATCGATACATGCACAAGCTCACTCTTCATCCCACTCGAGAAGCGTAACATAGCCATCTACATTATCGGCATGATGCTCTATAGATTTGGACTCGAAGCCTTCTCCGGTTTCATTATAACTTTCGCCACGAACCGATACGACAACGAAGCCAAACTTTCCCATACTATTCCGCAAATATTTTTCAAAATCTGACTAGATTGAAGCTTTCTAGCTGTTTGAGATCTGATTCACTAAGTGCATGCTCTTTCCTTGTATACTTTATTATTCACTTGTACGACCATCTTATGCAATAGCCGGGGATAGACCTCAGCAAGCTCTGGAAGAGCCGTGAGGGTGGCCTCCACTTGATTCAAAGCCGGCAGCTGAGTTGGATTGACTTGTGCGATATTTAAGTACTTTACTCTTGACAGACACCAACAGCAAGACTAATCCTTCAACATAGACATTCTGCCAGTTGTGCAGAGCAAGAATTTCGCTGGTGATGCTGGACTTTGGTCGAGGCAGCTCAAGTCGAGAGCGCTTGGAGTTATGACCAAGAATCGGAACTTGAGAATGTTCTAAGCGGAAACACAACAATCAAAAAGCGAAGATATTCTACACTGCACCACTTATCGGACAGATTGAGCAAATCCTTGTGCTCTAAACCCTCGGCTCGTGGAGTGAAACAATAAGTAGAATGGTCTGTACAAAAGTTCATTTTCTAAACAATATGAATAACATATCTCCCATGTCGCAGCCTAACAGATTCTCCCTCCACTTCTCTCATCTCTCCACCTTCTCGCGACAAACGAACACTCTTCGCACCCAGAGGCAACATCACCCTCGCCTCCGTACTCATCGGAATCACCAACTCCAACCTCACCACCCCATCCTCCCTCTTAAAATCAACCTCAATCCCACCATACGGACACTCGAAAGTCCCCCTCACAGCCCCAAACTCATTTTCATACGGCGGACTCACAACAAAATCCCTCCACCCATCCCTCCCAACCTTCAATCCCAACACAGCAGTATAAAACCACTCCAAAATACTCCCCAACATGTCATGACACTTACTCCGACATTCATCCTGCCAGAACTCCAGGAGCGTTGTTTCGCCCCTACGCAAAAAGCGCATGTACGAAGGATGTTCCTCCTGGCGCGCCATCTGAAGGACCAGATCTGGTCGATTGATATCATGTAACGTGAGAAATAGGTACCGCAGACCAATTTCGCCGGATCGCAGACGGCCGTCTGAGACATCGTCCAGAAAGGCATGCGTGACGTCCGCCTTGTAGATATCGGGCACCATGTTGAATTGTAACGCCACAGCTTGACACACAGCGTCGCGGTCTCGAGCCGGGGGGTTGTCGAGAGAGGTGTAATACGCAAAAGGATGGTTAGGATCATCTGTCACCAGCAGATGTTTGTTATACACCTCGTAAATTCTTGCGGCTTCGTTTCCCCATCTGACGGCTTCATTAGGCAGATCGAGAATTTGGGCAAAGCGTTCCATGCATTTCAGACATTCGTGATAGACTGCCGTCTCGATATTGGCTTGTGCGTTCCCGTGCGCGATTCCCCTTCCCCAGTCCCCCAGACCGTGCTCGATTAGTCCCCCTTTTCTCTCTTTCGTTTTAATATACTGCATGTATCGCTCTCCCGCTCTATACATCCTTGGAATCGTATGCGTCGACCCGTAATATTTCCTCAGTATATCAGGAATGAATATCAATGCGCAGCCCCATGTAATAGTATCATGTAACGGACCACACATGTACCTTATTTCCGGCGCCATGGTAGGAACTAGTCCATTCGGTTCTTGGGCGTCGAGGATATCTAGCAGGATTTTGGTGTAGAGGGATTCCATGTCCACCATGTATTGTGTTGCTGGTGCGAGTAAATGTGTTACTTCCAGCCATCCGAATTTCTCAATCTGAGGACAGTCGGTGTGGTAGCTGAAGAGGTTGGATGCGAATGTCCATTTCAGTGCAGAGAGAAGTGCGTTTACGTCTTCTTTATCGGTGGTCATGGAGCCGAGACGGCGAGATGCTGAGGAGACGTGTTGTCCGACTGCTGAGTGTATGATGGGGAGATTCGAGTTGACTTCGAGTGATACGCCGTCAATCTGTATGTAGCGGGCACTGGTGAAGCTGAATTCTGGCTCCCAAACCTCGGGGCTTCCTGTCCCAGCCAGGAAAAAAGTCGAGTAGACTTTTGTTTCGAATTCTTTGAAGAGAGGGTCAGGCATCTTGATCGTCCCGTCTTCGTACGCCGTTTCTCCGTAACGGATTGTGATTTCGGAACCTGCTTGTCCTTCGACGACGATCTTTACCATCGTCGAAGCATTCTGGCCAAGATCAAAACATACAACGCCAGGTCTTGGAGAGGAAGTGGAAATCGGATGGAACGTTTCGCGTCGGATGACAGGAGGTTGACTTTGGTATTTCAGGAATCCTCTTGGGCCCGTAAGTCCTTTCGCCGATGCCCAGTCACTCTCGTCAAAGTCAGGAGCGTCCCATCCCACCGGAAAGACTCTTCGATCATGCGTCTCCGAAGCGTAGATATTGGCTAAAGTAGTAGCGCTCTTCCTGACCTTCCACCTCGAATCGGATATCACAACATCATGGGTTCCATCCTCGTATATCAGATGTAGTTCGGCAAAGAAACATAACTCGTTTCCGTACCGGACATAAGTATTATCTTCATACTTCGGCCAGAAAAATCGGTCTCCTTGATCACCGGCATAGAACCCATTCCCGATATGTGCTCCCAGCACATTCTCTCCCACCCGCAGCGATGATGTCAAATCATGAGCAACGAACTGCACAGCACGGTGATAATTCGTCCAGCCAGGATCGAGGACATGATCTGAAGCCGGTTTTCCATTCACGCTGAAATTATGATGACCAAGTCCAGACACAAACGCAATTGCTCGAAAAGGTACTCGGTCTAGCTTAAAAGATCGTCGAAGGTAGATGGGTTTGTCTCCTCCGTCACCGATCCACCATGCTTTCCATTTGTTCTCGATATCTTCAAACCAGGTGCGAAAGATTAGGGCGGTGTGTGCCATGTATGTCCGGTTCATGCTCAGTGGAGGTAGGAGTTGAGATCGTGGGTAGGCTGTGAAGAACATGTTTTCGATGCTGGTTGTTGCGGTGTCGTGCTGGTCGAAGACTGTGATGCACCAGACGTACTCTTGCGTTGATTTGAATCCTTGTGAAGGCTTGCAGATTATGTCTCGCTGGGCATTGCTTATTTGTTTTTCCGAGTCCCATATTACAGGGTTTCTCTGGGACTGTTGCCCATCTTGAGGCACGACTTCGAAGACGCGGACTTGATATGCTGTTTGGAGGGCATTTTCGTCGTCGCTTTGAAGGGTCCAGAAGAATCGAATCTCGTCGGTGTCAATTCCAAGGGTTTCGTGGAAGCCATGTATCCCACAGCGTACGACTTGTAGCATAGTGAGAGGTTGCAAGCAGAATTGTTGGATTCTGCTGGTCTGATCTCAATGACATTTTCCTGAGCAGCATCATGAACTCGGAGCTTCGTAGACAACATTTTGAAGAGCTTAAAGTGGATCAAGTTTCGGGGTGAGTGCTGCCGAGACGTTCAAGAACTGAGCACTATGAGTCCCAAATAAAACTTCTTCGTATTTCGGACATGATTGCGTGGAAGCGAAAACTAAAATGGAGAACAGTCGTGAATTTCTTGAGTTCTGGTGAAAATGGGTGAAAGTTAACCGAGCGTCCACTTCCGTCCACTATCAAAACTCTATAAGTAAATCTGTTTGAGCAAGACCTTAGCTTATTGACTCGTGATCTAAGACCGACGACTTCCAACGTTTCTTTGGAAACAAGTCTCTCGACCTCGTAGTTGATTTACGCTTTTCAGACTCAGTCCCTTTCAATCTCTAATGGCCAATATATTTTTCGTTACCAGAATTCGTTCAAATCACTCCTTTAAATGCACTAAGCGAGGATCGACACTACCGCTTCCCCTTTCCCACACACCAGATTATTGCCCCATGGGACCCCGCATTATTATTTTGGCGGGGAAAAGCCCAGATCGTTGGATTCCTTGCCACCACAGATACATCTGAGCCAAGAAGGGCCAACCGTCCCATATCGACTTCTGCTATCGGGATATAAAATGTATCGTTGTGGACGCTATGTGGACGCTTTCGCGGGGAGGTCAACACCAACGACTCCGATGCAAGGCAATATAATATTAGTTTCGTTGTTTGTTGTCCCGAGGAGCAAGAGACTAGTGAAGGTCGGTTTGGTGCACGCTTGATCTCGAACGTGGGGACAGATTGAGACTCCATAAAGTTGTCAATCTTCCCCAGATTCAAAGATCATCGTTTCTCTGAAATCGTCTCGATAGCTCTGTTGTACTTGAATACCTCTCCACAACAGAGTGTCATCTTTCATCTTTTAGAATGGGAAAGGCAACAACAATTGTCTCGGCCGTCTTCCTGGCCATTGGAGGTAAGTCGCAGATGCAAAAGCACACATAATGCTCAATATTAACAAGTGGGCAAGGTTTCCTCTTCGGTTACGACTCTGGTATCATTACTTCCACGATCGCCCAGCCCCGATTCATCACATACTTCAATCATCCCAGCGATAGTCTTCAAGGAGGAATCGTCTCCTCGTTACAAGGGGGAGCAATTGCTGGCACGATTGTGACATTCGTTGTCGCCGATGCACTGGGACGAAAGCGAACCATTGCTCTAGGATCGGCTTTTGCAACCTTAGGATGCGCGCTTCAAGCTGGTGCTGCTAGCATGGCTATGCTGATTGTCGGTCGGTTCATTGCTGGTATGGCGGTCGGAATTCTCACCTCAACAATTCCTATGTATGCCGGAGAAATCTCGCAGGCAAGCTTCCGTGGTATCCTGTCTGGTCTTCTGCAATGGATGTTGAGTTGGGGATTCCTCGTTGCCCAATGGCTCGGTTACGGTTGTACATTTGTCGACACAGACTTTCAATGTACGTTATCCATAGATCTCTCTTCATGGTGGGCTGTACTTACTCAAAATACCAGGGCGCTTCCCTCTCGCATTCCAGTGTATCCCAGCTCTGATCCTCCTATGCGGTGTCTGGTTCCTGCAAGAATCCCCTCGCTGGCTCATGGAAAAAGACCGCCACGAAGAAGCCCTTGCCGTTCTGCACAAACTCCACGATGATGGCACTGAAGCCACAAAAGAATACGTCGAGCTCGAATTCCGCGAGATCAGAGACGTCATCATCGCCGACCGCAGCACGAATCAAATCTCCTGGTCCTCCATCTTCCGTAAACCATCATGGCGTCGACGTCTCCTCCTCGGATGCGGTGTCCAAGCTTTCGGTCCCCTTTCTGGTATCAATGTCATCAACTACTACGGCCCACACATCTACGAACTTCTCGGGATCGGTACCCAGGAGTCGTTGATGATCATCGGTATTAGTGGAGCTTTATCGATCGTCTATTGCACCATCGGTCTTTGGTCACTCGATCGCATCGGTCGTGTCAAACCCCTGATCCTCAGTGCCGGAGGCTGCGCTCTTGCTCTCGTCGTCAACGCCGCGCTCTCCCAACACCTCACCGGCGCAGGCCCAAACCAACTTCGCGCCATGGTCGCCATGAACTTCGTATTCAGCCTCTTCTACACTCCCACCGGAATCATCTCCTGGGTCTACCCCGCTGAAATCTTCCCGGTCGACATCCGAGCGAAAGGAAACTCTATCTCCACATTCGTGAACTGGACACTGAATCTCGTATTTGCGCAGATATCGCCGAATGCATTAAGTGCGATTGGATTCAAGTATTTCTATGCCTTCTTTTGTTTTGGGGTGATAGCGGTAGTTTGTTATTCGTTGTTCTATCCTGAGACGAAGGGAAAAACGCTCGAGCAGATGGATGAGCTTTTTGGAGATCAGTTGGTTCCGCATGCGTTGCAGGATCCGGCTGGTGCGGAGGCGGCAATGGGGAAGAGTGCTGCTATAGAACATGTTGAGAGGGAAGCGTGAAAAAAGGAACAACTGTATTGATCGTTGACTCTCGCTGAGCTCGCCGACTTCGTTGAAAGACTTTGGGGTATGGGCTGGAAGTCCTTGCAATCATCATTGTTAGAGTTACTGCTTAGTGCGCATTACCTTCTCCTTCAAACTAAGATTGATTTATTCCTCCTCCATGGGCTTTGGGAGCGCTCAAGGAGTGCACAGCTCACTCAATAGTCCTTGGTGTTTGACTTCGACTCAATTTTGATAGCCTAAATCTCGATGTTCGAAGTGTGCCAAGATTTGGAGCGATTCTTGGTGGGACTGTTTTACATGCGATCTAACTTGTATTCGAACCAAGCTCCTTTTCACATCTGTCCCAATCGCTACAAAATTCTGAGCGATGTGGTTGCCGTTCGTGGCTGGACATCCTTGGGTACTGTATGTTGAGATCGGACTGCAGCACAAGTTGCCCCACATCTGAGAGCATGCAACTGTGGACTTTCTCCAAGGTGAGCGGCAATGAAAGACTGGTCCATTGAAAGCTATTATTAGCATCCACGTTTGCTTGCTTCCTGGTTAATGCCGATGCTGGTGTGGAGTTGATATTCGGCAGGAGATAAGCGGATAAATGTCGGACTCGGCAAGAGATAAGAATCTCCTCCAACCTCTGTGAGACGGCACTCGTAACCTGCAGTTATTCTTTCACCACATTCCACGTTTTCGGTCCATATGTCACCCCTACAGCAGCAGAAGCCCAGTTCGGAGTATGGCAACGCAAGAAGATTCGAGCGTTGGTGTGCATCGCCATCATGGATATCGAGGCCGAGTACGGAGTGGTTGTCTCACCTGCCGCTCCAGGAAGATCAAATGTGATGAAAGGCGGCCAATTTGCGAGAATTGCACCAAGTCCGAGAAGCGAAAATGCGTTTACAAACCTCGACAGCGGCAGCCTCCACTATCTGCTCCTCTTCCGAGTCCTAGAAGCGCCGGCATTGATGGAGCTGCCCATGCAAATGAAGGGAGACTGCCCCTGACAGGCTCAACTTCACCAAAACACCCAAGTCCGATACTCGAGGATCAAAGCTACAGTCTCGCAGAGAAAGTTCGGCATCATATTGCTACTAGGACTTACTCGGAAGCTGTACAAGATGGCTTCCTGTCTCTTGATAGGCTGCGTTCGAGTTCTTTTCTGCAGTGTGAGAATGAAGTCAACATCACAATTGATGAGGACGATTTTGATCCTGCCTTACCTTCAACCTTGATATCGCGAGACATCAAGTTGACTACAACCATGGATTTTTTGACAGCGGGCGAAGTGCCGTTCCAATTATCCTTATCTTTCTTCGTGGACACAGTCGACTGTCCTTGGATCACACCTTTTGATAGCATCAATTGGCGGCAAATGAAGCTAGACTTGGTCCACCTTGCGATGACCAACACAGCGGTTGCTTCGTCCATCATAGCGCTTTCAGTAATCTACAAAGCGCAATTGTATAGCTTGCCGTTGTCTAAAACGTTGAGCCTTCACCAATCTTCACGGAGCGCATACAAGAAGCTGCTGCATGATGGAAACAAAGATTTCTCCACCGTCCTAGCGGCAACCTTGCTTCATTTTTTGTTCCAACTTGTTTATTACGAAGCAATCCCGATTCTTGAAGAGCTCAGTGAAACATTTCTCATAAGGTTGAAGCTTTGGGTACAAGACCCGTCATCCCACTCGGAGCTCTCTTCCAGAATCATTGTCTGGCTTAGGATAATTCATGCAACGACAATACGTGGTGGAGGTATGGGGCTTATTCCGGACAGCGTCTGCAGGCTATTTCCCGGCTACAACGCGGGGATTCCCAATCTCAAACTGACCTTTGGCCATCGATCAGCTACGTCAACTCAACTGCTTCAGACGCTGAGCGCCCCAGTGTTCGAATTCTACTTTCAACTACAAATGATATCAGGTGACATAGCCCGACTCACCCATTATCACCGTTCCCGTACTACAGGCGCGGATCAAGAAGAAGTAGGACAGCAGACACCACTCGTTGCATCACGACTGCACGCCCTATGGGAAAGCCGTTCAGCGACTCAGTGCCAGACACCAGAAGATCTTCGATCTCATCTTGCCCCTCAAATTGCCGGACCGTTGATATCCCTGATCGGAGTCTGCACAGCAGCATACTACGCTGAATTCATTGAACTGGATCGCTTACTGGGTGACCCAGTGTCCACATCGGCAGATTCGAAGCGAGCGTGGGGCCAAATCCGTGAAGTCGTCGACAGTGACTGGAATGCCTACGACGATGGAGGAAAGCTCAACTCAGGTTATGTTCGTCCATTGTTTCTATACGCCATCGAGTGTATGGATCGCGACGAAAATCAGTGGGCTGTAGAAAAGTTGGGGCAGATCAAGGATCCCATATGCCGGAGTGACTTCTTTGCAGCGTTTGGCAAGGCTCTTTCGGATGCACAGCTTAAAAAAGACCGGCGGGTAACTTCAAAATACTTCTGCATTTGGTATTTTGGAGTACCACCTCCTTTCATCTAGGTGCCCGACAAGGCCGTCGCGCACGAACTAATCTGGATATCAGGACGTTTTGAGCTTTGATTGTCCAAATCGCTCAAAAAGGCTTCGAGCGATTGGGATTGGCCTGGTCTCCGGATTCATTCTTTATGATCGCTCAAAATATCTGGGACCTCTGGCAGACCTTCGCAAGTGGATATATCAATAGATATATATGATAGACAAAACGTCTAATACATTACGACTCTCTATTATTCTTTCTCGCCGAGATAGAACTGCCTCGGGAAAGCATACATGTTCTCAAAGGTGCAAAACTCCACCGCACCGAGATCAAACTCTTGCTGTACAGCGGGGAGATGCTGCGAGAGCACCCTATTCAACTCCTGCCTGTCTTCTCCATCTATATGTCTCATCAGATAAGCAATCGTTATGTGAAACCCATAGGTGTCATGATTTGGTGCCCTGAAGCCAAGTGTATCCGCAAGCTTGTCTCGGAGTTGTCTCATCCGCCTCTCTTCCTGCACCGTCGCTCCCTCAATCTCAAGCCCAACCCCGAGCACGCACTTATCAAACCCGCGAACGCGCATTCGATACGGCGGTGCTAGACCTTCCTTTTCCAGCTCCAAGCCGAGTTGTCTCAATCGACGCGCGAACTCAACAGTGCAGTCTGCCAGTGGCTGCTTCTCTTTTCCTACCGATTCCTGCTCCCGAACACCGTCAAGCGTGGTCATGTGCCATGAGGCCTGGGGCAGGAGGTGGATCTTCTTAGAAAGAGTTGGGTGAGACTCGAGCGATGCGTAGACGGCTCGCAGGCCTCGGAAGAGACGCGAATTGGCAGGTATATGACAGAGGGTAGTGTTGCCTGGAAATCTCTGGACGACTCCTTCTGGAGAGAACTTGGAAGGGATTCCAATGGGATATAGCGGACGTAACGAGGGGACGATGAGGGTGGAGTCGGAAGTTGTAGTTGTGGAGCTCATTGTTGTGCTGCTCGTTGTGTAGTTTCATAATGAGTAGGGAGGCATGAGGATGAGGACCCTTAAAGTAGGAATCTGGATCTGAAGCTCCGACAACGCAGAACCCCAGGTCTGTTGAAGAGTCATGCGCGGCATGAGTCTACACCTGGACACGGGCTGTGCTGTTGCCCCTTTTTCATCGGCAAGAGATAAGCTTCGGTTAGAGATAAGCCAATTTAGCGAGCTCTCACAGAGAACAGTTGACCTATCCCACGAATTCATTCGTTGATGCTCAAAGGTTTCAGAGCACGTGGGTTGCAAGTGGCTTCACATAGGACGAGAGCTTCGATACTTCCACAACTATCAATTTGCTGAAACTCAGACTCCATCATTTCCAACACTACAACGTGCTCAGTCATGACGGAGAAGTTGGACTCTTACAAACGTAGTCCACGTGTAGAGTCTCTCGGCTCAGTAATGGAAGCAGTCGCTTCCGCTACCAGATCTCGAGAATCACAGGTTGCTGAGACTTGATACTGTATATAAAAGGGATATTTGACTCTTCATACTTCCCAACCTCTCCCTCTTCAGCATCGGTCCTGTGGCATTCTCGCTCGTTTCTGGACCGCCATCTTTGCTCCTCCGAACTGAATCTGTCGCAGTTGCGCGTCTATGCTATAATATTCTTGGTATACCCATCAGTATCATCGTGCCCCACATGATCAATCCGCAGGCATGGGGCTGGGGTGCAATGGCTGGTTTTTTCTGGGTGGGGTCTTGTTTGTTGATGCTGGCTCTCACGTTTTTCTATATTCCGGAGCCAAAGGACCGTACTATCACAGGATTTGATATCCTGTTTGAGAAAGAAGGCCCCAGCGCGTAAGTTTGCTACAACACAGGTGACGTTTGCAGAGATTCTGAACCAGAAAGATGAGGTTTGAATGGTGTTCAAAAGGCTGCTACTTGGTGGGATTGCCGAAAGGACATGGGGTTGTGTTCGTCGACGAAAGATTGTTCTATTCCAGATCTATTTGATATAGTTTTAGCCTTCAAAGACTATGTTAAGACTTATCAAATAACTCTTGGCTGGTGAGCATGTGACTCTACTTCATCAAGAACGAAGAAGAAACGAAGCACAAGAATTCGGGCCCGGTCTACCCTCTCTGCTACAAATAGTGTTATAAAGCTTACGGGTATTGAATTTAAAAGAAAGAGAGAACTTCATGTGTGCTCAAAGGCTTTGTTAATCGACAGCGAAGGCGCCAGATACTACTTGACAATTTCGAAGTTCAAAGATCACGAGAGGGGCGATATTTGGGCCACGCCTCGTCCCTTCCACGAAGTATACAAGTAGAGCTCACCTCCAACAGGTAGACAAGCCATGATGAGAAGAAATTTATGTTATTGGAAAAGTCTACAAGCACCATATATAGATCAACCAACCCACAGGCCTTTCGCAATAACCTCTCGACTTTCAGCGTTCAGCAACTCCATCATCCATTTTCCTTCCGCAGACTCAACGCCACCAAGTGTTATCCAAGCTGTTATGACACCCATGTGCACGACTGGTGAATGGCATAGATCTAAGCCTGCTTTCAGACCTATGTAGTAGGGTACGGCGCGACAGACGTCCAAGGCTGCTAGGCGCTCTGCGGCTATGTATTCGTCTTTGGTTTGTTTTTGTAGAGTGGGGTCTTGAGAGTAATTTTGCATTGGACTCGAAGTTTGAATGGTGATCGATTTGAGGACTCGGAGGATATATATGGTGACTGCGTGATAGAGCATGAAGTTGGTGGCAGAGACATCGTTCGAAAACTCGAAGATGGTGAGGAATGGAGGTGAGTTGTCTGTCCAGTTTGCTGTTGGCTGTACTCTTTCTGGCGCGATCAAGGTTTCGAAATAGGCATTTTTCAGATCTGTATCCCACCCTCGTTTCCATGCGCGAAGTTGTTCCAGTAAAGAGAGAGCCTTGACCTCTATCTCGTCTCGCTGGCGCGCATTCCCCTCCAGCTCGAGTCCTCCGTTTGCTAATATCTTCTCGCTTCCTGCGACTAAGACTGTACAATCTGCCAAGATATCAATCAAGTCTTGTTCTGGTAACTGTTCAACAGGACAATCTATCCTCAAAGCAGCCTTCCATTCTGGTCTCGCTAGAATAGACGGCTTCCCAGTCCGTAATGAGGCGAACAGAATCATATGTCTCGCACCTCTCCCCAATTTCGAGGAGCTGGACGAATACCCCTCTGTCCCCGGCCCTCGAAGCTCGAGAAGTCTTTCCAGGCCAGACATATGTTTCAAGAAGTGATTCGGGCCAGTGGGAATAAAGCACTCTAGCAAAGCGAGCGTGACGACCGCTAGGATAACCTCGTCGTGAGCGTAACAACCTGGAACGGCTAATGCTTGATTCAGCCGTTTGAGTGCTACGCCATGCATGGCGTACCCTTTGACCGTGATTTTGCTTTGTCTGTGCTCGGTGCCGAAGAATAGGACGGCCAGACTTAGGACGGCGTGATGGAAGATCTTGCCGTTGGGTGTCGTGGCTGCTGTTATGATTTCGTTCATTGGAGCTGCTTTCAAGGTCGTGTTGACAATTCCGCCGCGGAGACAGTTTTCCATGGTGTAACAGATGTAGATTTCCAGCTCATTGCCTTTGAGTGGTGAAGATGGGGCACCCGTAGCGTCGACGACGGCGTCTGATGACATGGCGACACTCTTATCGCTCCTCCGAGACCTGACAATCTTGGCTTCGACGAATGATATTTCTTTCGCGCCATCACATTCTAAGCCTCGATTCAGGCACCGTGTACAGATGGGCCGGTTTTCATCTGACAAGGAGAGTTCAGCTCGGATCTGGTAGTCCTGGATTTGAGGCCTACCGCATTTGACCCGCTTCTTGCGACAAGTGGAGCACCCTTTGGATCTCCCGGCAATATTCACCATGTTTGGATTGCCTTAGAGGGCGTATATTAACCGTGGTGTGAGGGTTGTCGTTGAGAGGATGATCGTTCGTATTAGTCAGATGAGACGCTAGACCTATTGCGGCTCAATGCGCGAACAAGCTTGTCGTCGCTGATGGCTCAGTTTTGGTTCTGCGTATTGTTTGCTAAAAATACTTGTACATATAGCCTCTCGATTTGCCTCTAAGTGAAGTCATGTAAGCACAACAGCGCCGTCGCAAGGACATTGCTCCGTTTGTGGCGTCAATGACTCCAAGTCCAGCTCACATCTTACGTACGTTGGTGGAGGATGTCATCAGCGAAGCAGAATCGCAATCCTCTACCCTTTTTTATTTCATAATGTACTATGATACAGAGTCTTTCTCCGGTCTAGAGCTTTTCCGAGATGTCAACATTATCGATTGAACTACTTGTTCCTCGCAGATTGATCTTCTTACTTCGAGCGCAAGACCAGTGTAAGAATTCGGGATTTTATTGAAAGGGACTCTTCCAAGATCAACAAGAAGTCAGTCATGGACAGCATTCAATCCTCCAACAGTCAGTCCAAGAACCTGCTGATACTATTAAGCTTGGTAACTTAGGTGCAGCGAACGTTGCGTGAGTTTCAATATAGACATGCAGCCCGGCTTGAGTTCTGCAGCAACGGAAATTCGCCAGTACAATGGCCATGATTATACCCTCCGCGATTCATCCGGAAATCATCATCCAATCTATAGCAGCTCGCGGTCGAGAGAAGTCAGGGAAGTGTGCAGAAGCGAATGGTAGACCAGAGGTAAAAGGTACATAACATGGTACGTTTGAACATCAATGTGTTTGCAATACAGGTAACCTGTTAACATCCTAGCAGGAACTTGATCCAAGCAACGATACCATATATATCCCTTTCCCTGGTCCTATATTCGAATGAACTATTGGCTCTATCCATGCTCCTAAGCACATCCTCCCCAAGAAACCACTCGTCTCGAATTTCAAAGAAGTCGAGATTCTACCTAGACTACTTGAATTATCTCAATTGAATACCACTGCTCTCCTCGAAGGCTCCACATCCGCTTTATCCTGCGTGGCAGCACGTCCAATCTTTAGTCGCCCTCACAAACGTCAAGCACATTATCACCCATTCCATGATCGATTGTGGTATACGAGCAAGAGCGACATGCTCTCCAAACATAATCTCAGCGGTGGCTGTATGATATCTACAGGCACTGAAGATTCGCTGTGGTACGTTTGCTGTAGGACTTCTAGGCTTTCCCAAAAGTCACTCAATGCTGTACCTATACACAGCCCCTTCTTCAAGAAGTTGCGCCCACTCGCTCTTGGTGTAACCCTTTCTCCCCTGAGTTGTCTTCGACATTGCCACCAAACCGACAAGCTTCCATCGATCTGCTCTATGCCTTTGAGCTCTCAGCACCAAGTGATGAAAACAGCCCGGCACGAACACCAATTGATCGCCCTTGACCGCTTCTCTAGCTATTACGTGTCCCATCTCACCGACAGTTACATCATAGCTGTAGATCACTGTTTTGCAGCCTTCCTTGAGTAGCTCATCCTTGAGTAGCGATAATCCTATATCGAGGAAGGTTTCTATTAACCTCACTAAGTTTGCGATGAACTTATTCTCCTCTTCTGTAAGCGCCGGCAGGTGTATCTGGTACATTATACTTATAATCTTTAATGCACCCGATACCACGAATTTCTCTTTGCTGGACAGAACAAGGACTTTCTCGAAAGCCCCCAACCACGGTGACGACTGCATATAGTCCAGATCTATTGACTACAAGGTATTAACCCTTCCCCTGGGTAATCCAGAAAGTTGTAGAGTTTTGTCATCCTCGGGGAACTCAAACACATCCGGAGGCTCATCGCTCTTAATACGATTTGTAAATTCGTAAGCCGGTCTGCTAATCTCTTGTGTCCATTTCGGCACCCATGATGGCATTTCCTCCTCTTCGCCCTGTCCACAATTCGCAACATCTAGAAGTGCTAAACTACCAGTTTCTTTGGCTAGATACTTTGCCAAAGCCGTGAAAAACTCAGCTCGATTGTAGACTTTTCCTTGTTTGGTCGTAACAGCCTTAATAGCTTCTCTATACCCAGCTACGACATAATAAGGTCGGTTGATACTCCAATGCTTAGCCCGAAAATCATAGAACTGTTCCCATATCGACCAACCAACCGCAAAGACAATGTAGACCACCTTGACAGGGAACTTAAAATCCACCCAAAGCTGATCCAAAATGCTATAGATAATCCGGCTAAAGTAAGGACTGCTGATTGTTCCTATCAAGCTGGCAGTGTTAGAGACGCTTTCCGTCGTAGCCCCCCCTGCAATCCCGAGCACTACATATAATCTGTCCCGATCGTCGCGGCATTTGAATCGGCCAGCAGACTTCAGTAAGATGAGCTGAAGTCTCTGTGCAAAAGGCAGGTCGTGGAATCTGGGCACATTAGAACCTATGTCCCGAAAGAACATACCCATAACTTTCATCATAAAGCTAGACGCTGTTCTGACAAAAAGTCCACCTCGGTCATGGAATAATGAATATCGAAACTCCTTGATGGTATCATCGAACTTTCTGCTAGATCGGAAGCTTTCTGCGATGGCCTTGTCCCCTACATACTCTTGTAGTATTGTATACGCAGCATTGGCGAAATCTTCAAAATCACACGTTTTGCTACCGCATTGCAGTTGTACCGGCCTAGTTGCCAAAGCTATTTCCTGAACTACCCACAATCTCTCCCACCAACCCCTTCTAGCGAGTTCACATAGACCAGAAGAAGCTTCCTGAAACCTCTCCTGCTCGTGATGGTCGAAGTACCAGCGACATAAGATTCTCCACCCACTTCGAGTCCAAATGTAACCAAAAGCCGCTTGGATAGCAGTTTCATGTTCGCATCTCACCACTCCCGGTGATGTCGACTCAGCACATATGTTTGTTGCCCCAAGTCCGTGACAGTCGCCTAGCCACACAACAACGAGAGATGCATTAGCATATATCCACTCCATGCGCTGGATCTGTATCATCTTTTCATCCTCGTTCCTCTGGTTGGTACACAGGGCGTCAATCCACAACGTCCGAACACGACTGTTCTGTCGAAGATATTGTAAGGCAAGCTGCAAATTGGTGGTCACTTGCAGCGTCTCGAAATCGGACGGCCGTTGAAATCCTTGCTGTCCTGTGCGACTACTTCTCAGGTCGTACGCCGCAGCCCAGGGCTTCGTTTCTGAGAGCTCGATGACTGCCATTATTACCTTCACAAGGAAGTCACCAGCGAAATATCCGAATATTATAGACAGGAATGCAATATAAACATCTCGAGGAATTGATGGCGGTACCCATGGCGGTGGTCCCAATGGCAGACGCAAAAGAGTTTGGCAAAGGATCCAACCTGCGAGAAATCGGGGAGGAACTCGTAGTAGAGCTGGATAGCTCTTTGCTCGCTCCTTCAAGACTTTATATAACTCCGCCAAGGCCTCAATTGTTCTATGAGGTGGTGTCTTCGTTGGAGTTCTTGGGTCACTAGCTTGCTCAATCGGCAATTGAGGAGTGTGATACGCGACTCGTCGCCCCATTGGTAGGAGATTGCCTTGTACCGGGCCTTCACATGGAATGAACGGGTTTCCAAGACGCATTTGATTTCATCGTGAAATTTTCCGGGAAGAAGATGTACGACTCTGAATTCGGTCGCAGACACTGGCTTGTATAGACGTTGATGAACATTATTTGAAGCACCCTCCTCGGTACAGGCATTCATGACTGTCTTGGGACAGCTTTGTGAAGCATATTCTGAGATTCACGTTCAAGAATTGGACCCAAGGACATTTTCATTTGTACTATTCCGCGGTGGTGGTTGTGTGTGCGGTTGCCTAAGCGCCTTGTCTCAGCCACCAATGACATATTGGCCGTGTCCAACGAATCAATTGGATGATGTCTACCACCCAGAAGCCTTATCTTTCAGTGAAGCGAAGTGGAACACAGTTTCCGTCAATCTGTGAGACAATTGGGCATTGAAACAGCAGGTTCCATAAGTGGCCAAGCTAGCCTTGCGAAATTGAGATTCTTTCAAAAAGCAGCCCCCACACTTTGAAGTTGTTGACTTTGTGCAGCTCGAACTTCAGCGCCAGAGCATCGAATTCATCCAACTCGCTGACCTAGGAGATAATGATAAAAAAAAGGTAGGAAAAACGGTTGATGAACTTGTAGTGAACGAGGATGAGAAGGACGACACCAAATTTATAATCTCCGAAGAGCAACCATATGGCTCCGAGGCGCTAACCCACCTGTGGTCAGCTCAAAAATCAGAAAAGGAGTATCTGCTCTACAATGTTCTATTGGTGGAGCTTCATCCAAGAAGGAACGTGGTGTCAAGAAAGGGAGTCTGGAAAGTTACGAAATTTGATTCGAACTCTGAGTGGGAGTTCGTCCGTTTGACCTAGGTCTTCAACGTCAAAGTCGTGAGGAGGTAATCGGTGAAGTGATATGGAAAATCCTTTTGTCGATCTACTGAAGCTAGTACAACTTGCTGCAATAAATTAATCAGTCTTAGAAGTAAGCACCGTAAATGATTCCGCTAATTAAAAAAACTTCATCCCGACATAATGAAACTATGCTGTCTTATTGTGCTTTATTTCTCATAGTATTTGTAAAGATAAAAATCACGACACCTGGAAGAGGAATACGTCATGCACTTCTCCACTCTCAAGCTCTATTTGTTCTCATTGATTGGACGATTTATAACTCGGAACACGGCACCAACTCATTTACCCGCATAATTTGTCTCTCATGTTCCAGTCGGATGTAACACCATTATCTCCATCACTTTCATGATATAAACCATCCGTAATTCCACAAAAGTCAGGCTCTTCGACTTCCGAGAACTCGAAGGATCGCAAACAATGGCACAGACAGACATCCCCGATGCAGAGCGAAAGATTGGAACACGCGACAAAGATGTCCCCTGGTACAACCCAGACATCGGGAACAAACTCAGCCCATCAGCTCGAGAGCTCCTAGAAACATACTCCAAGATCCTCTCTGCAGAAGTTGAAAATCACGTGAAGAGAATTGTATACCTCCTCTCCCTCCGCATTTGCTTAAAGATTCTAACACCATCCAGCGCGATCAAGCCTGGGAAGTCTGGCCCTACCCGTGCATCGGCGGCTTCAGGTTCCTAGACCTAGCAATCGGCGACTCGCCCAATTACCCCCAGATACTGCAACGCCTCAAAACAGGAAACGAGAATTTCCTCGATCTGGGCTGTTGTTTCGGGCAAGAGATCCGGCGTCTCGTCGCCGATGGTGCACCGTCTGAGAAGCTCTACGGATCAGATCTGCGTCCCGAATTTTTCGAGCTCGGGTATGAGTTTTTCGGTGACAGAGATAAATTGCAGAGCAAGTTTATTGCGGCGGATATCTTTGATCCGGATAGCGGATTGAAGGAATTGGAGGGGAAGATCGATATCTTGTATGCGGGGAGCTTCTTGCATCTCTTTGGGTATGAGAAGCAGTTGGAGGTCTGCATCAGGATTGCGGGATTGTTGAGGGAGAAGGAGGGGAGCTTGTTGGTGGGGAGGCAGGTTGGGCATGTCAATGCCGGGGAGAGGACTCATCGGACGAATCCGGATCAGAGAATGTGAGTTATAATCTCTTCAGACTGTTATCTTTTCGTACGATATTTTCAAGAAGCCGAATAGGCTCAGCTAAGCTTTATAGTGAAGATAAGCAGAAGCTGACCCAAGCTAATTCCAGGTTCAGGCAGAGTGAGGGGAGTTTTACGAAGATGTGGGAGACTGTTGGGGAGAAGACGGGCAGTAAATGGAAAGTTAATGTGAAAGTTGAAGAGATCGATGAGACTGATAGAAATATGAGACCAAACGATCAGGATGAAGGGCTGAGGAGGTTAAGGTTCAGTGTCTTTAGGCTTTGATCAACTATTTTTATAGCGCTAAAAGCTTTTTTTGTTATATAATTTTTTGCGACATAATACTTAATATGAAATAAAAAGCGAAAATGTTATCGAAATATGAAATATATTATTTTTAATAAATAAATTTAACGGTTGCTCAACTTTTTTTTTGCTGTTCCTCCTATTCCAAACTCTCCCAATCTTTAATCATAATTCCTCCTCTTGTGAGAACATCTCCTACCTCTGGCAACTCCGCTACTTTCAAATCGAACGCAGACTTTACCTCAAGTCCGTATGCCTTTATTCAGTCTCATCCGTTACAACCTTGAATGCTACAGGCCCGGCCTCGACGCTATTCTCCGTCCCAAGTAATTGATTGACCAATTCAGCAAGGGCGACGTCGCTCCCTTTACTTCCAGTGATCCCAATTGCTGCTGGGAGGAACTCGTTGCATTCGCTAAGCCGCGACATGTAGGATGTTTGACCAGCTATTTAAAACGAATTAGGACGTATTCCGCGCTTGCGGGTGAAAGGATATGGAGACAAGCTTACCAGGAACTATAAGTTCGGGTGCTCCAGCATAAGGCGAGAGGTTATAGAAGAAGAATCCAATGCCAGTGAAGTTTTGTGCGGACTCGCGATATTTGTCTCTCTAATCGGGTTCCCCGTTGCTCCAAGGCAAAACCATAATCGTGTCGGTGCACCCGCTTCCATCAGCCGATGGTATGACATTCTTTTCCCACCAGGATCTGAACATGTTTAGTAGCTCAATCCCCTTGTTTTGCTGTTCTTTGGTCACAGTTGGAAGATAATCTCTGTAAGTCCAGGATATTAGATTCTGTGGAAAAAATTCATGCGTGGAGTTTTGACTCACCTTTTAAACTGCAGCTGAGGATTGACAACTGCTGCTTTCCCAAAAGTTGTTCTGTAGTCCTCAAGAAAACCTTTCATAAAACCAGTCCACTGGTCTGGATTTGCAACCCATTCGAATACGTGTTCGAAATATTCCGATAGACATAGGTTTGTTTGGACTGGATTGGTCTTTTGCCAAACCTCTTCCAGATTGACTCGAGTTTCTTTACGCCAAGATGTGATTCTAATCTACCGATGAATTTCTCGAAGACGGCTTGAGACTCTTCATGCTTTACTGGCCAGTAGTCTACTGGGTATAGGATTTTTGTTACTTTCTAGACTGCACGTCAGTTTTTTCATCGTAGCGTAAGGTCAAGAACAGAAAGTACCTTCTTGCAACCAGAGCCTGCAACTGGACCATAAAGTGCGTTTGAAAGCTTCGCGAAAGCTTCCGCATCTCTAGCAAATCCCCCAACTGTATCGAACTTGCTAAAGAGAGTTTAGGGTAAGCATACTGCTGTAGGGGATTTGAGTTTGACTCACTCTGAATAAGGAACTATGCCATCAAAACTCAATGCGCCGATGGACGATCTCATTCCAAAGATACCTTGGACAGTCGCAGGTCCACGAATACTTCCAAGAGCTATTGGCAAGTAAGCAGGAATACCCATGAGGAGGAAATTGGATGCGTACTATCCGTGCCTATTGTGAAGTCCAACCAATCGTAGGTTGCAATTGCAGCTGCACTTCCCGCACTACTTCCACTCGGGCCCTGGTATCCATCGGCTCGAGGATTGAAAGGAGCATGGTAATCGATCCAGTCACATGTTGCCCACTCAGAATCTGCAAACTGTGTGGTCTTCAACTTGCCAACCACAACAAAGCCGAGTCTCAGAAGTTTTTGAACTACAGCCGCATTCTGTTCCCGAGGCCCGTACAGTTTGGTGTATGAACGGGATGAAGCACCGGTTCGAAGTCCTTTTAGATCGATGATATCCTTGATTCCTACGCGGAAGCCTGCATAAGGCTGCTCGTCCGTTTTAGTGAAATGAAGACGAGATGGCACTGCAATTGTGAGGGCAGATGGGTACGTCTCTCCATACGCAACCGCATCGAGTGGTTTGTATCTATTAAGAAGTCAATGAATACACATGCTCTCCGAAGAAGAGAAGAAGGCTCACTGAATAGGATTACGCGTCGGAACTGTGGCCACAATGAAAGATCCAGAGGTATCTGGGTACAAACGGTACGCAGGATGCAGTTTCCCCTACTCCAAAAAGTATGGCCCCTCAGGATACTCCAGTGAGTTCTTGAGAACATGATTGTAGTAGACATTCTAGTTGCCCCATTGCGCTAAGATTTCCTTTACATTTGGCTGGAGCGAGGACAGTCTACCGTGCGACTGGATCACGACACTTCTCAAAAATTCTTTTGACCAAACATCATCAGAACGTCCGAATCTGGCAATAATTTCGCATAGCATTTTGGGCGACATCTCAGTGTTTCCGATCTCTATGACTGTGCAAGGTTCACGAACTTGGCCTGCTCCAATTGTGTGGCCGACCTATGTGAGGACAATCAGCACAGCTGCCATGACTTGAAGGGCGTCAGAGAATGAAATAATTGTACCTCCGGCACATCATGCATGTAATATGCAACATCGCTAAATCGAACAACAGTCGAGCCTGAAGTCTGCTCAACCATGGCCCCGACGAAGCTGATAAAAGAGCAGTCACGTGAAAACAATGCGCAAGAATACGCATCTTCGCAGCTGCTGGCTGGGTTTTGTTGTGATGATTTCGTGAAGGTGTTTGTTTGCCAGCGAAGCGGTCAAAGTTAAAGACTAACGCGGATATTACTGTGGGCAGCTGTTACGTTGAGACAGCAAAGTGCAAGCTTCGCGAGTTATTCTAATAATTTCGGCTTCGAATAATAAAAATATTTGGGTAAATAAAGAAAAAATAATAATTTATCGTTATTATTTAAATTAATCATTATATTCGTTTCGATTATTATTATTATTATTATATTTTTTAAATTCTTTTAAAACTATATTTTAACTTCACATTTTCTTAAACTCCAACAAAATCCTCCTCCCCTTCGGGCCCACACTATACCCATCCCCCTGCTTAATCCCCCCGCAATCCACAACTCTCGTCTCAAACCGCCCATAAATAACCACAACCAAGATCTTCAACTCCAACATCGCAAACTCCTTCCCAATACACCCTCTCGCCCCACTCCCAAAACCCCAAAACCAACGCATCATCTCTTCCCTCTCCTCTTTCGTGGCCTGCAGCCAGCGATCAGGTCTCCATTCCTCTGGGGAGGGAAAGACAGCGGCGGTACGATGCAGAGAGTATGCTTGGGCGGAAACTTTTGTGTTGGGTGGGATTTTGTAGCCGCAGAGTGTGCTTGTTGAGTTGGGAGGGGAGACGCGAAGTTGGGAGCCCGGGACGGAGGGGTAGAGGCGGAGAGTTTCGAGGATTGTGGCGTTGAGGAGTGGGAGGGTGTCGAGAGTTCGGAGGAAGGACTGGGAAATGGCATTTGTGTGTATAGAAGATAGTGGAAGGAGCTCTTCTCGCAGTCGGTGTTGGAGGTCGGGTCTGAGGGAGAGGGAGTGCAGGATGTATGTCATGGTCCAAGTCGTGGTCTCGGTACCAGCTATGAGATGATCTTTGAATTCCGAGGCGAGGAGGAGTCGGTCCTGTGGTGAGAGGGAGAGGGAAGCGTCTTTGTGGTGGTGTGGGAAGAGATGGTGCAGAAGTTGATTGTAGATGATAGGCTTTGTTCTTTCCGAGTTTTCATCCTTGGATATCGAGTCCTTTTTGTTGTGTTTCGACTTCTCGAGTCCGTTGAGCATCTGCAAACATTCATCCTGCTCTTCTCTCCGTGTTCCACGGATAATTCCATTTTTAGTTAAGATCTCCCCTATTCTCGTAATCGTCGAGCTCCAGACGCCTTGCTTCAGTTCGTGACCATCTTCCAACCACTTAGTTCTAGCTTCCATGTCTCGCAAGAAATCCTTGATGTTATCAAGTCCAAAGATGTAAGCACTTATGAAATCATTCGTGACACAGCTAAGAAGCCCCTGCACCTCAACACCCTCTCTCTTCTTTGCAGCATCCTCCAAAACAGCCGACAACCGAGAACTCAATGTCTGAGCTATTATCCCAAAGTCTTTTGAAGAATACAACGTGGTTTTGCTGTACACATTCCCAAACATCCTCTTTCGCTCGGTATGTTCTTTCTTTCCTATCATCGAGAACATATTCAGGTGTCTATATTTTACAAGTTATAAACATCGATCTTTACATTTGCCAGAAGAAGCTTGCTCACCCATAATTACTAAAACTCCTATACCAGTCATCTCGATCCCAGTTTCCTCCATAAACTATCCGTAGAGCGTCGACATTGTTCACGCTGACTTCCGTCGCTCCAAGTCGAACGATGGGTCCGAATCTTTCGTGAGCTGATTGTATTGCATGATTTGAGTTGTTTATGAAGCGTTGGTATCTTATCCACAGATTTGAAAAGTGTGTTGTCGGATGCGCAGAAGGAAGGTTTTTGAGGGGCGAGAGCAGTGCGGGGTAAATGAGATATTTATACAACACAAGAAGAATGAAAGAAATGGTTGTGAAGATTATGAAATCCATATGATCTACCCTACCCCAGACAGACTTGGTCTTGAGTATCAATTTCTTTGAAGTTGTGAATCAGAACATCCAATCTAGGCATCCCGAGGAGAAGGCGGGAGATATGCAGTCCCCTGTCTGCGGCGGCTGTTCCCTACCTTTCTGGGACGTTTCTGCAGCTATCCTTGCAATATCGTCAACCACTATGAGACCTTCAAGATCTCTTCTCCAATCAAATTTCACAGATATCTGATCTTGCAGAAATGCCGGATTACTAATTGCATCCAGTGATGTAAATTGGTTAGACATCTCCGATAAGCGGTACTCAAGCTTTTGCGTCACAACTCTATCTTCTTCATTTGGATGTACTATTCCTGAGTCTTCGAAGCCCATATCCTGTACTTCTGGTTTGTACAGTCAAGATGGAGAACCCTATGGAGTCAGAGGAGAAGAAGCAATCACCTTACAGTTCCGCCAATAAGAATCCCACACCCGAGGTCTTGATCAATGCATCGGGGCATCGTCAGGAGCTCGAGCGGAACTTTCGTCTTATCAATATCTGTGGCCTTGGAATCACATCTGGGAATACCTGGATAGCGCTTGGTGGCAGCATTGTGAGTTCTCCCTCATCATCACGTGAAGCAGGAAGAACTTCGTGCTGATATCTTTCAGGTAGTTGCAATTTATAATGGCGGACCACCTGGAGTGATCTATGAGCTGTATGTCACCTCTATACTTAATATGGCCGATGTTGACCTTGAACAGAATTGCGGCTTCAGTAGCATATTGGTTCATAGCCGCCTCTATCGCAGAGCTCGCTTCAGCAATGCCTTCTTCCGGAGGAGTATACCACTGGGCGTCTGTCACAGCAGGGAAACACGGGCGTGTATGCGGCTTCTTCGCTGGCTGGTGGAACTTTCTAGCTTGGATTCTCGCTATTGCCGCAACTGGTCAAATCGTTGGTGCACAGACTGTGTCCATGTATGCTCTGTTCCATCCAGATTTTACGACTCAACGTTGGCAGGTCTTCGTCGTGTATCTGATCTATATTTGGGGAGGGTGTCTTATTACGCTGTACTTGAATAGAGCGTTGCCGGCGCTTGAGGCTGTTGGTGGATTCTTGGTTGTTGCTGGTGTGGTTATTACTATTATTGTTTGTGCTGTTATGCCACATGTTAACGAGCAGCCTTATGGAACGAATGATTTTGTTTGGAAGGAGTGGCAGAATGCAACGGGGTATGGGAGCAATGGATTTGTGTTTTGCTTGGGAATGTTGAATGGGGCTTTTGCAGTGGGAACTCCGGATATAATTTCTCACATGGCTGAGGAAGTCCCAAAGTGAGTACTTACTTCTTTCCCTCGAGTTCATGACTGCATCTGAATCTTTATTGACAAGAAATCAGACCAAGTCAAAACATACCAAAAGCGATCTTAGCCCAATTCATCATCGGCTTCTCCAGCGCGCTACTTTACCTCATCGCTTTATTCTACAGCATCTCAGATCTTGACGCAATTCTAGACTCAGCTTATCTCTTCCCGCTTACAGAGATATACTATCAATCTACCGGCTCAAAGGGAGGCTCTCTTGGTCTTCTCATTCTTTCGTTCCTCCCTGGTCTAATCGCTCTCATCGGTTGTTACCTGACTGCTAGCCGTGTATTCTGGACCTTAGCTAGAGACAACGCTACGCCTTTCGCTTCAACGTTTGGACATGTCAATCACAAGCACCGGAATCCATTCAACAGCATCATTCTCTGTGGTGTCATCTGCACCATTCTAGGATGTATCTACGTCGGCAACCAAACCGCGTTCTCTGCGTTCGTCGGCTCATTCGTTGTCCTTTCAACTTTATCATATCTTGGAGCTATCCTTCCTCATCTCCTTTCCAGAAGAGCGAATATTAAGCCAGGCTGGTTCTGGATGAAAGGTATCACCGGATATGTGGTTAATGCAGTGGCTTGCTTGTATATCATGGCTTTTGTGGTTATTTTCTGCTTCCCGTTTGCGATGCCGGTGGATGCTGAGAGTATGAATTACACGGTGTTGATCACGGGTGGGTTGACGGTGTTTGTTGGCGTATGGTGGGTGGTTGTGAGGAGTAGGGGAACTTATGTTGGGCCTAGATTTGTGGAGTTGGGGAGGGAAGCTTTGGCCGAGGAGGTTATGTAATTTGGGTGAAGTGATTACTTGGAAATATACTTAAATTCGAAAGTTTTATGGTTGTTAATTCATATCTTCTTTCTAGGATATCTGAAAGCAAAACAACGCTACGCTAAATGCCCTCCCGGAATCAACGGAATATCAACGCTCTACTTATAAGAAGTTCCCTCTTGTCTAAAAAGATCTCGCCCTGGAATAATCCTTGATCTTCTTCGGAGTTTTGTCCTCTTCAATCGTTTTTCCAGTCAGCAATTTCCTCAGCGCGTCGCCGCCACCCAGCCATCCGACTCTATCCGCCGGTGTCTTTCCTTCTTTGTCCCTAATGTTCGGAGTAGCTCCCGCATCAAGCAACACTTTAATCACCTCCTCCTTCCTCGCTGCTCCCACCCCATCCAACAACCAAATGCCTTCTACCGCCCTATGCAACGGCGTCCTCCCCTTCTTATCCCTCCCATTCACATTCACATTCCCACCCTTCCCCTTCCCCTCCCACCGCTCATTCAACAACTCCTCTACAACTTCCACATTATGATGCTTGGCCGCCACACTCACCGCCGTACTCCCCTTATCATTACACTCATCAATCCGCGCCCCATTCTGCAACAAACACCTCGCCGTCTTCGCATGTCCCCACCTACACGCCACGATCAACGGCGTATCGCCCACGTGATCCGCATGATTAACCCCCGCGCCATAAAGCAGCAGCACGCGCACGATATCCAGATCTCCGGCTTGGGCAGCTTCTTGTAGTGCCGTGATGCCGGATTTGGGACACAGGTCCGGATCCGCGCCTTCTTCCAGCAGGAATTTCGCGGTTTTGAGATGGTGGTTCCGGACCGCGGCGAGCAGGGGAGTGATGCCGGAGGACCAGACATCGAGGTCGATTTTTTTGTCGGGTTGGTGGTGGTGGCGTCTGTGAGAGGACGATCGGGGCGGTGGTTCGAGGAGGAGGTCGATGGATGAGAGATTCCCGGCTGAAGCAGCGGCCACGAGTGCGGGAGCTCGATTTACGTCGGGGTTTCGCTCGAGCTCTTTTCTGAGGGCTGTGGTGGCATTTTGGGCTGCGAGGGTGGCGAGCTCACCGGCGGGGGTGGAGGCTTTTTTGGAGACGTATTTGGTGGCTTCTTGGATTAAGACGGGTGCTACTTGGCTTACGAGATCCATTTTATGGTTTGTAGTTGATGTGATGGAGTTTGGGATCACTTGGAGGTTTTGGGGGTAGTGTTGTGGAGTTTTATGTTCTGGCACGAGGCTTGGGATTGGGTGCCTGAATGTGAAGCTTTGAGATCACACCACCTTTTTTTTTTTTGTGCCTCACGAACCCTTCAGGACGTTTCTACAGCGAGCCAATCAGAATCAATCAGAATTGGGGGTGTACCACCAATGGCACAAATTCGTGTTTCTCAGTAGATAAGAGGGAACACGTGTGTTTGGAATCACGCGGCAATGGTTGGAAGTCTCCTGATATGATGACGGGTGGTTGCGCTTACCTACGTATTGTCTTGGCTATGGAGACATGGTGACCCAACGACGAGGATAGGACCCCTTGACTTGGTTTGATACGATAAGGAGAGTTCAATCTCAAAAACTTGACTAAATGCTACGTACACAGAAGATACAGAAAGTACAGAAAGTACAACAAATCGAGAATGACTACAAAGAGAAGAATTCTTTAAGCACCGAAAACTTATAAATATATGAAGCGAGAAAACAACAATTTGGAATCGACCACTCCTTTTTACCACCTCAGCGCTCAATCAACCTCGCTCCAACAACTTTTATACAGCTCTCAATTCCTTCTCGTCACGTCTTGCATACCATTTCAATTACGGTTCATCCAAGCCTCGATGTGGTCCGGTTTCCAAGCCCCCCAGAAGTACACTTACCCAAAGTAACGTTGACAGGATGGTGTTGCAAATCTTGAATCGTATTACTCGTCGAGAAGTTGGTAACATTGCAACTGTTTACCATAGGGTACTTGGGGATCCACGAAGTTTGCAAAGAAAGTGGAAGTCTAATTTTCATAGAATACGGCCAGCGCCAATGGCCTACTGAACCAATCGTCTGTTATCCTCCTCAAAGATTGATCATCTCATCAATGAGAAGCCCACTCCCTTGACCCCTCCCAAAACGGCGCGTAAAGCTACCCAATCATTCGCCCTCATCTCAGCCCATAGTATCCTTGTAACATTCACCACTCCAGGTGAGCTGCCTGGTGTTTCCCAACTTATCGATCTCACACCGTCAAAGTCCGATGCAATTAACTCCTTTCCTCCCGGCTCACCTAGCCTTATCGCTACCCCTTCTTTCTGTGCTGCCAAATACCACAATGCTTGAGTCCCCAGATTGTGATACAGCTTGGCCTCTGATGGCAGAATTTTCCATATGAGTCGTTTTCTGGTTGGAGTTTGGGTATTGAGGTGTTCTCTGGCTGGAGGTCGGGTATTGAGGGTAGTCGCATTGCACGAACGGCAAATCTTCGTTTCGGAAGTTTCTATGACGGAGCATATCCAGCATTGGTTTGATGATAATATGTCGCTCATGATAATTGAATGTGGATAAGTATTGTATGGAGCTAAGTATGCAAGGACGGCAGTGCAGGGAGTAAATACTTGGAATGTGATGATAGATTTAATCTATGCAGATGTTGTTGGTACTTTATATAAAAACCATCAAAACTTGAAAGTAGTATCTATTAATAGAAATTCGAAATCGATAGTCATTAATAGAATGTAAAAAGCAAACTAAATCAATTGAACCAGCCCCCTCTTTGTTGCTGTCTCGTATATGATACACGATTCCATGAAGACTTCATTAGAACCAAGAACGAGAAATGAAATGAAAATCACAAAGGTTATTGTAATCAAGAATGATAACTAAGTTAAACACCTTGCTCCTATTTAAAGGTAGTTCCCAAGCTATATACTACTTCCACAGCTATGGAGTCAAGGGAGTCGTCTAGCAAGAAGGAGTCGAGCTAACTCCGTCCGGCTCCATCACGTGATCTAGGTTCTCCTGTCAAGTGACTCTATCACCTAACTGAGCCTAAGGTCCACTGATACACGTGATTGTGACAATATACAAGCCTTACTTTTGTCCTTCATCATCCCATTGATTAGGGTTAATCTTGTGCTCAACTTGATTACCACAATCAAACCAATTAATGTGTCCTGCAGCTGATTGACATTCAGAAAATGCGGGCAGCACCCATCTGTCTTTAAAGTTAGGGTGATCGACCTTGCAAGCATCCCATGCCTCCTTAACCTTCCCCACCGGTACTGCCACCGTTGATATGAATGTCTCTTCGTCGAGTTCGGGCTCTACGTTAGCCCATATGCGACTTAGAAATTCGTCTGCCGGGAAATTGTGTCCACCAGCCGTCAACCGCTCGGCCCACCAGGGCATGAAGCCAGACCACTCCCACTATCAATGAATCAGCACTAGATCTCCAACGCTACTTCAGATGCCTGTTTCAAGTCCATTATGAGAACAAATACCATCGATGGCAGTTTGAAGATAGACTTTTCAACTCTCTAATAGAAGAAAAATCAGAGAAAGTGCTCAACTCACATCCAGTATGGCCGTAATTTTATCACCTTCCACAAGAATGTTCGAAAAATTAAGGTCACCGTGGGTCAAATAGTACGGCCCCCCTGACGGAAAATTCGCCCGCAATTCAGCCAGTTTCTCTTCGATAACAACTGGGTCGTTTGTTTTATGGATGTTAGAGAGACCACCACGGAGGGTAGGTGCCAGGGCATCAAGCCATTCCTCTGTAGTAGAACCAATTTGGGTGCAACTGGGACTTCGAAATAGACAGCGGCCCTAGAATCAAATTAGTGACTTAAGATTCCTAGAAAAGGCAAAAGCAGAGATTGTGGGCAAGATACGTACGACTAAAAAGTCTTCTAGAGGAGTACCATCAGCCTTTTGTGCTGTTGGTCTAGTGAAGCGGCGTAAGGCTTTCACAATTCCCGTCATTTGACGGCTCACGTTCCTCCTCGACCGCAGCGAGAGCGTATGCCAAACTGAACCTAACCATTGGCCCGGTACCTTTTTTGTCAAAGTGAATCGAACTTTCTCGTCAGGCCCGCTGATCAGAAGCACTTCTCCTGGCAGCGGAAGTTTCGAACCTTGATCGCGGAGAAATTTCAGCGTGATATAGTCGTTGCCCATGGCCTTGTTGTTTGGTTCATCTCGTAGCACCCATTGGCCCCCAAGATCCCATAAGCCCATATTATTGCGAGCGTGCATTATTTTGATCCGCGGGCTATACGATGACTGGACTTGGTTTTGAAAAGTCCACCCACATGCCCAACATAATTCCTTCTTGTTCTCAACATCAGTGTCATATAGAAAATGATTCTCTTCGACAGGTCGTCCTTGCTTCGTCCGCATTTCCTTATAGTCTCCGGAAAACTTATCATCAACCCAGATTAAATCTTTCTGATCATGCTCAGGGTGGCTTGGGTCATGGACCCAAGTCCTAATATATTCATCCATATTTCTTGATGGTACTTCTGATGAACGATAGAGGATAGAATAGAATGTGTAGATATGTATCCAGATTGAATTGATAGGATAATTTGGGAGGGCACGAGGTACTCTATTAATACATTTGCAATTTTAAAGGGAGTCTTTCTAACAAAAAAACAAAAATTACCAAGTCAAAAAGACAAGACGAATGCAGCTAAGACCAAAAACAAATAAACTCCTTTCAAGATGCTTTGTATGAGAACCGAAAACAGCCTAATTCTATATCTTGATTAATGCCTACTTCAAAGAACTCCTCCAAATGCAGCACAAAGAAGAGACACTACGTAAAAGAAAACTCATATACATCTATACCCACAAGCGGAAGCTGTGAGGGACTGCAAATTGCCGGCACATCAGTTAGGCAATACGCCTTCTCTTCACCTCCGAATTCAACATTTCCCTCAACTGCATTGTGCGTTGGGAATACTTACTTGCAACACTCCCATCACTTAATATTGATGAGAAATTGAAGCTCAGCAGATCATTATTGCTTGAGAGTACAAGTAGTAGCACTGAGAAGTGATAAAGTTAGGGTTAGATTTGGATACGTATTAAGTCTACCAACACGAAATTCCGGAGCATTTCGGCTGAAGGACTTGCACGTGACCTCTGGCGCCGCTCTTCCATAAATGTACTTGGGCGAGTGTTAGAAGGCTCGATAATATGGCCATTAAAAGATCGATCAAATCTTTAGCTATTTTGTGGTATCATTATCATTTGCGCCTACCTAGGTAAGCACGTGGAGAAGATGGTATCAGGTGCGCAGCTTTCGGAAATTTTACTTGGTATCGTCGCAACCTCAATTTATCTGAAATTGCTCTTAAGCTACGGAGCTGCATACTACCATATTATTGAAGCGTCTTTATTTCTCCTAACATTATCAGGCTGATGCACCTGAACACCTGTCAATTCGAAGCCAATTTCTTTGGCATGTAGCTGGAGGGCGACGCCTTTTCGAAGGCACCCACTTTGGTCTGCAGACACATTCAAAAGGATTAAAACACCGGATGAATGGTCACGGATATCTGGCCATCCGCATACTGTTGTTTTTGGTGCTCTGATTGGTTGATCATCAAGTTCTTATTTTCTAAAATACAGGAGGTGATCGCTAATTATATACCTAGTCTCGATCAGGGTCTTGCAGTACTGACAAATTCAACTCATACCTACGGCAAGAATGAAACTAATCTCAGTTGCAAGGAGCATACCTCCTTATTCTTTTTCTACACACTCTATCACCGACGACTAATCAGGTGGGCCGTATGGGCATAACACTATCGTGCTCGTCGGTCAAATCTCAGGAGTCAGCCAGGCCATTAGGCTTGTGAAACATACGGATCGTGGGCAGAGAAAATGCACCTTCGACGATGAGCAATTCGAAGTACAGTTTGATGTCCGGAACGAAGCCCCCCGCACCGTGGGCAGATGCTACACACGCACTTCGAACACATGGTGGTATCTGTCTCTTCCCCGAGGGCACATGTCATGATTAACCTCGGCTTTTGCCGATAAAGAGTAAGTAAGCACTCTTTTCAAGAACAATTTGGACAAGCAATAACTCAAATGGCAGGCGGGAATGCGCTAATACCGTTAAAATACATGGCCGAGAATCCTGGCCAGCTGGTGCGGACTGTCCCATGCGGAATGTATCACAACGAGAGCCACAAGTTTCGTTCCAGATTGGGTCTCGAATTTGCATCTCCGATAGAAATTTCCGATAATATCGCTGCGTTGTACAAGGCTGGGCAGCAGAACGAAGCCATCCCGAGCCTAAGGAAGCTTGTCGGAGTAGCCTTGCATAACATGACGCTTTCGCATTCTAACAATGGTTTTGACAAGGTTAGTAATATATTCATGTTGATGTGTACTCAGGACTTAAGCTGATGAATGGAGCTTCCAGATTGTCGACATAATGGAATCGCTCTATGGAGGCTCTAACGCCCGCCTCCACCAGAAATCGCAGCGAAATAAAGAATTATGGCGCTTGTACCTGCAGTTCGAGTCTGACCCCAACTTTCAACGTATACTCTATAGAATGTATCAATATCAGCGGCGAATAAATCTCCTCGGTGTTGAGAGTGAAGACATCGGAGGTGCGAGCAAATCATATATCCTCCTTCTTCTTCTTGGACTTCGATTTCTTGAATTAGCTCTTGCGGCTGTCCTTCGCTTACCTGGACTAATCCTGTTTGGCCCTTTGCCATATCTTTGCAACAATCTGGCCCAGCGCTATGCCGAGCGCCTCTTGAAGAACTCAGCGTTTAAGCTCACAGGGAGAGATGTCCTTGCTTCGGCCAAGATGTTGAATGCGCTTAAATTCACGACTCTGCTATACATCGCCTCTGAGACGGCCATGTTTGCTTGGCTCCACTGGAATTACTTAGGGCAGAGCCTCGTGAGAGTGATTCCCGCCCCCTTTGCCGTGGTTCTCGGACTCACTCTGATCTCTTTCATTCGCGTTGTTTCGATTTGGGCTTGGGATCGAACAGTGGACGTACTGCGTTCCATACTCGTTTTACTTATTTTAGCAGATCCTCGAAAGGCGTGTATGCGAGAGAGCCTTGAAGGGGAGAAGAGAGAGCTTGAAGTTCACATGTGGCAATATATTGTAAGCGACACTTAGACTTAAACCGCCAAGTAATTTTGAACAGTCTTTCTGTTGGTTCAATTTAGATGTTTAGCTTTAGCAACCAAATTCAATTACGATGACTCAAGATAATTACAATAAGGACCCACAACGATAACGCCACTAAATGCATACTATTTACAATCTTTGATAAAAGTCGACAAACTTCCAGTACCGTCCAATATATGTACAGGAGACCAACTTCCTCTCCCTGCTACACACACAGAAACGCTTGCACTGTAAACAGAGCTCCCAAAATTGATGAAAACCTTCAAGACAAAATCTAAAATCCTAATTTCTACTACATCTGGGAGCTCTACGATAGCCGGTCAAAGAAACAACTTCCCAAAAACTATCCAAGACCTGAGATGGTATGGTCTGCAACTCCTCCAGAAGTGGAATAACACGAACTACCGTTGATGAGGTGGTATCGGCAATCTTGAAGCGTATAGTTTGAAGGTGCGGTTGTTGATGAGTTGGTAACGTTCCAACTTGCCGTCATAGGCGATACCGGAAGTCTAGAAACTTGCGATGGAAGTGGAAGTCCAGTTTTCTTCGAGCTTGTCAATTCACTAGCTATTTCGTCACTTGTCGTGGCTTCTAAATGCCTTTTCTTCACGCCTTCAGCAGATACAGCGATAGGCTCCGTAGTGCTCGACCTAGTAAAGTCCACACCAGCTACTTCCCCGCCAAACTTTGGACTGCGAGACATGCTTGGAGCGGGTACGCTTGTAGGAACTCTGCCATCCCCTATGGAGTTGACGAGGTCAACATCTGAATAGTAGCTCGGAGTATGAATGCTATTTGTCTTAGGAATGGTCACGTTCCAACCAAGAGCTGTCCGATTCATGGGAGTCAGATGGATCTCGCTTATTGTGATGTTTCTTGTCTCCGCCGTTTGATTAGCGAAGCCAACTTTCAAATGGTTGGCAATCTGAACATTGTGTGGGTAGAGAATACGATCGGTAGCATTCCAGCCAAGAGCTCTTTGATTCATGAGATGAATCCCGCCGATCGTGATATTTCTCGTCTCCGTTGTATGATTAACGAGTCCCAGATTACGGAAAGAGGTTGGAGTGTGAGAGGTATTTGTCTTGGAAACAGAAATGGTGGCATTCCATCCCAGCGCTGTACGGTTCATTGCAGTCATGTGGATTGGGGCGACAGTGTGATTATTTGACCCTGTCATGGTTCCGTTGCTCCAAGTGGTGTTGAACGGCTTTCTTAAGGGAGCCTGCCAGATGGGAACAGTGATGTTGGCTGGGATGGTGTTAGTAGCATTCCAACCAAGAGCTGTTCGGCTCATAGGAATGTGATGGGTCGCATTGATTGTGTGATTGATTGACACATTCATGGTTCCGTTGCTCCAAGTGGCATTGAACGTTCCCCTGGTCGGAGTCTGCCAGATGGGAATAGTTCTATTAGATGGAGCGGTATTTGTGAAGTTCCAGCCAACAGCGGTGCGGTTCATGGGAATGAGATGGGCTGCGTTGAGTGTGTGGTCGGTTGGCGTAATCGTCCCATTGCTCCAAGTGGTATTGAATGGCTTCCTGCTGGGTGCTTGCCAGATCGGAATGGTACCGTTAGCTGGGACGGTATTGGTAGAGTTCCAGTTTGTTATATTCGCAGATCCCACTCGGACAATAGTTCCATTTCCGAAAGTGGCATTTGCAGAGTGTCTGTGAGGTAGCTGCCAAGTTGGAACGGTTCCTTCGATCGGAATACTGGACACTCGAGGAGGCCCGCTGGTGATGTTTGTTCTTCTAGTACCGGTCGTGTTCAAGGATGTCTCATTGATCAAAGTAGAATTACCAGAATATTTGCTAGGTGACTGCCAAATTGGAATAGCGCCTTGAACTGGGATGCCAGACTTCAGAGGACCCATAGACGCGGAGTCAGTTCTGCCAACGCCGTTTGAGTTGGCGGATGTTCCATTGACCACAGTGGAGTTACCAGAATGTCGGTGAGGAGGTTGCCACAATGGAACAGTCCCATCGATGACAGTCGGGGGTCCATTAGAAGGACCAAATGTGGTTCTGGTACTGTTGGAGGAAAGAACATGGGAAATATTCCTATATGGAGCTGGGAATACTGCAACACTGCCGCCAATGTGTGTCTCAGGCAGTTCAGGAAGCCTTGTCGGGATTTTTTGATTTCCTTTCGGAGACATGCCACGTGTATGACTGGCTGTTGGACTCTGAATATTGGAAGTAGCTGACGCACTGTCACTAGGTCTCAGAGACGTCGTCACCGTGACTGATGCTGGAGCAGAAGAGCTAATCGATGAAGTTGCACCTTGCGAAGAGGGCAGTGACGACTTTGATGTTGCGATTGTTCGGTCGTGAGAGGTCACAACTGAAGTGACTAGAGAGGTTATACCAGTGATAGAAGTCACAGTAGCCACAGAAGTCAAAGACTTGGTAGTCTCGACAGGGACAGGTTTTTGCACCTTTTGCTTGAACGAATGATGATTGACAGGCTTGCAGTCTCCTTGGCAATCTTCAAGCTTCTGCTTCTTCGTGTTAAATCGTTTCTTGCGGCGCGCGAATACGCCGGCGCCAAACAGACCTCCTATTGTTCCAAGTACGGCAGCTCCAGTGCCTACCAGTGCTCCAATTCCAGCTGTTCCGGCGAGTAACATCGTTTTGCTCCCCAACAATTGTTTGGGAGTCATGTCCGCAAGCTGAATGATGGGCAAGCCAACGTCTTGAAATACTGCTACCCCCTCATGCTCCGCCTCATGCTCTACCGCCCAAATGGCCTTTGCTGCTTGGATAGCATTGGCTTGGTGCAACATGTCCTTTTTCAGAGGAGGGACAGCTTGATTGACCAAGTATGCATATCTTTCCGTACCTTGAGTGACAGCCAAGAAAGTGTGACGTGCGATTTCCTCAATCCCTTCTGGTGAATCCTTGTACCAATCTGTTTTCTCCACTCCTTTCGCGACAAGATTCGCGAGTTCTTTTGCATCGAGAATTTGAGGTGAGAACGTATCTCTGTAAAATCTCTCCGCGCGAGAGCCTCGAACGTTGAAATGCATACTATGGAAGATACCTGGTTCGGCGGCCAGGTTGATAAGCTGCTGCATTGCAGCTGGTAGCGCTGCGAACTCTTCGTCAGGCATGGCATAGCGAGCGACTGCAAGTGTAGAAAGCTCAGCTACTGCTATGTCACGGACGGCCTCCTTAGACTGAAAGAACAGCGGCCCTATTTCCAGTGGCAAGGAGGCACTGGCAGCACCTTCAGGAGGATGGATAGGAACTAGATTACCTTTACCATCTGGTTTAAAATCGGTGATAAGAAAGTCGTTGGCTGCTTGAATATTGGCACTCAAAGCATTAGGGTACCATCTTAGTCGAGCGGCTACTGGGTCAGCCACGATATTGGTCGGCGCAAGGCGAGCCACGGCATCGGCGGTTTCAGCGGAGATATGATTGGTGAATTTCAATTCCTTCAGTGCACTGAAGAGGACCATTTGGCATGCAGTGAACGTTGCCTCTACCTCCATGTCTGTTATGGCATTTCGTCGTGCTCCATTGGCGATATTTGTCAACGCCCTGTCCAAAGCTTGGCTAGACTCTGGTATGTCTGGTCCTGAGCGAATGTCTACATCGCTGAGATTGCAATCAAAGGACAACGGTGGCCGAGCAAGCGGTCCGTTCGTACCAGGAACCGATCTGAGAGCCATTGGGACTTCCTTGAGCAACGGGGCCATCTGTGGATCACCATTCTTCCACATGAGTTTTGGTCCAGCTACCTTATAAGTACTGCTGTCCCATCGCCACATCTTGGGAATTTGAGAGCCGGGAGATGTTAAGACACCGAGTTCATGTGTTGCGAAGAAGGTATCGGCAGGGACATTGTTCCCATCGGCTGCCGAGAATAAGACATTGACTGGCTGTGCGTGATTCGCAGCTGCCTCGGCAAGCTTCAGTGCCACCACTGAGCTATCCAACGGTTCTGCAATTGGCGGAGGAGGTCCTGGATAACGAATGGAATTGAGCTGGTACTGATAGGATTTGAGAGCAAGCTCCCAGGGATAGAGATCCAGGTCGACTCCAGCGCCTACCATTTTGCTAGTCCAGTATTTCACTCCTGGATTGAGAGTTTGCAACATATCTTTGAAACTTGATAATTCAGCCATTGATTGTTTGCCAGTCCAAAAAATGATCTGATCGGTTTCTCTCAATGGGAATGAATCCATAGTCCATTTTTTTCCAGAGATCGATCTCAGGTGCGCCGTACCCAGCTGGCATTTCGACCTTGAATCCGCCTGGCATTATACCACGTTCTTGTAGCATTTCGCCAGGGAAACCCTGCTGACCAACTGGTACCATCTGACTTGAACGCGAGGGATTTGCGTGAGTATCGGTGGTTGCATTCGATCGGTCGTAGAGCAAAGTCGGGGGTTGTAGGATAGGATCCACAACTGGTCTTGCAGCAACCTCTGTGAAAGATGTCAGCCCAGATTCGCAAAGGATCTCGAAATTTGAAGCACATGGTACTTCTCCTTAAATGCAAAAGAGCAGATGGCGAGTTAGGAGGGAAGCACTTACGTATCCCGAAGAACAGGATAATGGCATGGCGGACAGCCAGCTTGGACTGTACAGCCATGATGCTTCGGCGTGGCAGCTATGTGAAGCTGCTCTGGGAAACGAAAGTACAATGCCGGAATTTTGAAGAACAAAGTCTCGAGGTAAAACTGCGTTGTGGTGGGCGTTTGGGAATTCGAGTTGAAGATAATTTTGAGATCAAAGAAAATGAGAAGTATATGTTGGAAGGTTATGTGACGAAAATCTGTACCTGTATTAAACTAAGAGAATAGAGATGGAGCGGTCGTCTTAGTGCATTGCTAGAGCACTGAACAGCTAGTAGCACGAAACTAGTCCCCCACACAAAGCAAGCACTGAGAATAGTTCCAACAGAAAATTGCAAACGTGATGCACAGGCCAAATGTCCCTCTAATGTTCTTGTTCATCTCAGTCGTCATTCACAGCAATTACCTTGCCCATAATTCTGAGACTATCGCATCACCAGAGCGCTGGCAGAGTGCACCAGAAAATGTATTCACCATCTTTTTATAGATACATAGGAAAGGCTTAATCAAGTTTCGTTGTATGTGGCTTGCAGTACTTAGTGGCCCCAGAAGAGTGGAAGCGAGAAAAGCAGACATTGTCTAGACTCCCGTGGAAGAGATGGTGGCGGGTGTACCCGTCGACAGTGCATCTCGTCCCCCACTTTACGGAGTAGGTCTTGAAAACCCTTTCTCCAAGATCACAGATTGTCCGGTGAACTTTTAGGATCCCAGGTACGAATCAAAGAAAGAATATTTAGTTGAAATTTTGCATCTCTCATTTAGTTTTTGATTTACCATGTCAGACTATAAGGCACTACGCGGCCGCAAGCATGCCCCTTTCCCACCGAGCATTCAAACCACTCTTTGCATATCCAAGAACAATGTAACATGAGCAGCAAACATCTCAGAATACTCGTTCAAGAACCCATGTCCAGTATCAGGGTACAGGTGGAGATGCGCATTCTTATTTCCCTTCAGAATCTGCTTGTGCATGACAATGCTATTCTCGGTCGTGACAATGATATCATCGTCTCCGTTCACAATAAAGATTGGCATCTTCAATTCATGGAGACGATGATACGAACCACTTTCTTCGTTTCCAGGACTGAACCATTTCGCTGCAGCGCCAGCCTGTCGTGCCGTCTGCTCTGGACTGACATAGGGTGAACGATCTTCGGTACGCTCATTCATTCGGGCCCACCATTCTCTACCGAGCCGCTGTTTTTCCTCAGTATGACTGTAAAATGTGCTCAAAAACGCATCCTCGCTCTCTTCCGGAGTGGAAGCCTTCATCAATTTTGGGAATGGCCAGTCAGGTCCGGAGACGATTCCCTCGCCATAGCTTGGGCTGGAGCCGCCGATGATGAGTCTTCGCACCACCTCGGGTGCATTTAGGGCAATCATCTGTGCGACCATTCCGCCCATAGAAAACCCAAAAACGTTGATTTCTTTGATCCCAAGAGCTTTCACGAGATTAACAGCTACAGTTGCCCATCCTGCGAATGTATCTGGGACATTTCTAGAGCTTTTGCCGACGCCGTAGCTGTCGAAGAGGAGTATGGGTCGGGTCTTGGCGAGATTATTGATCAGGAGAGGGTCCCAATGATCCATGGTCCCACGAAAATGCTGATTAAAGAGAAGTGGGACACCGGTGGATGATCCGAAAAGACGGTAAGCGACTTGGACTCCATCGACGTCGACGTACTGTGTCTTTGCAGTTTGTTGAGTCGACATTTTGACTACCGAGATTGGGCTATGAAAGGTATCTTGGATGCTTTTGAATAAAATCATTATTTCTCAATTGTCGAGCCTTTTATATATTATTTCTTGCTCTCTAAACTGAAAACTTTATACCAATTTCCTCATCCAGTAATTCATGAACCAATAAGATTCATTTGCCTACAGAGACTGCCATGGCTGATTTATGTAAGCTTCTGGCAGCACTTCGAAAGCTTACCAAGATCCATTCGCAGAAAAGGACGAGTCATCATGCTTCCTCCGTGTAGTATCGCCGATATGCGAATCAAAGTCGGTACCAAAATCTACGGTTCTCGCTTATTTAGCGTGTCCAAATAGGGGAGAAAACCTTACCGTTTTAGGCCATCGCAATCCTTGCAAGCCACTCTGTGGCTTCCTCACGATGGCTAGCTTCATGACACAGCGATTATATAATCCATGTTGTGTCAGCTTCCTTGAATGGACATCACTGACCATAAGGCTGAAACCTCAGGGAGGATTGGATATGCCCGTTTGTGAGAAGATGGGAGATCCTCTGTTCGTGAGTAGAGATGCAGCCAAGACTGTATCGAGCGAATGAGATTGTAAAGCCTCGTATAGTACGTCTAGTCTCTGACTTATTCTTATCTGCTGGTGAAATGAGAGTTTTCAAGTCGGGAGCACAGATGTTCAAGTCATCGTGATGAGAGCTTTTGAACCGTAGGAAAATTATCTCTAGATGCGCATTCTTTTCGGAGAATATCATTCAATCGATGTGGCGCATGCTTCTCGCCATAGTCTTGAGCCGAAAGAATCAAGCTCAACTTGCCAGCTCAATCTTCTGAGCATACCTTTACAGCCGTCCCAATTCATGATGCTCAGCGTGCGACCAATGGCGGCTAACTGGACGACAAACCATTCTCGCTCTGGCTTTCCTTCAGCTGCCATACCGCCGACTATCAAACTCCACAGCAGATTTTCGTAGTCCTTCCCAAGGTTTGCAGCTTCGTAGAACACATTCTGAAGAACAGCTTCCAGTCGGACGACAGTTTCACCGACGACTCGGAAATTGAAGCTGAGATCACGAAAACAAACAGAGCAATAGATCAGAGCGGCGATTGACGTTGCAACCTCTAAGTGGCTGGATTTTGGGCTGTGTAACACTTCCAAGAGGCAAAATTGGAGATAATACACTTTGTCGCTGTACCAAATATTCTCTTGAGGGGTAGAAGAACTGCATCGAACATGCTGTAGCGACAAAGACATGTCTCGAACCTCAGACATAGTCCACTCGAGTAGTGATTGTTCTGAAATAAGTGTTAAGTCGGTCCTTAAACTGTTGGCTATTGACGACTGGAGATTGCGGTCTTCGGCATCAATATTCATCTGGGAAAGAGGGCTATCGGGATACCTGGCGACTGAGAGTGGCGGAAATCGCGTTGGTTGTGATAGAGCGTTCGCACAGTGGAGATCCGTCCTGACGTGTGTCAATTTCAGTACTAGCTAGTTGAAGGTTGAGCACGCACCATGCTATCAATCGCCGGACGTTAGGATCAAATCCTCCCTCCAGAATACCGCCTCTCATGTTAACCATCTCTTCCAATCCTTTGAGATGTACAGCCATACTGTCCAAAGAGCCGTTCGATGCCTGCCAATTTTAACTTCGAACCCATAAAGTTGATGTCTAGTCTTACTTCATAAACAGCCATGTTTGCGACCGCAGCTATTGTCCCATCTGATAGTGTATTGTGAGCAGTCGCGAGCCTTTCGTTAACTATTCGTACAGCTTCCATACGATGGTAGAGACTCTCCGCCGGGTCACCAGCCCCATATCGTAGGTCATAACTTGCTACATAATGAGCGAGAAAGGTGTGGAATAAAGCTGCATCATGGACAGCAATTGAGAAGAGACCTTTACGCATAGGCATCATGAGCCAAGAAGAGTGCAATCTTTGATTGACTATACATCAACAGCTTCGTCAGCAAGAGCTCGGAAAGGACCGACAAAATAAGCGTGGGAAAAGCAAAGATTAACTCACAATAGTGATGTAGCAACAGTTGTGTTCTCGAGTCGAGGAGAAGAGACACAGAGTCGAAAGGGTCTATTGCTGCTATTGCGGGTGCTCTAGTGACGGAAGTCGCCAGGCTTAGTCTTGCCAGTAAGTCTTGGAGCTCCTTAAACTTTTTGGGCAAATCTTCCTCATTCGAAACGCTGGGTAGCGCGTTATTTGTCTCGTTTGACAACAAATTCGCTTTTCTTATCGAATGAGTCTCTCTCGCGCTCTTCTCTGTTTTCCTTGTGCCTTCTTTATCAGAAGACATTCGATAGTCGCCAAGAGTTACCGGCAGCCAAGCCTTAAATGTCTTCTTCCCGTCGAGTCTGTATCTCTGAGTTTGCTCTTTCGCACTTAATGGAACTTGAGATCCGTCTCCGTGGTTGTTGTGAGACCCTGGATCATCGTGTTTTTGCGTTCGGCGCCTATGATACTCCCGCATTACCTGTGAGCGAACGGAAGTCCTGGCTTTGCTGTCAAGAAATACGGAATTGGTAACATTGATGAATTGAGATTCGAATTTATCAGAATTTTTCGTCTTGGTGGGAGGCATAACGAAAATAAGATAGCTAGGATAGCTTGTTGGATTTCGAGACGTGCCGGGGCTGGGTAGATGATTCGGGTTTAAAGAATGAATCCTTGAGAGGTACCTAAATGACTTAGTTCATCCCAGATATTTCGCAATATAAAGCAACATAACAGAAGGATCGCTGAACCCCCCTTCCCGAAATTCCAGGGGCAACATTGAGCAGGGTCAAGAGTCTTGCGAAGAGTCTGTCATGATGGATGCTTATGACTGCTGCGGTACTGAAATGAACGAGGCGTCGTGTAAGCGATTTGCTTACCTAGGCTGCTGCCAACGTTCGCTGAAAGATTCCTTTTTTTATTATTTCAAAGTCCTTATCGAGGTGAAGAACGAGGATGTTGTACAATGTTCACTCATCTGCCGAGGGATTATGTAAGCTGTGACAGCACGGTGGGAAGCTCAGTACGTAGACGAAGAATCGATTCGGCTATCTCTTAGAATCTAAAGGTAAGGAAGAGAAAAAGAATGAGAGAGGGAAGGATCTATGTATATATATGCCAGGGTAAGGGGATGTCATGTGAGGGGCTAGGCTCCATTAGGCCTAGAGCTCGGGAACGCCACCATTCCCGACCTGACCAGGGCGGTTGAGCTGCAACCTCACATCCAGGTGATCCGTAACATAAGCAATAAATTAGTCAGCCATCGACGAAGACTTTTCAGCCCCCAACATCCGGTGTCACCTCCAAGCAATGGACTCATCTAGCATTTCAGTAACGAGAATGTAGATAGATTTTAAGTTATATGATGCAAACCTGGGAACGGGTAAAATTACCTTACAAAACGAATGCATGAGATACCCGACCGCCAGCCCCTGAGAAGAAGCGAGCCGTAGCCGAGAATCTATTTTCCTACCAACAACAAACCAGTGCTGTAATTTCCTCACTAGCAGATTTAAGTTGAACATGAAACCCCGAAACACTTGTCAACCGATATTTCCATTCTAATTTAGCATTACTTCATTGCTTCATTGGAGTTACTATAACTTCTCTTCGCTTTTCACAGCCTGCTCTTCCAAACGCGGCAATCTAAAGAGAATGCGTTCACGAATATCCGCGGCGATCCTGAATTGAGATACTGAGCTTTCTCACACTCCCTGTCTGAGCATGCATCGTAAACACTACCCAATCAAATCTTAGTTGCCCACAAATATGGAGACCTGCTCCTCCGAGTTGAAAAGGAGTGCAAATATGCAATTTGTGTGAGAGTTTTCTCAGCAGTGGGAACATTCAAAAGGGGAAACAACCTCTATTGTTTAACTACTATAAAAGCAATATATCCGAGTGGTAATGGAAGCAGGGGAGTATACCCCAATCCAATCTTTCGTTCTGATCTAGCGAACATAGGCATCATTAGAGGAGAAGACCACGTCAACCCTATCAATCTGAAATGTCTTTTCTTGTGCACAAGAGTCAGTAAGACCTGGATAGCTGGATGATATGCTGCTGGAAAAGCGCATACAGCTGCGTAAAAAGCGTAGGGCTGAATTTTAATCAAGCCACCATAAGGCTGCATCATTCATCACGAGTGCTTTCCTGCCAATATCAGCCCAAGGGTAGCCATTCCCATAAGACAGAAGCTGAACAAAATTAAACACATGAAAATTGAGATCACGGTATGTTCACCTTGTATCGTGGCGCGTTGTTCTTCTTCTAACTGGTGATCCAATAGAGAGCAGATTTCAAATCTTCATCCATAGCCACGACGAAAGGGCGTTACCCTTCCACCCCACGCAAATATGCAATACACGGCTATCCATCTAGTCCTGCAGCTGTTCGAAGTTGGCGGACTCTTCTACAACATAGAGAATACACGATAGCAGAGCACGACGCGGGTTTCGTTCAAAGGCAGTTCCGATGAAGAGCCTCTACACGTGAGCTCTTTATGTATCTTAGCCCTTGGAAATGTGGCGAAATAAGTTGTGCGGTTTAAGTTTGTTGCGATTACAGGCTCGAATCTGGATGTATGGAGTGTTTGGAATGATTTGTAATACTATACTGTGCCAAGTTTCGCAAACAAAAGAAGACACTAATCAGTAAATAATCGTTTCATTCCCGGTCAGGATACACAATTAAGGTGTTACAGTATTCTCCACCACCAGCATTCTGTTTTGTGTCCTTCGGTGATAAATCTTTGGGGTTACTGTAACTAGATTTAGTGAGCCGAAGCCCTGTCGGTGAAGCCCAGTCGTGCACAGACGTAAATTACCCCACCAGGAAGGTGGGATATAAATGCGCTCCATCATTTATAATCCGCAACCGAGAAGAGACACCGTTTTCCAACAAATCGTGTTCTAGAGAGTATTTAATCATTGGTATTCAAGTGATCCGCGTGTCACCTTTAGAGAACTATTACTACGATTCTAGATATTCTCAGGGGAAAGAAAACTTCACTTGCTTATTTCAAATCAGCCATATCATACTTAGGTAAATAGCTTCAAAATGGCGACATCTCTCGAAGGCTCCTACGACGGACTTGCGCCATTCGACTGGCCCGCTGCCAAAAAACCACTGCAGACCTGGTATCGTGTATTTGGCGACCTCACGTCATCCATCACTCCCCTAGTCATAATCCACGGCGGTCCAGGCTTCCCCCACAACTATCTTCTCAACCACCGCGCACTCACAGACAATCACTCCATCCCGGTCATCTTCTACGACCAGGTCGGCTCCGGTTTCTCCACTCGCCTCCCAGAAACTGCATCATCCACCGACTTTCCCAATTTCTGGACCATTGAGATCTTTAACGAGCAATTACGCCAACTTCTTACTCACCTCAAGATTGAGGGCCGCTATGATATCTTAGGTCATTCCTGGGGAGGCATGATGGGCTCCGATTTTGCGCATCTTAGGCCTTGTGGACTGCGGAGACTGATCCTGGTTAATTCCGCAGCGAGCAAGGCGCACTCGATTGCGAATCGGAAGAGGTATCGCGAGGAGCTGCCCCAAGAAATGCGGGATGTGCTGGATCGAGTTGAGAAGGAAAATGCTTGGAGTAGTAAAGAGGCTAGAGAAGTGATGGCGGAGTTTTCAAAGAAGCATGTCTGCACGGTGTTCCCGTTTCCGGAAGATGGGATGGCAGCTATTCGAATTAGTAATGAAGATACGACGGTGCCTGATACTATGTAAGTGGCCGGAGTTTCCATTTTGGGTGAAAAGAAAAGCTAATGGAATAGTGGTGAGGATGTGGATGGTAATTCATTCAAGTGTCGGGGTTATATGGCTACGTGGACTATGGAGGGCAAGGCGAAGAAGATTGAGGCTCCGACATTGGTGATCAACGGCGTTGATGAATTTGCGTCTGGAGATGCTGTGAAGCCTTTCTTAGACGAGATCCCAGATGTGAGACTGGTTACGATTAAGGGAACCACGCACTCGCCACATTTTGAAAAGAGGCAGGAATACATGGAGATTGTGGGAGATTTTCTGGTCGCGCCTTGAATATTACAAGCTTGCATGACAGCCTTACACAATCTGATAGCCCACTTGGATCTATTCTACATAGAAAATTACATCTTCAGAGTGGTCCAGGCTAACCGACCCTCTTAATCTGCAATGACCATATTTTGCTCCAACTGTCCTCGATTGAGATCATATTCCTTTTCGTAAGAACTGTCATTGAAACATAGAATCTATTCTTTGCACATCTTTTTGTGCTCTGTCCAGTCCTTTCGAGCAGTACTCCGCAACCTTGCATTTGATACGCTTCAAAGCCACCCTTCTCCATTGTGATCAAAGTTGAAAGGTTCCATGACATGTCGAGTACGATACCAATTCGATGAGCCATGGGTGTTGAATTGGCGGTATTGAAGTGCATGACGAAAGGCGATTGCATCTCCCGTGAAAAATCCGAGGGTCAGATTTTGGCTTGCCTGCACTCGAAAAGACTTAGTCCATGCCTCGAAATGACGTTGTGCTCCCATTGTAGCCTTGTATTGAGCGGGATGCGTCGTAGCTTTGGGCAGAGTAGGCGAATAAACAGTGGCGAGTGGGAGACTTAGATGAGGGTCGACAGCGGCATGGATGGTTTCAGATTCTGTGGCCGAAGATGCGAACATTAGATTTCGAATCTTGTCCTGAGCCACCTGTGACCCTTCGTCTCTCCGTCTCTGTTCATTGGTTCATTTACGGCTTTCTAGCATCAAGCAACAAAGGCATAGCTTCCAAGAAGAGCATAAACCTTCCAAGGGTCGATCTCTGTCTCATGTTTCAAGATCTGCGCAACAAGCCGAGCATTTCGAATGTCAAAATGACTGCCCATAAACTCCAAGTGTTCAATAATCCAGGATCGCATACTTGTTGAGTACACTTCGACTGCCCCGCAATATAAAGTGGAAAGATCGTGGTGTAGCAGTCCAGTTTCTCTGCGGGGTTATGAGTGTGCGGCAGGGTAGTCTGTATTCCAGATTTCATTAAGTTGGATTTGTCTCGGCAGTCCGTATACTGCCGCGCAGAAGAACAAATTTCTTTCGCCAGCATCTCAACGTTGTCCCTCAGTGTCTGTCTCGGAGCCACGCCGTTGGTCGTCGTGGTTTTTCGCTCTAATTCTCCTGAGTACTTGAGAATTGATTCGTTCAGAAGTATCCTGATAAGGCGACAGACGTTCCATGTCTGGGTGACATGTCGACTTGGGTATTGATCAACTTGATTATCCCAGAGCTTTTCCGTCGAGTTGATGGAGCTAGAATATGCTGTACAAAACTTCCAGTCCGGGGGCATTTTGGAAGCAAAACTTTGCAATCTGGATTCGAGCTCCATTAAGAGACCGTTTTGTTGAGAGACACTCAACTTACCACCGCGAATTTGACTGCGAAGATTGGCATAGGAAACCATCAGATCCGAAAGCCGCCACTTCGGATCCACTACGTTGAGATGTTCTCCGCAGTATGCTCGGACTTCTTGCAGATCCATAGGCACTGCTAAGTTACTAGCAACAGAACTGATCAAATGATTTGTACTCAGACGTCCGAGAATTCTCACTTCGGCCGTACCCCTAAACGTATTCAGGCCACTGAGTTTAACAAGTGCAAGTGCACCATCGATATGGCTTGTCCAAGACTTGTCTTTTCAAGGCTCTGCACCAGTGATCTTTTCGTAGAGATCTAAAAGCAATGAAGATAGTAAAGTTGTCTTCTTTTTTGCTAGTGTTGGGCATTCAAGTGCTTTATTTGTCGATCGTAGTGCTGAGACGTATCGCTCTCGCGATGTCAAAAGAGCTGCTTGGGAATACACTTGATGTGAAAGATACGCTAGACTGACAGCATCAATGCTGAAGCCAGGTATGGTGGTATATCTGTAGAATCCGAGTACTTTTCAAGGAAGTCCCACGTCTTCAAAGTTCCAGTAACATAATGGAGAAAGAAAGACTCCCGCGCCTGCACATGGAGAGCCTGGGAGAGAGAATGCAGGTGTGGAGGAGAAGGACTCAGTTTACTGATAACTCTTCTCCTTACGTCTTGGCTCTGGTCGCGAACACGGAGTTGACGGGTATCTCTATAGCCCGAGCAGAGTTTCTGGGCTCGAATGCATGGAGAGCAGGCAGGAGTCGCGAAGTCACACTGAAGATCTTTAATGGTTTATCAAGAGCGAGATCGAGGGCGGATCTAACGTACCTTCAATCTCCGGTCGCGACATCTTTGGCAGGCTCTGGAAGGCTTCCCGCAGAATACCATGTCTGCATGGTAACACTGATAAAGAGTTATGAAGTGAAGTCTGATGAGATTTTGATGCTCACTTACGTAATAAATAGTATAGCTCTTCGATAGGACAGACCATTTCAGATACTATTCCTATTTGAGCATGCGACTCGACGCTAGCTTTCTCCGTCCGGAGACTCGGAGATAATCCCGGATCTTAATGCTTTCCGCAAATATATGACAATGCAGTCTCCACGTCGAGGGCATGCTCCCAAATCGCACTGGATTGCTACCCACCGAGTGGTTCCTTAGTGATGCAGTAGCCATCGTTTCGTCTAGGTTTTAACTGCTTTTGGGGTGGCATTTCGACGCCAGACTGTCAAATGATGTGAATAGTCCTGAGGCCAGTCTCGGAACTGGTTATAAAAGGTGGGGTCTCCCGCCGTCGTTCTCAATGCTCACAGACGGTCTTCTACCAGTATTCAAATCTCGACCGTCATTTCATATTGCTCTTCAGAGGGTATGGCTTTCCCCTATAAGCATGTGGTCCTCATTGGCGCCACCTCTGGCGTAGGCAAGGGTATGGCGGAAAGCCTGGTCGAGTCTGGGGTTAAGGTCACCGCTGTTGGTCGAAGGCAGGATAGACTGAACGAATTCGTGAACAAATATGGGAAGGACAAGGCTGATGGAGCTGTGTTCGATATTGCTGAATACCAAAAGGCCCAGCAGTTCGCAGCCGAGTAAATCCTCTTCTTTGCACCTTCGTGTATCATGCTAATATCCATTTGTAGCATTATGGAAAAGTCTCGGGATATTGACTGTCTCTTCCTTAATGCTGGGATTCAGCGCAACTGGGATCTCGCAGAACTTGAAAACATTGATCTCGAAGAGTTCAATTCAGAAATGACAATCAACTATACCAGCTTCGTAGCTCTTGTTCAAGCATTTCTGCCGTATCTCAAAAACCAGAAGCCAGCTAGTATTATCTTGTGAGTCTCTTGTCTATAAAGAAATAGCTCCCTCCAAACATCTAACAGTGTAAAGCACTGGATCAAATATTGCCATTGTTCCGGCCTCCACCCTTCCAAATTATTCCGCGTCCAAGACAGCGCTCAACGTTTTCACACTCTGTCTTCGAGAGCAGCTCAAAGTTGCAGGATCCCATGTGAAAGTCATTGAGATATCTGGCCCTCCAGTTCAAAGTAAGTTCTCTCCATCTCACCTTCCTGGACACTTTCTAACAGACACTAGCCGAACTTCACGACTACATGGGTGCGGAGACAGGAAGAAAGATGGGAATGCCGTTAGAGGACTTCACGAAGCTGGTCATGGACGGTTTCTATGCAGGTCACGATCAGATTGTTATTGGATCTATTCTGGACCCTACGACCTTCAACGAAATTGTGAACAAGAGGCGAACTGCTTTTGAGAAATTGGCTGAAATCATACGAGTAGCTACAAAGACACACAAGGGGTGATGGGCAGGCTTTGAGAAGTATGAGTTGCCTCCCATAGACAAGCTCAGATCTAGTATTTTTGGATACATGAACGTTAAACAGAACATAATCCAACCAAGCTCAGACGTCCTGGAGAGCTGCAGAATTCTGTAACGAACCATCGGGACCAGAAGAGCGCTTGTTCTCGAGATCGCCACAGCCTGGACATTGTCTATTGCAACTTCAAGGTCGCATTGCTATGACGAGTAGGCGGTACGAACAATTTCCGTTTCTCAATGCCTTCTGTTTTCCGCCACGTATAAACCACATCCTGTCCTAATCTAGACATCTCAAAACCCGTGAATGTTTCGCTTTTCACCTCACGCCGTCCAAGATCCCATGTCACGCTTGGTCCTTGCGTCATAGAATAAGCCAGCTGCTCGGAGCTCACGACGATATTGATTCGCTCTACACCTACGGTGGAGGCAACAACCAGGTAGTGAAGCAAGCTGTGGGTTCCATAATTTTCGCTCCAGTGTCTCTCGGGAACCCGACGGAGGTCCATTGTGACTGTCTGGAAGGCATTTTGAAGGATGGACTTGTGGTTACGAAGCTTGGGCTTTACCACCGGCCAACACGTAGGGTCGTCACTTTGATTCAAGAATTAGTATCTTGTATACCTCTCTGCCGAAAACTCTAAAAACTTACTCGATTTCTTCCAAGACCACGGTGATGTGGTGAATCTTCATCATATCCTTCATAGGAAGAGCCATGAATTCCTTCTCATTGCGATATGTAACCACAAAGTTGGTCTCCTTGTATAGCTTCTTGGCTTCTTGGTAAAGTTGGGGCTCTTTTGTGGGGCTGAAAGAGAGTAGCAGCGGCGGAAGGCGCGTTAAAGGCTCGGGGGTCATATTGGACCGAAAAATCTGGTCCAAGATCTCTGGTGGGAGCTGCCTCAAGGGAAATCTTTCGATCAATTAGCAGATGTCATAACCCAATATCGACTGAAGCGCTTCATACCCTCGCGATTGGTCCATTTTGGTGACTTTTCCTGTCAATGAAAGTCGATGGCAGCCTTTTGTCAATCGAAAAGCCGTTTGTTTATGTTTTGTGATTGCAAACTGGCGAGTGCTTTGTAGTAATATTGGCAAAGTACGCTAGCCGTTTCGGGAAGTTTACAAGAAGTTACAACGCAGCATAGGCAATCCAAAACCACATTTGCTTGTAAATGGTGAGATGCTTGAATTTGAGCCATTCGATTCTATGATATCCTTCTATTGAAGCAAAGATTCCACTCAATGCTTCTTGTAGGTGACACAACACCCGATCTGAAAGCGAGAAGGTCTGTTATCATTCACACAAAATTCTGCACGTGTGCGGCCGCAATGTCCAATAGTAAACATTCCACTTTTCAAGTCAAGTATATGTTTCTAAAGCCTATTTTGAAACAATGGTAGACGTCTCATGGATAATAAGACAATAAGTATGGGATAATTATTGCCTGACAAGACAAGAGCTAGTGTCTGGTGGAGTCTCACTGTCAATGGTGTGCATTAATTAGTGCCCTGTGTTTCTCTCTCTTTGATAAAAGCTCTTCTCTAGTAAAGCCTCTGGACGGTTAGAGACATCGATGAAGTCTCTTGTAAAGGATGCAAAGGTCACAATCTCATGCTGGTGTGCGGTGCTGTTCATACAGTTTTTCTTCCCTTTCGAAACATCACAGACACTTGCAATAATTGTCACGGAGCAAAACGCTGACCTTTCAGGAATTTGGATAAACATGCTGCCATTGGCTCTTCTTCAGGTGTCAAGTCGTATTCATCTACATTATTGATGGAGCTGCTGCTTGTGAGATCGAAGTGAAACAATCTCTCCTTTTTAGATTAAAACTTGTTGAAAGTCTAAAGTTAATCGTGAGAGGCAAGCAACGCCGATATCGGAAACACTTCAAGAATGCGGTTAGCAGCCTCTCCACACTCCATGCAGCTGCGTTACCTGGATGTGACGAGGTCTTATCAAAACTGTATGCCACTTGACTACGACTTCATGGATTGGATGTGCCAACACAATGACTCTTTAAGGTTTCTTCACTCCTACCTCCGTTTTTTCCAGGAAACTCGGGAGGGCCCGGGTAGGAACCAACCAACAAGCGTTGCTTATCATCCAACTTGGCAGCGACATATCGTTGACAGCAGATCAGGCCATGGGTTGGACGTAACCTATGCGGTAAATTGCATGATGCCAACAAATAAATTGGGATTAGTCGAAGTCCAACTTTGTTTTCGTCTTTTGAATCACCCTACCAGAATTATTTCCACAGATATCATCTTGTGCTTCAGTTTTTTAGACCAGAACGATCTGCAGAAACTCCCATTGCTGCACACGTTATCACCGTGAGTTTCATACTGCAGCAGCCAAGAACAGAGGTCTGGCTATCGAATTGAAAGCGGGGCCATTACACAATCATGTCTAGAATCCAAGAGCTAGCCCGTATCATCGCCGTCCATACCGATCTAATCGATTTGTTCATCACCTCCAAAGATCAACAGCAGCCATCTTTCGACATCAATCTTCCAGAAACATTGAGTCTCCCTAGTGCTCTTCAGGAATCTAGGAAGCTTGTTATCGAGGCCATGACGGAGTTGAAGGAACTTCTCCAAGGCCCCAAAGAGCTTCTGCTTAGCAATTCTGTAAGCTGAGATACCGACCCTCATGACTTCCTTACTAACCTTGAGTTACTTCCAGTCAAATCAACTACTTAGTCTGCGCTATATATATCATTTTCGGATCGCACATTCCTTTCCCGTTGGCGCAGAAGCTACGTTCCTCCAAATTTCCAAGGTATGCGGGCTTAATGAGCCGGATGTACGTCGAATCATGAGGCATGAAATGGCACATCGTATATTCCGCGAGGTCCAGAAGGGCGTCGTTGTCCATACAGGAGCATCACAACTTCTTGCGCAGAACCGGCAATTGCAAGCTTGGGTGGGCACCTGCGTTGAGGAAATGTGGCCCTCTGCGGTTCAGGAAGATACTACCTCTCCAACAGATAGACCGTACTGACTGGATATAGGCAGTTCCTGCCATGATAAAGTGGCCAAATTCACAAAAGCCTTCGCACACTGTAAGTATACACTCCATATCAGGGAAAAATACCCTGAGACTAACACATCGTTTAGGGCTTTTCCCTTGCGAATGACACCGATGAACCTATCTACGAGACGCTGAGAAAGGACCCGCAACGAGCTGCCCGATTCGCGGAAGGCATGTCGTCCTTCGCCACAGGGGCAGGGTACGAAACACAGCATGTTGTTGAATACAGTCTTTGGTCGTCTATAAGTGGAGGGCTTGTGGTGGATTGCGGAGGATCTCATGGAGATTTCATGATTGCTATCGCCAAGAAGTATCCGTCTTGGAATTTCATCGTCCAGGATCTTGCGAGTACAATTGAAAGCAGGCCCGAACTGCCTCCAGGCTTGGAAAATCGGGTTACCTTCATGGCTCATGATTTCTTTACTGAACAGCCTGTCAAGAATGCTGATGTGTATTTCTTCAGATGGATATTCCATAATTGGTCGGACAGGTACTCTTTGCGCATACTTCGCAGCTTAATTCCGGCTTTGAAACCACAAGCGAGGGTCATCATCAATGACGCATGCTTACCAGAGCCTAACACCTTACCAATAATGGCAGAAAGGAGTATCAGGTATGTCAACTCTGCTTGTTCTTATTTATCCTCTAATCTATGCAGGTCCATGGTTCTTTCCATGTTGCAAATCTTGAATGCGCGAGAGCGAGAGAAGCAAGATTGGGAAGATGTGTTCAAGCTAGCAGACCCAAGATTCAAGTTCTTGGGGATACAACAGCCACAAGAGTCTAGACTTGCTTTCATTGAAGCCATCTGGGAGCCTACTAGAGTGCGGGATAATTGATTCTCAACAATATTTTCATATTTTTCATAGAGTTCCAGAATGGAAGTCAGGATTCTTGGACAACTCCCAATATCTGAGCAAATCGTCTCATATATGATGATGAATAGACGTAAGGTCAAAAGCTTCATTTAGGAAACGAAGAATGTGGGCACAAACGACACCTGTAAAGTATGTGGCAGCTGTTCCCAACACTCGCTGATCATTGCGAGAAGCTTCTATTCAATATGAGGTTTCAGAAGAGACAGTGAGTAGTAGATAAAGAGATCCAATTTGAGAAACTTGGTAAGTTTGACGTTAACAACTGCTGCCATGCTCAATATATCAGAATTCCGCGCTAGTACTGCTCTCAATGCCCAATCACGAAAAGTAAGGCTACAAGCATAGAAACACAAAACCACCTGCACCAGGACAGGGATGAACTTCCCCGAGCAGCAGCTCGATGGATCCAGAGTTATGGAACCTATAACATCTCGAGTTAGAAACTCCACTTGTTACCAGGGAAAGTGAAATGTGTCCAAACGCACGGGGAGCTTTGCACACTTTGCTCGTTTGCTCTTGTGTATAGGGCTCCTTGAAAGTAGGCTGGGCACTCTCCTTCAAGAGAAAATGTCAGAGGTCTAGTTGTTGTTCTGACTGATCAGGCATTGCTTACCTCAGTCATGAGTTCGGTGTATGATTTCGGAATCGCAACAGCAAATATTGTTGAAGCTGCCGCCAGCGCGATGAGCAAAGAGTGGAATTGCATCTCGAGGAGGGAATTGCGGTTGATTTAATGGCCCTAGGATGTCCCTGAGATGATAGATGTTGGAACTCGAAAATGGTACGGAGTATGGAAAATAATTTAGAAGGGAATGATGTAGGGGGCAGCAAGCTGGGAGTACCACGTGTAAGACTTCAATTTGACAACAGACATTGGATCAGTATGTCTCAAAATCTGAACACCGGCTGTGACCCGAAGAACCCCTTTGGTGGGAGATTATAAACATATGGTTTATCGATTGATAGCACTCTCTCACGAATAACTTAAATTTGATACTGACAAAACAGAGGACGAAGGAGTCAAACTGTAACTGACATTGAGGTAATCCTCCCTCGAGATTATAAAATTTATTGCAAGTGCTCTTGTCATGCCACAAAAGCAGGGCTAGCAGCAGTGAGACATTGAGGCAGCCGTGTCTCGGCCCGTGCCGAAAAACAATGCCCTCAACGCGAAAAGGTCTCAAATTGTTGTCTCCTAACAACCATCAGGAAAAAGAAACAAAACGTACCACAATCACCCCATGCATAGATATCCGCAATAACTGACCACCAAGTCTAAGTTGTCAGCTCGTGATCTATTTCAGGCAAGGGAGGCACAGACCCATGTACGCCTTCGAGGTTTGGGCAGAGGATGGTGCTGCATGCCACCCTTTCCTCCCTTAACGTACGACCATGGACAAAGGAAGTGGCGTCGTAATCTGCTGTCCTGCCCATAAATCAGTGTGAGGCGTGACGACAGTTCTGACTGCTGCACCTTCGTTTCACTTTCACTTGACCAATCTCAGATCCATATCCAAAAAGATACATCCAATGATGCGAAATACTTTCATAATTCATCAGATATTAATATTAGTCATGAATGCTTCCTTCCCAATTATCTCCACTGATCCAAAACCTTGGTAAATAGCCCTGCCAACTTGACTATTAGTCCACATTCAAGATCCTCGCATTATCACCATCACAGTGCGTGATTCTCTGACACAGACCGAAATACTATCTAACTGACTTAGACTCCAGGAAGCGGTTGGAAGTTCGGAATGTTCGCGGGCCAATCCCCGATTTTCCCTGGGTCACCACCAATGCGAATAAATTGTCCGACAGACGGTGTCGGACCGTCTAGAACGAAGAGCATGAACCATCCCGGGGGAGCCACATGTGCACTTGGAGGTGCCGTAATTTTGCAAGTAGTACCATCACACGAGAAGGCAGGGAAGATTGTTCTCTGGCCAAAGGCATTCCCGTGAGTCGTGACCACAGATCCAAGCATTGAGATTGAAGAAGCAGTGCCAGAAGTCACGGTGATTGTGACTGTCTCTCCATACGCCCAATCTGTGTTCTCGATTGTGTATTCTGGGCGCGCGAGACCAGAGAGTAAGTATGGTGGGGAGAACACTTCAACGCGGTACTCCTCGGGCCATACTCCAGATGGTTGGTTGTAGTCACCTGTGGGATCGGAGCCAGAGATCATGACACGGCCGTCGAGAAGAACGATAGCTTCTGAGTGGTAGAGACGCGCGACTGTGGTATTTGCCATAACGCTCATGCGAGAGTTGGCTGGTTTAGATGGGTCGTAGAGGATGGCGTTGTAGTTTGGCACACCTGCGAGGCCGAAGCCAGCATATCCGTGTTGACCACCGTTGACAATGACTAGATCTGGAAGTCAGCAGTGCCCAGAGGAAGTAAAGAAGTGGGGAACACGAACCATAAGTTCCGTCGGGAAGACCAGCCATGCACGGCATCACACGGCGTGAGGGCTGTAAAGCGTCAGTACGGACTTATTAGACTCAGAATAATCACGTACCATTCTCTCAATGGTCCAAGTCGCACCCTCATCTTCCGGTCTCGTAGAAATGCAATTGTCAATAGGATATCCACCGTTCGATGTAGAACCACCGCAAATCAAAACACCCAAGTTCTCCGTGTATGGAGCGTACTGCGGCAACAACACCATGCTACCCTCCAGTTGATATGAGCGCCCGCCAGTGTCGTCGTTCACAGCCCCAGGCATGTTCGGCAACGTTTTGACAGTTTCGAACGTAACTTCGTCCAGAATTCGCGCTTCATTGTAGTAGGCGATGAAGATTCCAGAAGGAACGACACAGACGAAGGGGTAGAGATTGAAGGGTTGGGTGCGGTCCAGAAACTCTAAGTAGACGGTGGTGTTCGAGTATCTATCGCCAGGTTAGTGTTGAAAGGTTCTGAAAGTCAAGGATATTTCACTGTTACTCCAAGCTGCGTTGTCACAGAGGAAAAGGACAATAGTATGGGAGTCAGACGTACCCACTAGTGGTGCTTGAGTCTGGCACTCCAGTCGCCGGGAGGAGTTCGAGGGTAGGTTCCTCAGCTTCGTTGTCACCAATTTCTCCTCCAATTATCATTATAGAACCATTCGCCATCTGCATGATGGAAGGGTACCAGCGTGGTACTAGTAGATGTTAGTCAATCTACGTCTCAGTTGAATGTGAATGCCCGAGATCGTCCTCATGTTTTGATATCCCACGAGACGACGACGAGCCAAGAGATATGGAAGCACAAGCGGCTATGAAGGCAAAGAGGAAAAGCAAAAATGATAAGACATTACCTTGTAAGGAGAGAACACCAGCATCTTCGTCCCAGTCATTCGTGCCTTTAACTCCCGCAGACCCATCAGGCGTGTAGAGCCTCACACCAAAGTTGGACTGTCCAGCCCATCCTCCAACAGTAAGCTGCCTTCCAGCCTTGTCGGGCAAAGTAAGCCCAGCAGCACAGAACACGTCAGTCTGGAGTCCATTCATAGTCCTCCAAGCAGCAGTGAAGTTGTTAATCTCCGTCAAATCAAGCTCATAGACTCCCGTTCCATTCGGCTCACCAGTCCCGTACTTCTCGACAAACGTAACTTTGCCAGTCACGACTTGTGAGGTGATCAGGGGTACAACCACTCCACCTATCAACAGACTATACTCCCCGGCATCTGTTCCGGCAGGAAAGTCCCAGGTCAGGAGCGGAACGGTGCTCGCGTAGTAGGTCAACAGATTACCGGATCCGCAAAGGTACGCGCTGTCACCGGAGCAGACCGAGTTGCATTGAGAATCTGCGACGATTTGTGGTGTGGCACTTCGGGTGTAGTATTGGACATCATCTGGGTCTGTGGTTGTACTCGGTGCCGATGCTACGTAGATGTTTTCAACGTCTCCACAAACTGTTTGAAAGTCGGTTAGTGCCAGTGTTATACTTGGGATAGTGATTTACTAACAGCACTGTGAGCCATATTCTAGGCCAGCTGCATTGTATCCATATTCTAGACATCGCTCAATGCACGCGACGGGAGTGTTGTTCGTCAGGGCGACTTGATACGGGAATGTCGCCAAAAGCTCATTGGCATCTTGAGTGGAAGCAATGTTATCTCTGTTGCCAACTCGTCAGTCTCATAAAATCACGGAGTCCTGATAATGCTCTTTCATCATTCAGCAGTGTGTACTTACTGGAGGCATCCTTTGTATTCCCAATTGGTTGGCAAGCCAGTTGTTTGAATAGCTGGTGCAGCCGAGGAAGCAGCGGCGGCTCTGTGATTGATATTCAGGGCATAGCAACCCGTGAGCTATTCCAAGTCAGAAGAGTGTCTCGGACCGGTGGAGATGATAAAGAGTCTCAATTACCTGGGCTATGAAGAAAGTTGCCCCAAAGGCAAGGCCAAGGTCTCGTAGCATTATTAAAGGCTTCAATTAGAGGATCTGACTACGATCACGAGCAAACCAATGTCTGGATGATTATTAACGAGGGATAATTCCAACGAATGTCGCTCACGATGAGTGCATATAAAAACAGAAATGGTGAAAACGACCGTTGCCAAATCAACGCAAATGAGACTTCTAGGTGGAAGTCTCGCGTGTCAACAGGCTGAGAAGAAGGAAAAGGAGAAGACAAAATCATTGGCACATCAGCTGTTTTTTGAACTTGGGACGAATTTCTGATCCTGCACATGTTCACGACTCGCCTTCGTATCTGCGGGTTGCATGCAGGTCCACTTCCTTCACTAGGACAGCGATATGTTCGTATCTGTAGATCATCATTGGAGGATCTTCATTTGGCGTTTTGACACGATGTAGATCTCTTTCCCGAGGAAGCGAGCGCCGCATGATGCAAGTAAGCATCATTTACGACAAATATACTTTGAGCTTAGCTTCCATTGGCAGGTAAGCTTACTGACAGCCATCGTGCAGATAAACCTTGTTCTGAGGGTCCCCGTCAACTTGACACGGCAACGAGATTGAGAACATGACTTGACTTCTTCTTGTGTACAACGCTGCATAGTTTGAAACTTCAACTTCGCATCGACTTCTACGATATCCGAAGAGACCGTGGGCCCCGTGGAAGAGTAGTGATGCATCAGTGATGCATCAGTGATGCATTTTACTGCTGTCATCTTGCCTTCTACCAGAGAGCGTTGTCGTCTCATGTCATCCCAGCCACACGGCGGTGAGCTCTGAGCCGAGGGACCGAGAGATCTGCTTAGCTCCTGACGATTTTCCTCTAGTTCTGCATCCATCCCATGACAGGAAGCTTATCTGCGATGCGACAGATCCTGGGGGCGGCTGGGCAGCGGTTGAGGCGCACTGCACCAAGATTTGGTCTTGAGCAGATCTTGAGCTACTAACCACTATGGAAATTGAAGGCAGGACTCAGGAGCCCGGAGAGCGGAGTTAGGAATTTGGGAATGAATGGATTGGAAGCGGATTGAAAATGTGGTGTTGGGTTTGGAGAGGAACGTATCTGGTTTCGATGCAACTCAAAAGTGGGAGCGGCGCTATCAAAATAGTGACGGCACGTCACTCTCGCAGTGAGGAGCAACAATAAACACAGCCCTTAACTGATTAAAATCAATTAAGAAATAGAGAAGAGTCCGTCTCGACTCTCGAAGTATCAAAAGCAGATAATTACCTAGGCAGCCTGGAAGTGTTGAGGAGCATTGTGAGCATTACGTGTCTCTGGCTCAGGAGTGAAGATGGTCAAACGAGTACTGGTAGCGTATTGCGTGGACGTCGATGCTTGTGCTGGATGGTGAGGTACTAATTCCATCTTGAATAGACTTTAGCTCACTTTGATAGGCTCAACACTAAAGACGGCCAGTTGGCGAATGCCAGTGATGTGTCGCGTGGGGTCTTCGGTGCGAATGCTGGTACAGATCGCATGCTCAAGCTGTTCAAAGACAATAACATCTTGGCCTCATGGTACATGCCAAGTCATTCGATCCTGTCTTTCCCCACCCAGATGGCCAAGGTGCGGGATGCTGGACATGAAATGTGAGCTGCCGATCACCACTTTCTGCGAAATGACGAGCTAACATAAGCTTAGCGGTCTTCATGGATACACTCACGAATTCGTATCTCGACTGACTGAAGATCAAGAACGCAAAGTGATGGCCAAATCGATCAAGGTGTACAAAGAGTTCACCGGCAAGCATCCCAAGGGCTGGGTGGCGCCAGCTTGGGAGATTTCCCCTCGGAGTATGCAGATCCTGCAAGCCTTTGGGATCGAATATGATCATTCTATGATGCATCATGATTGCCAACCATACTACGTCTCTGATATGCCTCCAAATACTGTGCATACAGATTACTCGAAGGATCCCGACGAGTGGATGATTCCCATGCCGAAACATACTTTGACGAATGTGGTTGAGATACCGGGATCATGGAATGTGGATGACTGGCGTAAGTCTTGTCTTTGGCATGTTTCTGTGTACTGATAACACATGAACTAGCCCCTATGCACTTCTCTTCCCGTAATCCAGGTACTCATGGCTTCATAAATCCTCGCGACATCGAGGTCCAGTGGAGGGATCAATTCGACTTTTTCTATCGGGAGTACGATTCTTTCGTCTTCACCATCAGTTGCCATCCTCAGGTCAGCGGACGTTCCAATATTCAGTTGATGCATGAGCGCTTGATAGCACATTTGAAGAGCCACGAGGGAGTTGAGTTCATGACTGTGGCCCAGATCTGTGATGAATTTAAGGCGGGAAAGATTGCCGGCGTGACAATTAGTGCGGGAGTCTGAAGCAAAATTGTATTGTAATGGGAAGGCAGATATCGACATTCGAAGGTAAAGGTCCAGATATGAATTGATTGCTTTTGCGAAACTGAAGGCTTGTCATCTGAAGATTCCAGTGCCATTTCGTTGCTCAATATCTGTAGGACGACTCGGCTTTGCATGCACAGAATATCTACTTGAAGACGAGAAAATCTCGAATATCCCTGCATAGAAATTGCTTGCACTAGACATGGACGTCTTGAGCCCCTAGACTGTGCAGTAAAACTTACTCTGTCTGAAAGAAGTCCGAAGGTGACGAACTTTCACCAACTTGTATCGGGCTGCAAGAATGATTCCAAGGTAATACAAAAGATGCAGTGACGTTCAGATGTCGGACAGCAATTAAGACAAGAGAAGTCCAGCATTAAGGACTCGTATTCCTGCATGGTACACGTTGCAGCGTTTCGGGTGCCCGTTGGACTATCGAGCTCAAGATCCCCGGCACTCGTGAAGATATCCAAGTTGGAAAATAGTTCACTTTGCTTATTCATTGTATTGTGCGTGTTGTCAGGAGTCGCTTTCAGGGAAATAGGAATGTAAGTGAAGATAATGGCGGGAAAGGTGCGGATGCGCAAACATCGAAAAATGGGCAGGATGTAACAAGATGCACAAAAAATCCACGAAAGGCGCAGAAATTTTGAAAACAAAAGGGATATCAGTTTGCATAATGTAATGAGATGTCACTGAGGACTCCATCTTGGCCTGTCAATGCTTGTACATCAGACGCTAGTCCCAATGAAGCAAAGCCTACTTCTGCCACAAAACCTGCTTCGTGCTTTCGCGATGCGACTCGAAGATATCAACACAACATCGTCGTCTTTTTCACTCGCCGTTGTTTCATCCAGCACCCATGGGGAAACCTTGTACCTGCGGGTGATCATCACTGGGGCAATTTGGAGCTTGCAGGTAGCCCGCTTTTCCGCCGTCAAGTGACAGCGATCATGATCATTGGACATCATCTACAAGCCACAGTGATCAGCGACTGGACTTCGTCTGCCAATGGATGATAACTCGAGACTTGAAGTCACCATGACGTTGGTCTTGCGAGTTGCGATACACGCCTTGAGTTGGCAGATGTCAGCAAAGCCCCTTAAATATACGGCACAGGACTAGGCAGGGAAAGGACGGCCGACTTGCGACACTTTCTCTCACAGGTAAGCCAAGCAAGGCCAAGGGAGGGGAAGAGAGCTGGAGCTGACTTTCCTTCTTCCCTTCATTAATTTTCTCTTCTTTTAATCCGTCTCTCCCTACCTGAAATCATTCACAAAACATATTGCGACTCATTCGAGCTCATCCACGAAGGAACTTCCACGAGTCCTATTGCTATAACACAACATGTCGCATTTGGTACGGGACGGAAAAGCGATGATGGACACTGCGAAAGGTATGGCGCATACTGCAGGAGGAAGCTTCATGGAGCATCGAACCCGAAGGGAATGCAAGTTCCACGAGGTAGAATGCAAGCTGCCAAACATTCGATCGAGTCCTGCATCCGATCACCGACCCACAGAAGCTCAAGACATACTCTCATACCTAGGACCTTGGAACCCGTTGGGGGAGAAGGTCAGCGGGAAAGATACTGTCTGGCTTCTCGACAATACGGCATACCGCAACGCGAAGACTGGAAAATGGGAGGCAGAGTTCGTCGCCGCTGTGTTTGATCAGGATACAGGTGTCGAGGTTAGCACAGTAGTTGCAAATGTGGCGGAGAAGGTTGGTCTGGGAAAAGGTGATCGCGCCGAAGCAACCATACAAGAACGGCTGATGCCTTTCATGCAAACCATTCTCCCGGGTCGTGTGGTGGCAGTTGATTTTGAAGATCAAGACAAGCTCAAGTTGGGCCCAGGAGGCAGAAATGGAATCAGCAGCGATATCAGGAGCGTGCCGGAACACAAGGATGGTGAAATCGTGGAGAGTACTGCTTTGGTGCCACAAGGCGCTAATGGAGTTTTGAATATGAGCACAGCTTATGCAGAACCTGAGGGGTGGGGTGTCATCTCTGGTAAAATCCATCTCACTAGTTGGTAAGCCGGTGCTAACATTGTGTACAGACATTGACGATTCCATCAAAATCACACAGACAAGCGACCCTATTGGCATACTCAAATCGACGTTTGTCTCTACTCCCACGCCCATCACTGGCATGCCGGAGCTGTACACATTCATACAGCGACTGATCAAACCAACTTCTCCATTTTTCTACCTCTCTGCCTCGCCCTACAACCTCTACTCCTTCCTCAAGGATTTTCGAAACAACTTTTATCCTCCAGGAACCATCATACTTCGAGACGCAAGCTGGATGAATCTGTCTGGTCTTCTATCAAATCTGACTCTTGGCACCCAAGACTATAAAGTCGACCGCATGACGAAAATCAATTCATGGCTACCACGCCGAAAGATGATTTGTGTGGGTGATTCGACGCAGTCTGATCCCGAGGCTTATGGCGAAATGTAAGTCTACTCAATTCAACCTGGCAGCAATCGAGCTAAGCTGTATCTAGATACCGAAAACATGCAGGGTGGATCAAACTGATCCTGATCCGCAAAGTCACGGACATAGCAGCAATTGGTATTTCTGAGAAGAACGAACCGAAGAGATTCCAGAAGGCTTTTGAAGGGGTCCCATCGACCCTCTGGCACGTATTTGAAACTCCGGAGGAGTGTTACCAGCTTGTGAAGGACGCTGTGGCGAGGGGCTGATGAAGCAGTGTTATGCTGCCCACGAAGTCATGATCCACGATACCTTTTGAATACCCTTGTATGCATTGTATTACTCTATTGCGTGCTATGAAATAACCTCTCGTTACTGTCGATATTCACACCCAGTCCTTTGCTTTTCCGAACAATTCAGCCCAACATTTCTTCTGCTTTCTCAACAACCCGTACCCCGAAGAAGTACTGGCAGGCTCGCTTTCCACAAAGATTTTACCCATCATATCTGTCCAGCCATCTGTCCTGCATCCCGTCGTACCTGCAAACTGTCAATTTGGAGTTAATCTCGGCGTTGGATCTTCGACCCAGAGAATGATGTACGCCCGTACCCCAGAAGCCAATCAAGACTCGTGCACGTTCAGCCTCACGACTGCCTCAACCTCAGCTTCCACCACGCAATCAGCTACCAGCCTCATCTCTCGAAATCATCTCATAACTTCACAACTCTACCTGTACTAAAATTTGGATATTCATATTCGTCCAACTGACGTGCAAGATACCAATATGCGCCTCCTTAACACGAAAACACTCACCCTGCACTATTTTGCTGGCAAGGCTGTCCCTGACTATGTCATCTTATCTCATCGATGGGAGGAAGAGGAAGTCCTATTTCAGGACCTCCAGGAAGGCCGCGGTCCTAAAATGTCCGGCTATGCGAAGATCGAAGGGTGCTGTGCCCAGGCACGAAAGAATGGTTGGGTCTATGCTTGGATCGATACCTGCTGCATTGATAAAAGCAGCAGTGCTGAGTTGTCGGAGGCGATCTATTCCATGTATCGATGGTACTCTGATGCCCAGGAGTGTTATGCTTACCTGTCGGATGTCGACGCCACGCATGATCAGATTCCTGGCCAGCTGAGGAAAAGTGCCTGGTTCACACGAGGCTAGACACTGCAAGAATTGCTAGCGCCCGCGAGTGTGGTGTTCTTCAATCGAGACTAGATCGATATTGGTACGAACAGTAGCCTGCTAGATGTGGTATCAGATATCACCGGAATCCGCTTCGAAAGATTGTTCGCTTTCGGTGACGCCTGCATCGCGGAAAAGATGTCCTGGGCCGCTCGGAGAGAAACGACTAGGGTCGAAGATATTGCATACTGTCTTATGGGTTTCTTTAACGTAAGCATACCGTTATTGTACGGAGAAGGTAAGAAAGCTTTTCAACAACTACAACTCGAGATCATCAAGTCATGCGACGACGAATCCTTCTTGACGTGGGATAGGGCCAACATAGAACCTGAGATACTGGCTCCCTCTCCCAGAAACTTCATTTCATCTGGCGATATAAAGTTCTCAAGGAGCATGACTGGATCTCAAAGTTTTTCTTGCGGACGCACAACGCCATACACGATGACCAACAAAGGTCTGCATATGTCCTTATTCCTCATACCATATGGAGCACTTAGGGTAGAGTTCCCCTATGCTCGCTGGTCTCCATGCAAGGCGTATTTCGCGTTGTTCCACACGCTGTGCAACACCGCGGGTGCGAGTCCATTGATGCTGGTCGGCAAAAACGAACAGCCAATGGGTGACTTCCCTGGTGGCAGCGATTGGTCCATTTTCCCAATCTCCGTTTTCGCCAACATGTATTTAGCTCAAGATCGATGTCTGGACTTCATGAATCGATCCTCAGTTATGCAAAATAACCAACATGATGACGGACATCCCGCGCTCAGACAGATATACCTACAACGAATCCCTGTCCCCCGGTATATGTTAGGCTATACTCCCTGGAGAATGGATTTTGACATCTTACTAAAGGCCATGACCATCCTACTCGAAGACTTTGACATCTACCGTCTTGAATTTGATGTCCGCGGTCATGTTCATATAGTCCACCTTGAGAGCGCCATTATTAAAGTCCCTTGTGACCGTGCCTTTGCTTTCTGCTTTATGGAGAAGAAAACGGGGATAGCGATCCTGTTGGTTGTGACCGGCTGGTTCACTGGTCCAAAGATGACCATATTAATATCACCAACAACTTCTCAATCCACCCTTGGGAATGTTCTCGATTTACTTCAACAGCTCATGGAAGTGGATCGTCGCTCTACACTTGGAGATCATCTCTCAGCGCTGGAAGATCGTCTGTCGTGTTCATTGGGGAACGACACATCCATCTCGGCTTCGATACGGCGTGTTGGAGGTAGTAGCGAATATGATTACGTTTTAGATGTGACACTCGATCCAAGAGGTGCTTTGCGTCGGCCGCTTTCGGCAAGACTTCAAGACTGCAATGCATATCTCCTTGGAGAACTTATTAGATTGGCATATATCAGTAACTGATAAATGCTTTATTAACGTACTTCGCCACGGTACGCAGACCTCACTACAAAAGAGGCCATATAGAAGCACAGGAAGACAAGTCGTGGAGTTGTGATGTGGTCTCGAATTGATACGAGTACCTCTGGGTGATCATGTGTATGAGGGGCAGTTTAGGAGGCCGAAAACAATGCAATTGATTTCTCGTGAACATTTTGGGAACTTGCCACCTAATTAGTGGCTGAATATCTTTCGTGCCTACTGTGTTGCAGATGTGAGTGGCCTCTGAGCCATTGAGAGCTCGAAAAGCCTACAGTAGATGGGTGTTTTGGGAGGCCCTGCACCACTTTCGCCCAGATCATATGAGCAACAGGATGGAAAAGCATAGCAACAACACGCAGGCATATTACTTGACGAGAGAAATGTTGGCGATGAAACATCGCAGATAAAATGACGGAGTAGCCGTTTCGTGACTGAGCTTGGCTTTGACGAGAGGCTCGTTTTTCCGTCTGACAGAACGGTCCTAATGCAACCTCGCAGCGCGTGCTCATCAAGGCATTATTATTGTAGCTAAAGCCATAACCTAGAGACTTAAGATACGCCATTGACCAAACCCTGAGCACCAACATCATTCTCCACTTCCAAACCACTCAAACTCCAATCCCGAACTCCACCCTTCCAATCACTAACCCTCCCATCCGTAATCCTCACAACCACAACCCTCACCTCCTCCCCCTCAATATACATCCCCCTCCCCCCATCCTGCCTCTCCCTCTCATCCCAAAAACTGCCCTGACCCTGCCCCTGCTCATTCTCCGAAAATGTATTATTATCCAAATGCCTCTCCCGATAGTACCCCTCCTCCTCCGTACCCCGCTCCAGCAACTTCGCCTCCCCATTAATCGTCGCGCTGATACTGCTCATGGCGCTCGTATTCAGGTTCAACAGCAGCGCCGCCAGCGAGGACCGCGAGGCTTCCGGGGGCGGGGAACCGCTCCGGGACTCCCGACGGTTGGTCGTTGGTGGGCGGTGCGAGACCCAATCGTGGACCAAGAGGGAGACGTGGGGATTCGAGACGAGGTTGAGGGTCTTCTTCGACGAGGGGTTGGTGGTCATTATTATTGTCGGCGTGGAGGAGTAGGGTGAGGAGGGCAGGTAGGTGTAGTTCATGAGCGAGACGTGGGGGAAGGAGTTCGTGCATGTTGCGAGATGGAGCTTGGGCGTGTTAGCAGAGAGTGGCAGATTGGTGGGGAGGGGGAAGATGTACGAATCGTGCGTTTTGGAGACATTGGGCTACTTCTGAGGGGAGTGTGCTGGAGATGGAGAGGTTTCTGGTTCCGGCGGATGCCTCGTAGTTTAGGGGAGCTTCTGACGCCATGATTACTCCTTGTCCTCAGGTATTCGAATCGATATTGACCGAGGAGCAAAAAGTATATCTTCTTCGTGTTGTGGTCGTGTTGTGTTCAAGAGAGGTTGCACTGGAATGTGAGACGATTTATCGCGAGAGCTTCTATGACGTTGGTGGGGTCGCTCACGTGCCTTCTGTCAACGACAGAGCATGGTGGGTTTAAGGTGAAAACTTAATATTTGCCAATTCCAGAGCCCTCGCCTCGCGATCGGCCTCATGTAGCACTAGCTTTTCCTCCTTTCTCTTGAAAACCAAAAAGCCGCCTTAAAACTGGCCCAATATCAGGCTTACTCAATTATTTTGCTCGATCTTCTTGACAAGTTCAATGTTTGTCTCTGCCAATTCATCGGGACACTCGAAATGTGGCGAATGAGGAGACCCTCTTAAGACAACAGTCTCGCTTGCTCCAGCAGTCTTTACAGGCATTTTATGTGCCAATAAAGGCAAGACTTGGTGTATCGATGTCAAGTTCCCTGGGATAGCTGGACGGATCTTGGCAAACGGCTGCGTAAGATCTCTGCTCAAAGACTTGTATGAGGTGTTGGGTTTGTTGCAGAAAGTCCAACAATTCATTGACATACCACTAGTGAAGGATATTATTTCGTTCCTGACGATATATATTGTTTTGTTGGTTCAATATGGGATGAGTGCAATAGCCGCACATTCTTCGACATCCGAGTGGATTCAACGAGTTAGATGCTTGACTGCTTCATTACACTCAATCTCAATGCCCAATCTCTGTTCTCAAAGAAGACTGGGCACTCTTTGATGTCATATTCGATGTCGAGCAATTTCAAGCTCACACTGCTGAACAATCGAAATATCTTCAGTCGTCGTTTTGTTCGTAGCTAGACATACTATTTAGGGATCTTCATCGTAGTTTAGAAGTCTATATTCATCACATCTATCATCTTAACTCCAAATATTCTCAGGTCATCGCCAGCATCTCTGGTTCCTTCTTGGTCTTCACGCCATCAGCAAATGTCAACGCGTGCCTAAACACATCAATCAATGCCTCAGTATCTTCCAATCCAACTGAGACCCGTAGTTGCTTCTCATTCAGGCCATATTCTCCCACCTTGTCCAACTCCTTCCCATACAGAGCCTTCACATACGGTATAGTGAGGGTCAAGTGCGCTCCAAGATGTGGTCCCTGATGTACGTGCAGATTGTCGTAGAATGCTGATGTTGCCTCTACAGTGTCCATCTCAACGCTGAACAAGCAACCATATCCAGGCTCGAAATCTTGTGTCGGCTGTCTCATATATTTCTTGTATGCATCCAAGTTCTCACTGGTGTTCGGATAGTAGACTTTCGCAACACTGCTCTTGGGATCTTTGGCCAAATTGCCCAGGTACTCAACCAGTTTTTTTGCATTATTGTTCAAGACCTTCGATCTCTCGATGTAGTTCCTACTGTTCTTCTCCAGTACTTCTGCGTCACCTTCATAGACAACGTTTTGATAGTTGTCGGCCATCAGCTTCTTCAATTCTTCATATCGCTTGGCAGTCGGACTAAGAACAGCACTCGCACCCATCACGTCCGCATACCCACTGAAGCTCTTCGTCAATGAACTCGCCACCATATCCGCAACACCTAGTAGATCTACATTGCAGAAACTCGCAATAGTGTCGTCAACAATAAGAAAAAATTCGTACTGATCGGCTAATTCCCTCAATCGTCCGAGATCAGGCACAGAAAGAAGTGGATTCGAAGGGAACTCTGTCCAGAGAGCTTGGATCTTCCTTCCTTCTTTCGCTTCATCTTGTAGGTAGGCCTCCAGTGCATCAAGGTCAGCAGCATCACCATTTCCGAAGAACTTCGACCCTGGTCCAAAGTCTTCAAAAACGTGAGGCGTGGAGTGGAATGCGAAACCGAAAAGCACAGAGCGTGAGTTGAATTTCTTGGTCAAGTACCGATGCACGGTGTAGATGCTCGACATCCCAGTCTGGAAAAGGTAAACATCTTCGGGGCTGACCTGAGTTTCTCGTGGGGGTCCTGCGGGGGCTCTATTCATGAGCGAGGAGATGCGGTCCCGGAGGATCTCGTGAGCTGGTCCTTGCTTGATGGATGTTGTAGGACTCCCCGACCATAGAGAAATTTCCTTGAGATCTGAAATCTCCTTCATGCATTGCTCCGCCACTCGGGTAGAGATTCCCGTTCCGCTGTTTTGCCAGAAGGGAATCACAGCTGGTGCTTTAGGAGCAGGGAAGAAGACCGTCCAGAGGTATATGGTCTTGGTTGCGAAGAGACGTATGGATATCTCCTCTGGTTTGCATCTGTTCTCGCCACGAGCTAGGCGTTTAGTGAATATTCATTTTGAGTGCAAGAAGGGCGGATACCTTCTGAGGTGGCAAAAGCAACGCATTCGTCGGCCGCTGCTTGAGATGGGAAGGGGAGACATGTCTGATTCTCCGTTTCTGACTTTTCGACGATCTTGGCAATAAGCTGTTACGTTGTACGTAAGTAAATATATATCTTGAAGTAGGAAAAGTGGGGGTAACTCACGGCCTTCACATCCTGATGAAGCATAATTCGAGGGTACACTGCCTTGAGTTGTTGTAAGATCGTCATGTCTTTCTCCATGAATCTGAGAGCCAGCGCCCATTTCGGGAGGTGGAACGTGATTGCATGGTGGGCGAATGGTGGAATGGGGCCGAAAGCCGGAGTCTCGATTTCTGCCACCATCTTGTCAGTTCTTACACTTTTCTCTGAGCGAAAGTGGGAAATTGAAGAAACAAAATTGATATGTAGAGGGCTGGAAGGAAGTTCTTATTTCGTCTCAACTTCTATGGTATATGCATGCTGCAGGGCGGCCGCTGCAGGCTAGTCCCAACCTCACGTCAGCTGGGCGTAGCTTACATTGGCTGCCTTCTCTACGAATCCGCCGCTACGGGACGCTAACTTATTTGTGACATGTAAGATTTTGGTGCAATATCGGATATTTAGCCTCATCTCAATGTTCATTGTTGGTTCTGAGGGAAATCAGAACTTCAGAAGCCTGAGTTGGATACCTCGCCGGAACCTTTTGGACTGTCGAGAACTGTAGCTTGCCAAGATACTGAAGATGCGGAAAAATTAATCAAGATTCTTTGGAATGATTTTCGTGCCAATTACTGCATAGAAGGATAATTTGCATGTCTCTCAAAGCCCAACGCCTAGCTCAACGGATTCTGATGCCCTGGTTTATCTGCTATCCATTTCCAGCTCTCCAATAGTCACTTGATAATACGTGCGAGCACTTGAAGTAAACGTACAAGGACTTTGGAGTCCACTATACCAGCAAACCGGAATGCCATTTCGAAGGGAGAAGCAAGAATAGCATGTTGACTAGAACAAATTATTTCATCGAGTTGGACGATATAGCTAGGATTGGCAATCGAGAAAGCAACTGGGTCGACAGATGGAAGGAAAACAGATGCGACAGTCTTAGATGTGCACAAAGTTCTCGATGGATGGGCTGTAACTGATTTTAGGACAAATTTGGACACAGTACAAACATGGGGAGGAGGTGGTGAGACAGGAAAAGGTCTGTGAGATTTGTCAAGGACAGATGCGGCCAGACTATCCTTATGACCACGATTCTAGATGTCGACGTAAACGAGGCGAAGTTGTGAGACCACATGCACACCCGGACCTGAGGGCATGGTGGTATGACTAGGCTGTTGAACATACTAGTATACGTGCTTGGCTTTGGTAATTAATCTCTGAACTTCAAGAAGAAAATACCAGGTACACAGCAGCATGTATTGCAGACACATTTTAGCTGTCAAAATTGGAATTCAATGATATAGTGAGAGCCAATAGCAATTAATGTCGTGTACGAGATGAGCATATACTCTGAAAAACGTAATCTTGCGGATGAAATCAGGACTTTGGGTCCTTTCCCGGTTACTCCATCCTGGGGTCTTCCCAACTAGTAGTCCTAGTATTATGATCCACGAAATAGAAGATCCCTTCAAACCTACTGGGTCTGATCTCCCACCCGGCTGGCAACGGCCCAGCAAGCAAAGTGCCCGATACCACTTCCGCGATTCCTAGCTCATCTCCATCTTCATCTTCTGACTCCGAGCCAGCTGAGGGTGTCCTTGGATCGACCCACGTCGTCGTCCTACGGTTATGATCGATGAAGTATGTTCGTCCGTTGGGAGTTTCACGACGCTCCCATCCGTCAGGAAGTCTGTCAAGGGCAGATTGGCTACTTGTTTCTGCGGATGATTCTATCGTCTGACCAATCATTAGTTGGCCATCAATCGAGGAAGCAAACTTACCTCCACCACATTTGGGGGTGTCGATCTGCCCCATGATGTTGAGCGCGTAGCGTGGTTGATATAATATATCCTTCCTTCAACATCTCGCCGTTCTTCCCAGTGCGGTGGAAGATTGGTCGAGTTCGAAGGAGGTGATTGCGATGGAGAAGACATTGTGAACGGTTATGAGAAAGAGAATTTCCTATTCTCCTACATGAAAGCAAATAAGACTGTGAGGGAATTCGAAGCCTTGATATGAGTTCGAAGCATGATTCAGGTTGTGTGGCTGTGTCACTTACCCCGCACAGTCTTATCGTCTCAATGGTTGGCTGTCGGATTGCGGCGCAGCAGCTCCCATGGTCATGAGATTTGACTAATACAACATCTTTTTCCATGCTATTTAACCTGGTGTCACAGCGCCAGCTGTTACCAATCGCCTGAGCCAATCGCCTGCGACAGAGGCCAGGCCGGGAATGGTGGCGTTCCCGAGCTTTAAGCCTACTAGGGCTTAGCTCCTCACATGACATCCCCTTACTTCTAACATATATATGTATATAGATCTCTCCTCCTCTCCTTTCTTCTCTCCTTAGCTTTAGATTCTAAATGAATAGCCCGACGTTGCGTCGCCACCTCACACCATCGTCACAGTGCTGTCACACAGATGACTTAAAAGAAGTTGTTTCCGTCCGTCTAAAAGACGAGAATAACAAGCGCATTAATACAATTCATATCTATGAGAATGGGACATCGCAGTATCGATTAAGACGGAACTAGTTCAGAATTATGGGCTCCTGCATACTGCACGAAATTGAAGGCTGGTATCTCCGAGGATAGTGTAAGAGTTTTGTAAGATATGCTTAAAGATTTTTATATGCGTTAAAGCTAAATTAAAACTATTGTTATTAATATTCTAATAATTTTTAAATATTAATATTTAAATGTCATAGTCACGGGACAGATGAGCCATAGGCCAGGCAAGCGGAGGATCCCGACTAGTGGAAATCCCCAGATCACGTGGTGCAGCTGGATCAATGATCCTCATTGAGGGTTATTGAGGCTCAGTGATCCAGGAGTACGAAGTTCATATATAACACGGGGTCGTCACCCATTAGGTAGGAGCTTCGTGCTCAACTTCGTTAAGATTTGTCACGACTCTCTCCTTACCCTAGTAAGGTCACGTGGGTTGGTATGGTGAATGAAGTAAGGTAAGGCAATGATATAGTAGTTAGGAAAACTTAATCAAGTTGAGCACGGAGTTCCTCCCTAGTGAGTGACAACTCGCCGCTATATAGGACCTCCGTTTCCTGGATCGTAGTGGATCGCTCGATCCCCTATGATCCCCTATGATCCACCACGTGACCCAGGGCCCACCATAGGTCGAGATTCCCCGCTTGCCGAGCCTATGGTCCACTAGTCCCGTGATCGTAATAAGATTCTTGACTCAAAATACGATTGCCTTATCTTACTTCATTTACCATACCAACCCACGTGACCTCACACAGAGTGTGGGCAGGGACGTGACATTAAAATATTATTAAATATATATATTTTTTATATATATATTACGAGTGTGACAGCACGGTGGGAAGCTTAGTACGTAGACGAAGAATCGATTCGGCTATCTCTTAGAATCTAAAGGTAAGGAAAGAAGAAGGGAGTGGGAGAGCTAGAGCTTATATTCATATTGTGACAGCACGGTGGGAAGCTCAGTACGTAGACGAAGTATCGATTCGGCTATCTCTTAGAATCTAAAGGTAAAGAAGAGAAGGGGAATGAAAGAGGAGAAGATCTAGATATATATATGCTAGGGGAAAGGGATGTCATGTGAGGAGCTAAGCCCCAATAGGCTTAAAGCTAGGGAACGCCACCATTCCCGGCCTGACCTTTGTCGCGGGCGATTAGGCAGGCGATTAGGTCAGGTGACAGGCGATTAGCCAGGCGATCCAGGTGGTCCGTAACACATATATCAGTCACCATTTCTTTGAAATAAATGATATTTTTCCTGTGCTTACTTGATCTCGGCGTTCTTGAATCTGGAATTTTGTATGTGATTAACATTGAAACCCGAAAATGAATTGCAGAGTAAGGAGAAAGATGCTCACTTCGGCCTCTGTTGGAAACACAATATACAGCTAATAATCACGTGATTATTAGCTGTATATTGTGTTTCCAACAGTAACGAACAACAAACCAACAACTTGCGAATGAGGGAAGGCGTGGAGAGACATCTTCCATGATGCCCTCTAATCAAAAGTGCTAACCTGCGACTCCTCTGTCTCAAAATTCAACTTCAATTGTCCACAGACTATTCTTCTGTATCATGTCTTCAGCTTTGAGATTTGCACAGAAACTTCTGCGCCGGGCGCCATCTCGAGCGAGACAAAATCTGGAGCGACTTGCCGGACCTCATGTACTCGATAGTTCATTGAAATACGAGGAGGAGAAGCTAAGGTGGTACACCCCAGAAAAATTCTATCCGGTCCGTATATGGGAAGTTTTCGACAAAAGGTATCAGGTGGTTGGCAAACTCGGGTGTGGCGCTTATTCCACCGTCTGGTTATGCTTAATAACTGAAACTCCCAATGCTAATATTTATATGGCAAACATAATTATGTCTGTGTCAAGGTGTCAGAGGCGAACTCACGTCAAGCAGCAAGGGAATGGGAAGTTTACAGGCCTATAAATACAATCACCACATCACATGCGGGATCTAAATGTGTGCGAATGCTGTTAGATTCGTTTGATATTACCACAGCTACGGGTAGTCATATATGCATGGTACATAAACCTCTCGGTTTACGAATATCTGACTTCCAAGCACTCATTCCGGGAGGGAAGCTCCCACAAGATATTTTGAAGCTCACACTGAAACATGTGCTTCTTGCGCTGGAGTTTCTTCATTCAGAATGCCATTTAGCACACACTGGTAAGTTGCCCAATTATTATTCACTTTTTCTGTCGAGCCTCGGTTCATATCTTTCTTTAAGGGCCGAAGTCTCTGACCACTTTCCAGATATCCAAGCCAAGAACATTCTCATGGGCATCGATGATGAGAACGTACTCACGGAGTTTGAAGAGGCGGAAGTCCGGGATCCAAGTCCTTGCAAGGTCGATGGAGATCGCGTTATCTATACCTCTCGCCAAATGCGCGTAAGGGGAAGTGCTGGTCGTCCAGTACTATGCGACTTTGGCGAGGCTCGAATTGGCGATGGACATTTCACCGAGGATATCCAACCATTTCTGTACCGCGCACCAGAGGTTATATTGCGAAAGCCATGGAATAAAAAGGTGGATATTTGGAATCTAGGAGTATTGGTAAGTATCTTTTTACGTCTCTTATTTCGACCTTCGTTTTCACTACCCTTGTGATAAAATCATTAATTCGTTTTAGATCTGGGACCTTTGTCAGAACAAACACCTATTCGATGCTCGAGATGCCAATAATGAAACTACGAACACAGTGCACCTCGCCGAAATGATTGCTCTGCTTGGGAGCCCACCAAACTCATTCCTGGAGGGAAGCCCAATTGTCGGGGATTATTTCGACAAGAGTGGTAGGCTTCCATACTTGCAAAAGGTTTTAGTGTACTAGCTATAACTTACACACTCTAGGGTGCTGGATTGGGGATGTGAGAATACCATCTAACTCGCTCGAGGAATTTGAGGAGAACCTGAAGGGGAAGGAGAAAGCTCTCTTTCTTCAATTTATGCGCAAGATGTTACGATGGGTTCCTGAAGAACGAATGTCGGCATTTGATCTTCTAGATGATCCGTGGTTGAACTCCTAGCTTGTCACAAGCTAGTTTCGAGGGATTTGGTTTGAGCTAGATTTGTAGATTGACTGAACCACCTTTTCAAAACCAAAAATGTGCATGACGCAAGGATGCACAGTATTCATACATACATAAAAGGCTCGGGCAACGTGCAGTAGGTATAGCGGTTCAGTTGTCTCTGTCTCTCGTGGAACTCTTGGAATCTCTACGCTCTATTGGGAAAATCACCGTAAGGCAAGCTCTTCTATGCAATAGTGGAAGGAAGGCGAGTATTCCATGTTATGAGGAATATTGGATGCAACAAGTGAAGGACAGGCTCATTGCGAAGGTGTTAGAGAAGAGTTTAGAAATAAACCAAAGATGGTGAGACGTCCTATGGTAGTGAATGTCATACAGTTGCCTCAATATGTTTGATGGACATTTTTGCATTTGAAGAGGCATTGGAATAAGGATAAGTAAGTGATAATGGGGCGGTATTGACAGTAGAGGGGCATGAGTTCCAGATAGAAGTTGACAGGATTAAGACACCGACTTTGACTTTCTATGTTGGAATACATATAACTACAATGAGGATAGCAATTCATACTAATTATAGTGAAAGCTGCTAGAATCACCTACAAATCCCGATAAAACAAATCTGTGCTCTGATTTATAGATCGAAACATATGATAATATTGTTCCAGAGTTTGTGCAGCAGTACGAGCAAGATAAAAACTCAGTATGAATTAAACTACGAAGGATACAATGACTGAGGTATCTAAGTTTACAAATCACGATGCATTTTCTATGGTAAAAATTTTTTTCCTGTGTTTATATTGTCCCCCAAGCTCTAGAACATTGTTAGCAGATCTTTACAATACGCATAGGATGTTGAGGGTGCCAAAAGCAAGGGTGTAGCTTTGGAACATCGCCACTTCTGTCCTAGTGTACAACATGTCCTTATCAAATTTACCCACTGTACCGCAATTTACAGAATATGTTCTCGAATTGTTGTTTGTATGACCCGACCAACAAAGCAGAGACACCTCACGAGTCTTAAGTTCTCCTACACAATATCAGCATTTTCAACGCAATTATCAACCGGATTTGTTGTTAGATTTCCTTGGCACGTTCTTCATCGACGTATTTGGCCCGGTCGGTTGCGCCCTCACCTCAAACCGGCGAGTTTGCGACACTAAGTCACGCTCCGTTCAGTATGGACGCAACAACTCCTACTTATGAGTCGGGCATACTGGCCTGGTTGACCGAATGGGATTCCAGGACACCGCCATTATTCCTAATTGACGGTAGACAACTCGAAAAGCAAGCTTACGATCATCCGGTCCAAATTGTAAAGCGCATGAAGTCTGTGACTAGAGATATCACATACCTAGTTCTATTAGTATGTACTTCAAACCCCCACCAGCTACAACAGAGAGCCCACTGACTTGTGATCCTCGCGTAGTTGACTTCCTTCGGTTCTATGCCACCTGATGTATATTTGATAGAGCGTGCAGTTCGCAGAGATGGGAGAGTATCGGTTCCGATTTTTAATCCTGCATCTCCATGGAACTGGCCAGCTTCGGATATGAATGGTATCAAAGTTCCTGCACTGAAACTGACACCTCGAAGCACTCTTGGCTCCAGAAAACAATCCTATTTAAGATTGGAGATGCTGTTTACCATACCAGAAAGACAGCTTCGACGATATAATACAGCAGTATCATTGAACAAGCAGCCTCGACTGACCAAGCAGAGCTTTTCGCATGTCATGGAAGCTCTTGCTTGGCTGGAAGTTTCCGGCACTAAGCCAGTCCGAGCCCCTCGAATCCAACCAGACAGACCCGACTCTGCATCAAAGTCGAGAGAGATCCCGGAAGGTTCTAAGAAGCCAGCTGCGGCCAAATTGCCTTTGGAGATAATCTCAGACGAGTCTGAGCTAGCTGTAAGTCAACATATCGCTGAGCCGATGTCTAGCACTGGTCTAAATGTACTAACTAAAGCAGATGCGACCAATCCAAGGCCATGGAGGCCAATCAGTAACCAAGTCATATGAAGCTCCTAGAGAGTTTCAAGTAGCTGCACGTCCTTCTCTACTTGTTCGATGCACAAATATGTCTCAATTCAGCTCCCGGGATCCACGAGCTGTTTTCCACTTTGAACTACTCAGTGCGAATATTGATCTTGACGCACGCGCAGGAACAAGAGCAGGCTTATCATCTAACTCCCAAGAAGCAATGATAGCCATGATCCAAAATACCACTTGGAACTGGTTTATTCTTGGCTCACCCGATCCGAACGCGATCCTTGTCGTTCCTACAGAGGGTAGCTTGGAGCTTATGACCGATCAACAATCTGAAGACATTCGGAATAAAATCGCAAAAGGGGTCAGCTTACAGTCTGTTGTTGCCCAAGCCAATGAGGCAGTACTGATGGCTGGAATGGAACCAATGTTTGTAGCTGGAAGGATGTCGTGGTTTTTGAGGACAGGTGCTGTGGCCATTTACATATGCCAGAGCGTAGCAGCACAATTGATTGGGCAGAGGCATCGAGAGAGCATAACCACTTGCCCTTCCATGGTAATGGTTATTGTAGGAGGTGTTGTACCATTTTTGATTTTACTTGAACATTGATTCAAACATTTGTTTAGATAGACTAGCTTTTGTAGAGTTCTCCCCCAAAAATGGAATAATCCCATATAAACATGGTGTTGGTACCTTGTGCTCCAAGCTTCTCATCCACAGACATTACCATTTATTTGCTGCTAGGATCTGGTGCGTATCTGTGACCAATCAGCCATATACTCAATTAGTTCCATGCGGTAAAGGATTCCTGGAAATGTGAACCCTGACTTCGATAAACGGCGATATCAGGGATGTCTGTTCCATGTTGACTTTTGAACCGCCTTTGCTGCCAGCGAGTTAAGGGAAGTGGCCCTGGAAACGTCCAGGAAGCCTCTATACTTCAGGGGGTTTCTAAGCAGGAGTTCAATCGGTGCATATGATGGTATATGAATTTGTCTGTCAATAATAATCATGGCCACTGGGTCTCAAATTTCTGTTGGATTTGCGCTCTAACATTTATTTAACATCTTTTTGCGGCAGATCTACAGCTGTACGAATTATGGTCCTATGATTGATGCTTTATCCAAGCCTGCGTTGGCAAGGGAACTGAGAGGGTAGATGGTGGTTACGAAACAGCGTGGGAAGGTCTGCGAGGCACGGCTTCTTTGTGTGGTAGTCTGAATTATCAAGTCTTTGGCACAATGGTCTGCATTCTCGACTCGGACACTTGAGGCTGGCATGAGCTATACTGGAGCTGCGTTTCTGTGGGAGACACTTACTTGCGCACGTTCTTAGAATTCTCCGCGTAGGCTCGCAACTTGATAAGATATGATGTATCCTGACATGCTCGTGTATATAGCTGAGGCTGCTGAAAGATGTACATGGAAGCCTTTCTTAGCTTAGGTAATCATTACTTGGAGAGAGTTGAGGGCATTTATACTTACTTTCCATATGATAGCATGAGTAGAACAGTTGAACGTGTGATAGACCTTACGCTTTTCATGGGAAGCAGGAAGCAGGGGCTGAGAAGGTCGAGAAAGAATATAAAGCGTCAGAGGAACTCTGCGCTTAGGTCATCGCTTGTTCATTTGATCAGACCAGGCACTAGCGTCGACTGCGTTGCGCTTCAACATATACTTTCTCCTGCAGAACTCTACATTTATCTTTCAACCATAGCAACTCCGCAAATAGAAACAATCAAGAACACAAGCCAAATCCACTTCTTCTGCAACGCTGCACAACTACTACCAGCATAGCAGAGTCGTTTTCTCAATAATTCTTCTCCACGATGTCTTCATCAAAGACCTCCAATGCACGTTCGATGGGCGCAAACATCTCAGATAATTTGCCAGCGCAACTTCAACCGGATGCACAACTTCAGCCCTCCACGAACGCACGCTCGCTGAGCACTGATCGCAACAGCATGCAACCTCAACAGGAATTGGATCAGACCCCCCCTCCGTCGTACAAGCCCGGCGACATTGCGTGGCTCTTGACGTGGGTACCTGGGTCAGAACCGGTCCTTCGAATTGGCCAAGGACATCTGGAGCGTGAAGCGCACAATCACTCTGTCTTGATCTTGAGACACAGATGGAGTTCCGTCACTCGCACATACCGATATGAGGGCTTGTTGGTAAGTGTTTCCTTCTGATCATGCCCCTGAGTATACTAGACCATATGATTGACATTTCGTACAGATGACTACCTTCGGTTATAAAAGCCCGGAGGACTACATTCGACTGCGCAGCATACGAGTGGATGATCGCGAATCCACCCCATTGATAAAGCGAAGTTGCCCTGTGAAATGGCCAACCTTCACGTCTGCGCGTGGTGCTGTCCTGCCTGTGCTGCGTGCCACACGTGGGAGTGACACGGGCAAGGACCAGTCTTATGTGAAGCTGGATGTCCATATTGACATACCAGCATCCCAGCTCCGGCTCTTTCACGTGGATAAGCCGCGACTCAATCACCCGCGGCTAGCTTTCCAGAGCTTCAGCGCTTTAGTGAAATACCTTGGCCTGATGGCAGACCCCCATGAGCTATACCATGGCATACAAAAACAAGTGCCTGCAGTGCCTCTACAAGACCCGCCACCTCAAGCTACCCGCGGATTGGCTTTGGGACCTACAGCAGCGCTGAATGCATCCGTCGCCGCACTTCCACTCCAAGCTCAGGTCGAGCCCACATCCAACGGAGACATAGTGGCTCAGGCACCAGTAGTACAGGCTTCAAACTTGAAACCGACATTATTACGTGCCATCTACCCCTGGTCACCAAGCCCCAGCGATCAGCAGCTACCCTTCAATCTGATTCGAATAAACGTTTTTGAAGGGTCCGAACCTTCCGCGCCGCTTCTCTCTGATATTATGGGCATCGTTCAGACAGAGGTGTTTGCCTCTCTCAACCTTAAATCCTATGCGAGCTGGGTGAACTTCGCCTTTCCTGATGATAGCGACATTTACCCCGAGCAAAAGGCTGCGACATTCTGGAGAAAGGTCAATGGCCTCCAAAGCATCAGAGACATCGTTGCCATCGCTCAACAGTCACTTGTGATATCGGTGATTGAGCCTGTTCAAGCAGCAGGTAATTGGGGATGGTTCGTAAGAACAGATGCGATGTCCAATTGGATTCGGCAACGCATCGCCTCTGAGGTGCTTGGTCGGCGGGCTATGGAGAACATCGTGGCTTGTCCATCGATGGTGGTTATGGCGGTGGGAAATTGTGTTACATTTGTGATTGTACTCGAACACTGAGTCGGGGTGTATGAATATGGGAAAAAGGGCATATGAGCTTATGAGCATATGAGCATATGAGCACAAGCAAACACTTTTGTTTGATTTTGAGATCTTTTGGAGCACGGATAGGCATACCAAACTTGGTTCGCTTGGTATGGAAAGGGTTTGGAGTCCTACAGAGGGATAGAACTTGTCGTACTGGTAGAATAACGGGCAATAAACAAATGGGAATCATACAAGAATGTAGCCTATACCTGTGACAGAATCCCTCCTCCCCCTCCCAGTCTTAATTGAAAGCAGTACTATTCAGCCATAACAACAGAAAATACACGATCGAAACCGACCTACGAACCACGAACTCGAAGGTAAAGCAAGAAATAACGTCGAGGAACAACTCAGCTCCAACTTCGGTCACCATGTGTGAGCGGTTATCAACTTCGAGTGACCGATACGCAATCTAGTACAGTTAAAGCGTGCAATTGGTCGCACTACAACTGGGCCACATTCAAGGAGTGTTCAGCTCATGGCCAGGCTGGCCAATCAGTCAGTCAGTCAGTCATTAGTTGATCTGATTCTTCAACTGATAGACTGATCAAAATGAGGGCATCCAACTGATCGACTGTCAGACACTTATAAGCGCTGATAAGCTAAGAAAACGTGACTTTTGATCACGTTACCTTACCAAAAAGCGGCTTTACTAGGTTATTATATTTTTAAAAAAATGTAAACATGTAGAGTATATGTAGAGTGCACAGTATAATAAAAGAGTACACACCGAGAGAGTACACACTGAGAGAATGCGCACTAAGAGAGTAGTGCGGGAACGGTGCATTTGCATGCTTTAAGAGGGCTCATAAAGCTTAGAAGAGGGCTGTGAAATAAGAAGATTAATAAGAGCAACTTTAATAACTTCTAGCTTGATAGAGTGCATAATTTTTAGTGTTTTTGTGGAGCTTTAGATCGGTAGAATAGTGGATTAAGGGTCAAAAGCATCATGATGAAAATTTTGAGTTTTTCACCGCCTTTTTTGACCAATCAAAGCGCTCTTTTTTTGCCATTTAGCCCCTAATCCCCTCAAAATCACCCCAAAAATGACTCCAAAATCGGAAAAATCGAATCTCTGAGCTTATCAGTTACTGCCAGTCGGACTTTTGGATCACTGATAGACTTATATAATTTAAAATCGTGAACTGATTGACTTTAACTGCTCACTTATCAGTCGACTGATAAGTCGACTGACTGGTTGGCCAGCCTGCTCATGGCACTGTTCTGCTTGGTATAAGAATACACAGGACTAAGCAGCTGGATTGAGAATCGAATCTTGGGTCAAGGAGCTTGAGTGTTTTTGGTCAGTATTCAATTTAAGACAGAATCATAACTAGAATCACACTAAGACACAACAATTCTAGCCTTCTTCCTTCCGATCTTCGAACAGTCAATCGTGCTCTCCTTCATCAGCTTCCTTCAAAATCCTGACCAGATCGTTCTTCTTGGCACCACTCTTGACATGAATTCCCCGTTTATAGCATATCATTTCTAGGCTTCCTGCATACAAGTCCTCATATTCAACAGCTCCTGTGTCGAGAAACTTGATCATCGCAGCCTTGGGGCCATGTCCCGGCATTTCTCTGCGGCTACAAATCTCGCTCAACTCCCGTTCCGTCCTCGAAGCCCAATGCGAGTCTTTCCAATTGTAATCACAGACTGGAATAACAGGCTCTTGCTTAGACTCTTGTCGACTTGTGATCTCATTGTCAAGTGCGTCGTATCGATTGGACGCCTTGGTGATGTCAGAAGCGCTGACCGAATGCCCGATCATAGCTTCTAACTCCGGCCGAAGCTTGGCTAATTTTGTCTGCAGGTCTTTGATGCTCTTCATCCTTTTTTTCTCGTCGTCCTTGCGAAGTCGTGACAGGAGAGTTTTATCTTTGCCTGACGTTGAAAGGCCCCGAGTTTCAAGAAGGGCGCAGAGACGCTTTGATCCAAGTGTCGAGTATTTGTCTGTTTCTTCTGCGATCGCTGCCTCCGCAAGCTCTCTCTCCAATCTTACCTCTGCGATTGAGATTTGGATCCATAGGGACATAGCAGGCCCATTTCTTGTATCGCGATGATAATCGTCGTTGAGTTTCAATCGCTCGATTTTGATAGCTTTGGGATACTGAGCTGCGCCTTTCATGTGTCGTCTCCTCAACATTTCGGTGAGCTCTTCGGCGGTGTATGATTCGTAGTCGATCGAAGAGGCTTCCAGTCTCTCGATCCAATCCTCTCTCGTCCCGTCTGTTGACAGACCGCGTTCAGCTAAAAGGAACTGCAGCTTGCTGTTGTCTTTCGTTGCGTGCTGACTCTTCTTCTTGCTCGACCTCTTCTCTGCGGCAGCCTTTTGCTTCTGCTCCCGCACCGTAGGTGCATCATTGCCTGCAGATCGCCCAACTCGTCTCTTCTTTGTGCTCGATCCATGGAGGTCAGCTATGTCCCCCACATCCTGCGTGGAAGCGCTTCTCTTGGTCGGTTTCGTGTCCAGAGTGGATTTCGACGCGTTGGACGCGTTCGGGTCCGCTTCGGCCAAAATTCGGTTTGCTCGTGGCATTGATAAGCCTTGAAGATAGGACAATTGATGAGGTTGCAAGAAGGTAAGTCAAATGGTAGACAACGTTTACAAGTGTCTATGATATGAACCAAGATGTGAGGCGTGTTATGTTTGCACGGTTCGCAGATTTGTTTACTCAGGCTAGCTATCTACTTTCGTCACAGTGCTTATCCTTATCATGAAGATAGCCGAAGACTCGCTAAAGCCCCTGAACCCCTTAACCAGCGTAACTGACAATTTCAGCCTTAAGATATATCGCATTTAGATATCCCTGAAGTAGCACTGCTGTTGATTGATTTGACGCTATATTTCGGTGTGCACTCCCATGTCGTCGCAGCCACGTCGACGCTATTTCTCAATTCAGGGAATCTCCGACTGGCACTTCTCCTGCAGGGTCGTTTTTGGAACCCAAAAGGTTGTCAACACCCCTGGCGGACGATGAATATAGGCCCTTGGCATGTCTAAAATGTAACCACTGCTTGAAGGAGCAGCCTTGGTTGCACCGGTTGGTCGCATAGGTTTGTGGTAAATTGGACTAGACAGTTGAATTAAATCATCGTGTGAGTACTTAGGGAAGAAAGAGCCGGAACTTGAGTGTCTTCTGAGAGAATTCTTAATGGTAGCCGGACTGCCGTTCTTTCTCTCCGGGTATATTCCTCCATGATGCCAAATGCCAGCACCAACTCCCTCCCAAGCAGCAGCCGGTGCTGGTGTTCTGCCTAAGAACCCTTGCCTCCGCTGACAGGACTTAACGCAAGTGAAGATCGCAGCCGAGAGAATCAGAAGCAAGACCAAAGCTGCTACTAAGATCCCAATAAATATACCAGGTTCGTAAGGCAGGGAATGGAAAAAGGTCTGAATTCGATCCGAGAACCCAGAGTTTGAGGTAGAAATTGGTGGCGTCGTGGGTGAGTTTGACGGGGTAGCTAATGTAATGACCGTCGAGTTCGCTGTCGAGAGTGGATGGGAAGTAACAGATGCAATGATATGGGTGAGTGATGGACTTTGAACAACAGTGCTCGGTCCGAATTGGATGTCCGGAAACACCGTGGTCATTGTTCGAACTCAGAGCAATAAAATTTTACACAGAAGTTGAAGAACAAAATGAAGAATTGTTGAGTGAACAAGTTTCTGGTGCTATGAATGATGACAGTTGCTGTATAGATCTCGTATTCATGCCCGATGGGCAGCTTTTTGTCTTAGACAACGAGTAGTAATATATGTGTCTGCTGCAATATAACAGCATCATTGCATGCCTCTTACCCAGACATTGGTTAAGTCACACCCTTGTCAAATGCACTTTCGTGTTTCAGACGGATTGATGTTTGGGTGCAGTTCGTATAATGAGACCTGCTTTATCATTTGCTGAAATCAATTGAGTGGGGAACAAAATCTTGAGATAGTCCAAAACTAGCCGAATGAGCGTCCGCCACACTTTTAGTCCTCCATATGATGAGGGTACGTGAGGCCTTTTGCTTTTTGTCACACCGCTTAAATCCTGGGATGAGACACATTAAAAAGGTTACGTGATTGGACATGGTAGACAACAGGTTTCAAATATCTCGTGAAGGTATCACAAGATTCATAGCAGGTCTCATGAACACATATCCTCACCTCCGAGCAGAAAGTTTCCAATGGCGGACCACAATTGATTCTCTTAGATACAAAGCTGAACTTGAGTTCTTGCAGCAGTCTTCTATAGTCTGTCAAAGTCGCTCCGAGCCATCCCGCCATCTGGGTACTACGACCGTCTCGTGTCCTTCTCTAAGAATGCCACTGCTGCTGCCAATCCACCAATCCATAAGAAATCAACACAAACATAAGCGTAAATAAATATCTTAGACGACTTCTTCAGCAAATATTTCTCTAGCGTGGTGCCAAAAGATTGAATACCATCATCGTCCTGAGATAGTTCATCTGGTGTTGCTACAATCGATAACCCGGTCAGTTGCATGCTTCTGTCACTCACCAAGTCGTCGTAATTGACTACGTGCGACGGCATCTCATTATGATGAGTTTCGGGGTGATTCGGAGGAATGTTGGTGCTAGAAGTTATTCCTCGTGCCCGAGCCAAAGGATGCTTCAGCGAGTTTCGTATCTCCCAAGCTGCCCGTGCGCATGTGAAAACTGAAGGAGGCTTTCTGTCACCTCGAGGTCTTTCGTGCGTAATCTTTTTTCTTTTCCGGGCGTGAACGTCCTCACTGTGTTCGGAAATGTCCTCTTCAGCAGGTCTTCTGGTACAGGTGGGGTTCCAGTAGCTATAGTCGGGCTTGCGTGATACAGACACCTTCTGATATGTGAGGCTAAAGCTTTCAATCTCCGCGATATACTCTTTTGCGTCTGTTAATGTTCTATTAGAATTCCCATCTCCTTCTGATGAGTTGTTTGGTTCTGACTTACATTGATTGAACTGCGCTACGTTGGCTGATCCAAGAAGTGATTTTTCTGTTGATTTGGCTTCCTCAACTAGGTCAATCAACGTCTCAGAATCTTCGACCATGACTTGACGGCTTACCGAAGTGATGACGTCCACATCTTCAGTGAAGCTTATCCCAGACTCACTTTTCGGCGTTTGAAAGTCGGTTACCGCACAGACATTCGGCATGGTGGGGCTTTCCGTCTGATGAAATTGTGCTGCTTCAATCAAGGCAAGGGACTGAAGCTGGTGCTCCAAATCGTCCTCATCATCGGATATTTCGTTGTCGGTGTCTGCCATAGTTGGGCACCACTCTTCAGTTTCGGGAGCGTAGCTATACAAACTCTCATCTTGTCTATCTTCTCGATCGGGTAGGACATTCTCGGACCAAAGAATGTCCCCTGTTTCTTGCATCTCTGTCGACTCTTCCATATTCCCTAATGTTGGTGGTAAAGTCCCGATAAAATCCTCGTACGGAAGTGGGACCACATTCAGAACGTCCAGTATCTCCACCGTGGAGGAAAATTCTTTACTCCATACACCTGCTCCTTCGTAGCTGAACTGTGGCGTAGCTTGAGAAAGCTTGCGTGGCCTTTGGCGTGAAGATATTGTCGGTAGTCGTCCAAAAAGTAAGAAATAGGGATCTTCTGTGTTACCAGTCTTCGTCAACAAAAGTAAGAAGCTGGCTAAAGAAAGTCTCGGGGTAATCTCGTTAGTAGGGCTTGAGAAGTAGGGCTGAAGTTGTGAAGCTGGAACACGTAGAATCGTCTCTGTTCGAACGTAGGCTTGCTTTTGCAGTTCCCCTCTTCCAAGATACAATGTCCTATACTTCCGTGTCTCGTCGGGTAGGGTAATGCTCTCCAGCAGGATGGGTTCAGAGCTAGGTAGGGTACTCATTGCTAATGAATGATGCATGTCATTTCGTAAACGTCGAGAAACAAGCCATTCTTCTAGCGGTGTCCTTGTGAAGGTAGTACACTGTGAGGTATGATTAGTACGAGGAATATAGATGTTGGAGAAACTGCTTACTATTGCAACAAGATAGCCTGTACCTGCATCGTCCATAGGTCCCAAGATCCATCCAGGGTGATCATACCCCTTTCGATCCAAGACACGTAACACGCCACTCTTGCTTATTGTGTAAACAATATCTTTATTGAAGCGAATCTTGCGTTTTAACCAGATCAAAGACCCTGGCTCGTACGCCGGGGGCTTTTCTTGTGATATCGTTACCTGCTGTCTCGCGGGATTGGTGTTGTCTGCAGTTCTGCTCGATTGGTTAGATATTTCGGAGTGACGATTGCGCACAGACATGATGTCGATAGGATCCTTTCTCTTAGAAGCAGTCTTCCGGTGTCCTGGAATGCCGCTTTGCCATCTGTACGAAGGTGTTGGTCTTGAATATCCGGGTCATCGACATAGCGTTGCGAGTTTCTGCGTACCACGAAAGGCTTGACAAGGGCAGCAATGATGGGACACGTAGATGTTGAGATTTTCCGAGAAGGTGATTTTAACAATAGAGGTTGATAGCGAGACTGGGGTTGATAAGAGATCAGAAGCATTCGGCTCAAGATTGTATTGCGCGCGCTAACAAATCACAAGCTAGCCTGATCACCCAGACTGGTTAAATACGTTCAGAATACATGTGTGTGTATCAGACAACTCAAACGCGAAGATGTGACGTGTAGCGCTATTGCATGCCATTCTTTCCCAACTCCATCAAACCCCACAGATGGCTTGGAAACATTTCTCAATCCGGGAGGTTCTATCGAAGAAAACTCGTCCATAGCGAGTGAAAACTTTTTGCATCTTTCACTTCTTTATCCTAAGGTATTCTTACAGAGAAAATTATTATGTGCCTATCTCGTACAGAAACTATAGCTTCAAGGACGTGGTCTTTCAGTGTCAACCGGCATATCCTTGGAGCCACTTGTCCGCTGAGGAGGCAGCTCAGTTCGTCAAAGCTATCACTTCGACAATCAAGAACCTTAATCAATATTTTGGCAGTCCTCTCCACAACTTGGAAGCCACTGAAAAGTACGTAGTATGCGACTATTCCTTTACATAACTATACAATTGTGTTGTTCCCATATTAGATTCGAGAATTACCTAATCGTACCCTTTCGGCCCTAAATTTCCACCTTCCGTTGCTATAATTCTGATTGATTTCCACCGAACCGGCCCAGATTGCGTTCAAAATGCTACAAGGTGCGATTAATGGCTACCAAGGCTTATCACCACACTTCCCTTGGATTCTGCCCAATACAGAGAATGTGGCCAACGATTCTTCTACCCAAGCAGTAAATATGCTACCTGTACAATTCTCTTCTGTATTCCTAGTTACCCTTCTAGGGCCCCAGACGATTGACAAATAGCTTCTTGCTCTTCAATTCGTTGAAGAGCTGTTCTGTAAGACCAATTGTACCGGAACCCCTTGTATCGGCAACTGCTTTGTGGGGTATCTAACTGCTCCCGTGGCATGCTATTTCTCTGCCAATCAAACAGGATTACCATTCCTGAGAGCTCAGAGTGCTGTAGTGGGGGTTGTCTCCGAAGGGCGTGCCTGATCCGAATCTGTGCCCCTGTCATTGGCATCTTGGTTGACAGCCGCTGCTGTGTTGGAGCTTTCAACGTGGACGCTATCCTCGCATTGTTGATCGTATGGAGCATTCCCAGCAAAGTAAAGCTCTTCCATGTCACCTTTCATATGGAGGCGACCCATCAAGTGTGCATAACTCTTGAAACAGAGCTTGGGAGGTTGTGGTGGTAGGATGCCCCCTTCGTAGCAATACAATCGAAGACTTTCTCCAGGTAGCTCGAGTATCCTATCAATACGAGCGTAACAATCTCTATCGAGACTGCCACGGAGCAAATGAAGAGTGGTATCGTGGGTATTACGGGGCCCTAGGTGAATGACCGGTGTGGCTGGAATATTTGAGCTATCTGAGAGGCATGGCGAATGGCTGGCCAAAGGAATGGACTTTCGCAGATTTATGTTCTCGCTGATCGACCGCGCAGTGTTCCAGTTGGCATAAGACATTCGCTTGAAGGTGGTAAGCTGTGTTCTCTGTCAGCATATAATGGTTTGGAATTAAAAGATTGGAGTTCTTACAAGGGCCGCAGTGTAGAATGTTTTGTCCTTGGCCAGAAATGAGCTCAAGAGCATCACAACATGTCCACAGACTCTATCATCCAAAATCGCCTTTCTATCTGTGTTGACCCTTCGTTCGTAACCGGTAAAGAAACATCCATCGTCTCCTTGATGCTTCAACCAGTACATACAGCCGAGCTCCAGAGTGTTTGGTGCTTGAGCGGATGATCCTTGCGTTAGGTCTATACTCTCGGATTCGTTATGAGGAGGAGACCCATTCGAGGTCTCACCAAGTCGAGGCGGGTTAGGAAGAGGTTTCGAATTGGCCATCGAATCTCCGCGCTGTGTTGAATTCGACTGCTCGGACTCCTTACGGTTTGGCGGGCTCTGTGAAGCATCGCCAATCGCCGGACCATCACTACTTGATCTCCACCAATCTGCGGCCAAATTCCTCTGTTTTCGTGGAGTCCAATTCCGCCGCGGAGTCCGGTCATTTGGAGGTGCTGACGCTCTCTGATCTTTGGGATGCCGGCGTTGCATCTTGGATCGATGGCACAGGTGAAGATGTGCAACACCCCGTCGGATGTCTAATTGTTAGGTGCGTTACTCGGGATACGCATTCTATAAATCGCACTAACACGGGTATGCTGAAAGTGTAGTTGGAAGAGCGTAAGACGATGTGTTTTGATGATTCCGCTAAAGTCTCAGACCTCAAGAAGCTGATCACTTGAATACATAATACTCCTTTCATCCCATATTGATAGAGCGAGGCGACAATATTGTCGAAGACGAACATCAATAGCTGGCACCGGTTGTTTGAGGATCATAGAAGATTTCAAGTGCGCTATCAAACCAAAACTAGTAGTATGGCCTCATCTATTGCCTACATAACACAAGGTGCTTCCAAGATTGGCACCAATATTACCATGACATGAATTACGATTCTGCTCTTTCCTGCATCTGTCCTCCGGTCCAGAATTTTCTCATCAGCCTGCCCAAATACTTTCCCAAGCTGACCTCTCAAGCAAAAGTGGCTACAGCACAGAATCGAATCCTTCCTGCTAAACCCAGAAATGTTCCCTCTCATCCTCTTCCCCGTGTAACTGTCCAAAATGATACAGTATCACAACCAATTGTAGCTTTTCTTATCGGTGAGGGAGGGAATAACATCGGAATCCTCTGCCATTATTTCGGCCATCACCCCGTGAAGTACGTTGAAGGATCCATCGGATCCGAAACCTGAGCCGTTTCTGAGCGGCTGCGAGGTGGAAATCCTTCGATAGAGCGATTGACCGCCTCATTGTATGATATCAAATCACGGCTTGACTTCCCAATGGTTGGTCGTTCCTCGGAATATGCTCTGTCTTCTTCGCGGATCCGGTCCCCTGTCCCGAAGTATAGTTCCGCTCTGTTTCCTGGGAGTCTTAGAACCTCCATCAATCTTTTGAAGCTCTGGAAACAAAGTCTAGGTGGTTCATCCGGCGTCACACCGCCATTGTAGTGGTAAATTTTGAGGCTTGTTTCGGTAAGGAAAAGGACCTTGTCGACTCGAATGTAGCTATCCCTATCGACCCGGCCCCGCCCCAAATAGAAAGTTTGTTCTGAGGTTTTATTGGTGTTTTCTAAGCGTTGTTCCCTCAACGCGAAAGAGTTCCTCAGGTTGCTTCGTTTCGATTGAGACAGTGACCAATTGTCTGTTGAGAGCCTCCCGAAGGAGGTGTGCTAATTTAACAATTAGTGGCAGTTCCCGAGAGGGTATTCGTGTACTCACCATGGCTGCCTTGTAGAATCTTACCCCATCCACAATATTCGAGTCTAGGAGTGATACGGGGCGGTCGAAAACCTGGTCTTCCAAATCTTGGCGGTTTCCTGTCACGTTTGATACCTCATAGCAGCCCGAGGTCCCCTCTTCTTTTCGGTGCTTCAACCAATATATGCAGCCGTATTGAAATCGTGGTATTTCGTTCAATTGAGCCGCAGGCTCGCTAGGTATATCCTCAGCTGGCTCGTTGCTGATGTATTCGCCGGCTCTCAAAACTTGGTTAAGAGGCCTCCAAGGGGATTGCAGGTCTCTTTGGAGGCCCCGAGATGAATTGTAGGAAGACCTCCGCGCCGGCTCTGGATCAATGCCTCTCCAAGTGTCAGAACGTCGACCAGCCATAACCAACTGGATGCAAGGGTGGTATGTGTGGCAAACCAAGAAATGATGTTGTAGTTGTGAAGTTCAGGCTGGGCACTGACTTGGAGGTTCTTCACGCTTATGGGTTGCAGAGCGGAAAGTGATCTTGATAGTAACCTCGCAAATATCGCAAAGTGCTTGATCTATAATCACCTTGTCACTCAGTAAAGCAGTCATACTTTCGTCTGGTTTAGTATAATTAGATAAAAGCGCCATTGAAATCGAATCTCGAGATATTGAAGCATCTTCAATGTTAGAGACGCAGGGCACATGACCCACTCTTATGGACAATGGCAAAAGTATCTATTAGTATGATATCATCACATGTGTAAACTACTGAGAGTGTACGGCTCTTGTTCCTCAACCTGGAAGTAGTAGACTATATAACCTTCTTGTGCCCTATCCCGTTCCAATAAACACCTGTCCAAATCTAAACAAAACCATCATGATTGACCAAATAAGAGATCCCAAGCTATCAGCAAACACCACCACAGCCATCCACCGCAAATCCCTTTCCATCCCCATATCTGCTCAATACAAACACTAAAACACAACAGGCAACCGTACCAAAAACATAATAATGTCTTGGTAGTCGTGGATTGCAAGACCGATCGACGCTTGGCCCTGGACCGATAGATCAAAACCACCTCAAAAAGAGATTGTTTGACTTTCGAGTGGAGATCTTCTTACCACTGATAGAAGTAGCAAGCTCCTGGCGAGTTGGGATCCGAGAATTCTACGCAATGCAGCTCGTTATGAGACCGGGGACGACAGTCATCTTCAGAAGCTGCGATGACTGGACGTGTAGAGCATCTCAGACTTCGTTCACAGCTACCGGCTTCAGGTGGTGGGCAAGTGCCACTCTCTGTCCCGAAATACAGACTCTCCCGATTTCCAGGCATGCGAAGGAGATTCACGAGATCTTTGTAGCTCCGTAGGCAAAGTCGGAGAGGTTCATCCGGTCGGGTGCCATCTTCGTAGCAATATTCCGTAATGCATTGTTCTGGTAGTTCTAGAACTTTGTCTATTCGGACATAACAGTCTCGGTAAAGGCTGCCGCTCTTAAGGTAGAGTACTTGATCAGGTCGACTCCTGTGCTTGTTGAAAGTGTTTTCCTTATTCTCCGGATCGATTGAATTTGCTCCTTTTACCGGCAAAGCTCTCTTCAAATTATTCCGGCTCTCGAGAGTTGTCTTCCATACAGCAAGTGGCATGTTGCGGAAAGTGGTCATCTGATTTTTGATCATTAGCAACGGACTACTAGATAGGTTTGGCTTACTTATTGGAGCTGCTTCGTACTTTGTTATCCCATCCACTGTAATTAACCTTGTGATTATTACAGGACGGTTTCTGCCCTGAACATCTATTGGTCTGCGACACCCCGTTATGTTGGAGATTTCTAAGCACTCAGAATGTCCCGCTTCTTTCCGAGACTTCAGCCAACACATGGTGCCAGGCTGGAGCGAGAATCTGACAGTCACCGGGGAATTCTGCTCGCTGTGTAATGTTCTAATTGGCTGGCTTTGAGAAGGTTCGGTGGTTTGTAGGATGTCGTTTGGAACCCACCAATTGGTGAGCAACTTCCACTTCCGTCTCTTGGTGGGATGGCAAGGTGAGGTTCGCTGGTTGATTGCTGGAGACATTGCGTTCTTCGAATTCTGAGAAGATTTGCTTTCCATCGTAAGTAGAGTATTGCAGTGTATTACGCGCGCGGGAAGATGATTAGAATTGGACGTTGGAGTTGCGTGGTTGTAGGTTGCAACAAGTCGAGAGTTTCAGTAGGTCAATGTCATGCAAAGCGCAAGTTGACCTCGTCAAAATGAATGAGCTCTTAGAACCTAGTCAGCAAAGATATGTGACACTTCTTTTATCCCAAGTTAGGATGAATCGGAGCACTGAATTCATCGGGTAAATGCATTCTGAGGATTTGAAGGGTGGGTAAACCTTGGCTTCATGAAGGTCTGGCCTAGGGATTAAGTGTTGTTCCAATGGCTAACAAATATTTACAATAGCTCTTGGGACTCAGGAGAGTTCGTAACTTGTAACTAAACTGTATATCAGACTCTTGAGGTTCTTTTAAAGACTGGTTACAGGTGATACTAAGATTTTACAGCTTCTCAACTCCGATATTATAGCTATACTAGCTTCCCACCTCTCAATCAGAGCGTCCTAGAAATCCATCACTTTTTTTTGTAGTATCAGCAAAGAGCCTTGGTCATATGCGCGTTGGAGCGGAATGACAAGCGTAGCTATTTGGGAAGTGCTGTTCCTCTTTCAGGGAAGGGCAATGAATCGCTTTTAAGGAGTTACTAAGAGACGAAATGACCTGCTGTCGTTTTTTCCTGTTCAACCATGACTCTTGCCGACCCGACTTTCTCTCCAAATCTTTAAGTCCTGACAATTCTCGTATCCAAGAAGACCCCAAGCATTGGCAATGAAATGGCAAGCACTAGGTTGCATATCTTCTTGATCTTACTCCTTAATGAACACGCCTCTTGAAACCCTTCTCCCAATTCGCGAGTGAAAGGTCCAATAACTCCACTGAATTCCACCCAAAGCCCTACTGAAGACTCCCCAATGCATACCAGCTGCCAAAACAGTCGAATTCCCACACCTCTATTTTGCTGGCCCAAAGATTGCCTTCCCAGCCGCAGACTGCCACAACACGGCCAGCGTCGTCAACGACGAGAGCGCCAAGCTATTTACGATGGAGTGGTTGTCATAGGAGCTATTATAGATATCGAGTAGCTATGAGGAGAGTTGGTGGTAGTTGAGGATGGGCTGGAAGTTCATGGGAATGTAGTCGTGGTATCTTTTGCCAGTAAAGGCCCTTGGACGTCTCACCACTATCTTCTAAATATGCAATATACACTCTCTTGATCTAGGCTGCTTTCTGTGTTCGAAACTCGAATAACATTGCTCTCGTGTTCGTCAGTAACACATCCGTTACCAGCCACTGCCCTCACTTCCAGATTCCTCCTCACCTCCATCACTATAAAGCGGAAAGCTTGTGCCAGCAGAGCTACTGTAGCAATTATAGTTACTGAGGCTCGGATCGCCGCCACAGTACAAACAATGACTATGCTCAAATGCTGCCGCGTACCATTTTTCTGAAGTTATAAAGTCCGAACTAATGTCGGACTCATTGTCGGACAAGTCCTCCTCCTCCTCTTCTGATGAGGACGAGGATGAGGATGAGGATCTGATCGTGTCCGACTTTGTTCCTGAAAGGTATTTGGTGGCTTTTATTCGTCCCCGCAACATCCCATATGCAACCCATATGCAACCCATATGCTTCCTCCCCACAGATGTAGCAAACTCTCCTGTCACTCCTGCGAGAACTTTATAAGTAGAAGCTATACTCATGTATCAAAGAAAAGTGCATTTTTACCATTTAAAAATCAGTGTAGTAAAACACATATAAATATTGTGTATTCTTGTTGTTGTGCAATTTTTGGCGATCTTTTTCCAAGTTATATATATATCATTATACACACTTCACGACACCGAGATCTTTTCCATCTTCATCGAAATATGAGAAGAAGAGGAAGTAAGAGATTCCTCGACATTAGCCTTCTCCTTCTCGACCTCCCCGAAATCCTCGAGATGAACATCATTCCTCAACAACCCCTCAACTTCTTCATCCGCAATCCACTCATCCACCTCTTGAATCCTCTTCCGATACATCTCAACCGTATTCTTCACACCTCCAATCACAGCATAAACAGCCGGCGAAAGCATCATAATCCCACAAACAACCGAACACACAATCGCTTGCCGAAATCCTATCAACCCCACCAAATTACCCCACCTCGTAGTCAAAAAGTGCCTCATCGATCCCTTCTTCCCATACTAATCGAAATTCTCCCGATATATATACTCGTAATACGGATACTCATCGATATCGGCACAGAGCCAAGACCAGATGCGGCACGTTTTCAGATCCTTTAGAGTTTTGTATGAGTTAGTACCTAAACGTGTGACCGGCCAGCGACTGTCGACTTTCACGCGGCTAATCCTGAGAGGTATGCTGGAATAGGGCGTTCTTGGCGGGTGAGTAAGATTGTCGTCGAGCCAGATCCATATTTGGTTTTGTGAGGGTGAGGAGAGAGCTGTGCTGTAACCTGGGTAGGTGGGAATGGTGGCGCGGAGGATGTCGATTCGGATACGTGGGCTGTATTTGGTGTTATAGATGGAGGTCCTTGAGGCGGTATCGGGTGAGTGGATATAGTAGTCCAAATCCATAACAGGAGCGTCAGTGGAGTTTGTGCTGAGCCGGTTTGCGAAGTCGTCTGCGGTTCCTCCAATCTGATGGGCCCGGAGAGGGTTGGGGATGTGTGGGTGTGCGCGGGACAGGATGTGTTCATCGTTCAGGAGTAGAGTGCGGTTGTCAGGGGTGAGTGTGAAGTTAAAGACGAAGGCGCCAGGACATTGTGTTGGGCACTGGTCGCGTGCATTCCCTTCCCCCACATTTCGAATTAGCATTGTTTCAATCAAGCGAGAAAAGGAGATGAAAGCATGATGCTACTGAGGCGTCCACAGTCGAGATATAAGAGCAAGACAAGTTAAAAGCTTCAGAACAAAGGTACAGAAGAATAGATCAGGGGTCGCTAGATATACGAGCACACTTCTCTCTGCTTCAAGCCACTTCACAGCCTCGCTCGTGGATTCTTCATTGGCGTACACGTGAGAGAGCAGATGGAGATTCAGCAGTGACAAGAAACAACTAAGTTTCACCATGGCGGAGAGCAGACTGTAGAGTTAGTGATAGAACAGGAGACTTGAAGTGAAGTGATATTCCCGCCTCCTGGATTCCTCATTGACATCCGTTTTGGTGCAGCTCAATTACGGTAATTGCGGTAATCTCAGCCGAATCTTTACTTCCCTTCCTTCCAACGCAGTTAGTCACCATCGCCGCTCTACTCAGGCGCTACTCACCCTCGCTTCACCCTCTACTCAGGTTACTCAGTCACGTTCCTGCTCTCCCTTCTGTTAACCAATCACGATAGACTTCCTATTTGGCTCTGCTGTGCGGAAGTTGCCAACGCTACACGATAAGTTAGGGGGACCCAAACAGGCCCCCCCCCCCCCCCAACTCGGCCCTCACTCTACAACGAAACCACCTTGTGGTTGAGGAACCTTACCCTGAAACTACTTTTAGATTTGGAGTACTGCATTTACGACTACATTGGTTTGAAACAATACACCTCGAAGTAGTTGCGTCTAAAGTAGGATACCTTAAGATACTATACGATCACGTATGTGCCATATTTATACTTTAAGGCAAAGCAGCCCAAATTGTACTACTACAACTCGGACTACCTTTATTGGAAGTACGCAAATCGTCAAGGGTTACACCCTGAAGCGATGTTGGAATGCTCCAGCGACACGAAGGCTAGCTCACGGACCGTAATGGATGCACGTAGTACCTGTAAAGGATACGTAATAGTTCCTCTTATATAAGGAGTAGGAGGGACTCTGATTCTAACCTGTAATCGAACATTCTTGTACTTAGACGGCCTCTGTACTTCAATCACATCAAGCATTGACTTCAAGCCCTAACACTCAGGCCGCTGTGATAAACACTAAGCATCACCGAAAACTCTGGGGTCCACTGAGAACTCAGTTAAGGCAAGAATAGCGACCGCTCACGCCCAAAGGCGGAAATAGAAATGCTCATGCCGACTTTCAGGTGTGGGAGTAACTATTATAGCACGGAAATGTTTGCGTTCTCCAATCCTTATACTCAGGTGACCAATGCCGCCTTTGCTCAGGCTCGCCTCACGCTCGGCTTAGCTTCGGCTCAGGTCCGGTCAGGTCTGCTCACCGTATTCACGCGATGCGGTACAACTAACGAAGTAAGTCTAATCTCACTAAAAATCATCAACTTTTAACGAGGGGCCCGAAAAGCTCCCTCGTCCCTTAGCTAGGGATCCCAAATATTCACCCTGCCTAATCTAAAATTAGCCTTTGCTTCTTTCCTTACGATGGTTTTCGCCATGTTCACCTTATATAACAGAAAGGCATATCTCCTGCCATCGAGTTCAACTTTCCTTATCAAAAACCTACCTTAATATCAACACCTCTTTATTAAAACCTTGCCAGAGACTCGACAAGGCCGCGGCTCACGGTCCATGAGGATGCATCGAATCGTAAGTACGTGACCTGGGCATGCTCGTGGCATTTACTATAAACCCACTGACTCAAGGCATAGGAAAGCCTGCTAACTAAGCTTTCTCCATAGCTTTACCAATATTTCTTTGGTCAAACTTATGGGCTCATGCCGCCTCGCCGCCCCCCTCAGCTACTCCAAACGTATCAGCATTGGCTTAGGGGCCACAGAAACCCAAGAAATTTCATGCACAACTCCCACTCCAAGCCTCTGAGCGGTGTCCGCATTTCGCTGGATGAGCATAACATTGATAAAACACCATTCGCCGGTAGGGAAGATAGTCTCATCCACAGCAACCATGTTCTCAACCGTGTTTGACCGGGATAATAGCATAAACTCGAATTCCTTCTGCTTCTTGATCACGTCGCTCCAAGTCTTCTCCAGGAAGATCGTACCCACGGGCTGGGACCTTAAGTCGGATATGATGAAGGCGTCGTGATTCTTCCAATCTATAGCGTCTTCTCCCAGGTCTAGCAAGTCGCCTAAGAGCTGAAATGTAGTAATGCTGGTCCAGCAGACTAGGGAACAGGAACTCAAATCTTGCGTTGTCAAATGTTTTCGATTTTGCAAGTTTTTCAGGAAGGCTTCTGGTGGACTGCCCCTAGGGTGAATATTCTGGTGATCCGATGGGTCAAAGGGCTCAGTGGGATCCCAGTCATCCCGTGGTAATAATTTGAATCCCATACTGTCCTTATTGACGAGGTACCATTCAACTTCTCGTCGGATGTATCCTGAGAATTGGGCTCCGTAGTTTGACCGAGTATTCCATCCAACCCATGACCATGATGGGAAACCAATACCGGACTTTGTATTTGAGAGTGCAGTCCGCCGGTGATGTGGCTCCCGTAGCACCCAGAGAAGAGCCTCGTCTAGGAACATTTCAGGAAGCCCGTGAATAAACTCCGTATTCATGGTTGTTCTGAGGACTGATAACACTCCTTCCAACGCATTTAATGCGTCACCCTGATTCGACATAACCCTCATAGTATATCGCTCGACAGTATTGCTGTAGTAGTGAAAGGCAGTCGAGGCATCTTCATATCTGCTCCGAGAGAGCCCCTCAGCTGTTGGTGCTTGACTTTGTGTTAAACTATTATGAAGCCCACTAACATTCCAAAGACTGCTTCCAGGATAGACGAACGCCGACGGGGATTTTGTTTCGCCCATAACGTCTTCACAAAATATTCCACAGGGACACTGGAAGTAGAGCTGTGCTCCGGTGAAATACATTCGCCTTTTTGAAAGTAGATGTTCTTGAAAAGTCCACGCTCGAGTACTCCATGGGCTCAATTGCGTCGCTACCTCAACAGGAATGTGGTACAAAGGTCAAGCGCTTGAACACGCGCTATATCTTGGCGGAAAGCTCGACTGCCCGCACGATAACCCGGCAGGCCATCGTATGGAGTAGAGTTAGCGAGGGTTGGCGGGGCTGATATAATTGTTAGTAATGCGTTGTCGTATACTCGGTCCATCTGAAGAATTTGCATTTCTCTATCGTTGTCGTTATCTTGAATAATGCATAACGCATCAACCCACAGGAAGTCTCTACCAATTTCCCGAACACAATTGATTGCGTCTTGAATTGTCCTTGGAAGTAGCGGAAATGTCCTCTGGAGTGAACCTTTGGCTTGTAGCTCTACGAAGTTCGAATTTGTCGTGATGAAATGCCGATTTGACTGACCCCAGCAATAGCTCAACGCAACATACTTGGATCGCTGAGGGAGCAAAACGAGAGACATGGAGTTCACATCGATGACACGGAGATTGTGGGGAGCTGTCCGGGCATGGGCCACATTGTCACCTCTAGCAGCTGTCTCACACAAGCCTTGGTGGCCGTTTTCACACTCATGAAGCCATTCACTGGCAAGATGAAGATTCGCTCGGGCAGAATTGACGACTCTTCCATGAAATGTAGGCCCGGAACCGATATGGCAGGAGCTGGTCGATAGAAGCTGGATGTTAGCCGCATTATCTAAATACGGTCGATTGTGCTCTGATTGCTCCCTAAGTGCGATACCAAGACGAAAGCCCCGTCTGGTTCGCGAGTCGTTTGCATCCTTTGGAGTTGATATTATGGCATCTTTTGGGGGATCCTCTGCGTAAAGGTAACTGTAGAGATAGATACCAGACACGTCGTCCAGTGTATCTGCCCAGTCAATATAGTCATCCGGACTTGTCCAATTTTCCGGTTCCTACCTCTTGCACAGCGCCGCAATTACTAATCCACAGAAAGCGCAGGTGTCGGATGTTGTGTGAAGCTCCGTTAGGGAGCATAGCCTTACGGCCCCCGGAGCTGGTCCCACAAATCCCGAAATCTGCCGCAGAACGTGCAATTCTTCTCGGAAGTATTGGGCAAGGTCAATCGTACTGCATTTAGAACAGAGAGTTCCAGTTGAGGTCGACATTTTGAAAGAATATGAGCGAAGAGGAACGCTGATGAGTCGACATGTTTGCATGTTGTGGGGGGCGGAAGATGCCGAAGCTGTGATGCCTGGGGCAGCGAAAGGCACCAACAACACCCTTGCCTGCCGGCAAGGCTTCCATGTAGGTGTGGCTCACTTGACTTCGGTGAGAGAGGTTAAGTACTCTTTGGAGCATACGTAAAAATTTACAACAGAAGTCACTCCACTTTGATCTCAGGAGCCACATGTGCCTCAACAACCCTAGGCCCCGCTGCGCCATCTTATTCACGCCAACCGTCTTCCTTGTATAAAACGTCTGTGGCTTTTAACTTGCAAGATAGCAAAGAGATATACTGCCCTCTACTAGAATGTTTTATTCGGCCTGCGTGCTCAGGCGGTGCTCAAGAATGCTCACCCTCGGCTTAAGCTTGCTCACCCATAGCTCATGCTAAAGCAGCAGAAGCTCAGGTCTAGAGACGGAACTAGAAAATGTCATGAGACCATTCCCATACCGAACTGACTGTTATGCATGACCACATATACGTAATGGTAAGCAACGTATACACGCCAAAAGACCTGCCGGCTCAATCTTCTTAAATATAATAGGTATAAATTCTACGCGTACAAAATTTTCCGCCAAATATGCTAACCTAACACCCTTAATCCCTATGACATTCAACATCGTCCCCGTTCTTAGTCTCTGAAGTCCCAGTCTTAATAATGAGTAATACTAGAATGACCACTTGCGCAAATGCTGCAGTCCAGAGAAATACAATTGAAGCTAGAGGAACTGCAGAATACAAGCTCAAACCTAACAAACTTGACAATGAGCTTACGCAAAGACAGAGCCAAAACCAAGACCGGTAGCGCAGGCCTATTGACCGATTGTGAACCGTTGAAGCAATAACCAGGTAAATCGATAGATTGGACAGTATCGATTGAGTGTCACGGACACGTGATCAGCATACCATAGGCTCAGGGGCCCAGCCGTTGGTCCGGCATTTGTGGATCCCGGGTCACGTGTTGGATCCCTTGGGGGCCGCCGCGGGCTCTGGGGGATCCAAGGGGACCCTGGGGGATCCAATCAGAAGCATATATACTGGGCTTGAGGCCCTTAGGTAGGAGCCTTGTGCTCAACTTGATTAAGTTTTCCTAACTACTATATCATTGCCTTACTTTACTTCATTCACCATACCAACCCACGTGACCTTACCAGGGTAAGGAGAGAGTCGTGACATTGAGATAGATTTCCAAGGAAGTTAGGATCAGAGACTAGGCTATGTTCGAACGATGTTGTGGACTGCGAATTGGTGAGAATAACAGACCAGGCCATGAAGAACGCACTTATGACTATAAAACAAAGTAATATGACGGACGCCGTTTTTTTATGAACGAGCCATGCCAAGAGCCTATTGGCCTTGTATCTCACTATGGTCATTTTAAAACGACTCGTAGCAGGCTCCGATATCGATTGCAGGGGTTGGAGAACAGATGTGGGTAGTGTTGCTCCTAGAAGAGAATTAATCTGAATCGATGATGCGACATCTAATGCTGGCGTGACTGAAAGTGTTATTGCGATATTCTAGAATTGAGGCTTCAATGCTTACTATTCTCTTCACTGACAGTAGAAATCTGGCCAGCCCCAAGGTCATGCTCGTTGATTGATGGGGAAGCTGCGCGGGGTATTCGTCTTCTAATACCTGATAGCCATGTTAGTACTAGTATTCCAAAGTATGAAGGTTCTTTTTGAGAAACTGACCGCCTAATTCGACGACTCTGTGACTACCGGGAGGAAGTATGTCAGATGTAACGTTTCCCTGCTCGCTTCGTTCTAAAGCTTTGCGTAGAATTTCGACAGAGGTTTTCAATCGCTCTACTCTGTTATAAATAGTATTATCGACACCGGCTAGTGGTTCTAATCCGCTCTCTTTTCCCATCGTAGTCCAGATGTTCGTACCGATGCCATCCCCGTATTCCATTGCGACCTCTAACCTCCCGAGACATGCGCTCAGGTCCCTTATTCGCCAAGAGAGTGATACTCGATTCCAAAATGGAGACGTTTTCAAGTTCAGCTAGCTCTGTTGCCCACCACACTATCATTTCCTCAAACAAGAGATACTTGTAGGCCCTCATTTCCTGTGGCATATGCCACATTTTCACCTTTGCAAGAGTCTCCGCGTCCGTGCCACAGAGAGCCTTGTCTATAGCATAGCAAGTTTCAGGGAAGAGCAAAATTGGATAACCAGCAATCGAGTGCCCCCTTATCAGCAGTCTAATGTCAACATCTTCACCAGCTGCTGACGCTATGTCTGGCCAATCGTGCAACTTGGTACCAGTGTATTGGCGATCACACTATTCGTACCATTGAGTAATTAGGTCGTGCCTCTTCCAGGCGTCGGCTGCATCCATTACTTGTCCTCCTTGTACCATGAAATGATGCCGTTAATTTCGAAGGTTTTGGATTCTATCAAGCCAGCTCCATCAGGAACAAAGTCTTCTTCATCAGAGCGAAAGGTAATTGTATCTGGTATATTGGAAGCCATAGTGTAGAATCTTTCTATTTTAACAAGAGGAATTTAATGCTAAGAGATGAATCGGCATCGAGAGAATTTAAACCCTTCAGAGTAAGAAGCTTGCGTCAAGCCCAGCCACCTTTTGCACAAACTTCAGCCCCTGAAGACTTTAGCCGGCGGGCTGTACTTCTGGAAGCCGAAAGCCTGACAGCAGGGACCATAACTGCATGACTTACGTTCGTACTCTTTCCACCACTTAAAAGCGCCCGGCATTGTGGCATAGCATCTCTGCAACAGAAGTCGTCTCAGGTTGGCTTCGAGAGCCTCACGTGGCTGTGCGCTCACAAACCTTCCAGATGCGGGTGTAGCTTATACTTTCGTATAACAGGCTAGGTAGGACTGAATGACATAGTCACGTGAATTAGACTAGAGGGGATCCAAATCTGCTCCGGCAAGGACCCTTGTAAGTTTGACAGGGGAATGAGAACGGATACCGTCACGACATCTTAATAGGCTCAAAGAGTGGCTGTGTTGCAGGCAATATGATTTGTAAAATTCTATATATAGTTAATATGGAACTAAAACCGATTCTCGAGGGAGCCAGAAGAGGACCCCAGAAGCAAGATCCAGTTGACTCATTAGCGTGCTCAGGACTCAGGACTCAGCTCAGGTTAGAGCGGCAACATCTCAGGTCCAAAGACGGAAATAGACTTAGGTGGGCGGAACTGTCGTCTGAGGTTATAATGGTAATAGTTGTTGATTGTGGGTGAGTGTGGCTGACTTGGCGACTTGGCAATGAACAACGCGTCTCGCTTACTCAAACAGGGACCTCACTCCTATGTCGAAACTTTATACTCACACGTCCTGCTCCTCACAACAAACTTAATTATTTTGGATCTGTATCTTTATCACCATGGCACCCACCACAAGGCAAGCAGGAGCGGAAAACGGTAAAAAGCTCTTCAAACAAACTCTCGAAGAGACGTGTAACTCAACGCTTTCGAAGATATCCCCGAAGCCAACGAAACAAGCCACTGTAATCGAGGAGAATGGCTGCATCTTCGTAAGTTTTAGTTCTCAACTGCAGAAGGAATAAGTGTTGAGTAGTGACCAGTGTATAGCAGAGACCAAGAAGAGCAGGAGTTAGCAACACTGGAATCCATGGATACTGGTGATGTATGTGATGATTGTGGAGGAGAATTTGATGGGGAATGCTGTCATTCGGGGATGGAGCGTTATTATAGGTTAGAGTCCACGGTGAGGGAATATGGGAGTACTTGCTAATAGGATGTTTAGGAGACATGAGCTGGAAAGCGAGTTGGAGTATGACTGCTAGGCTGCATAGTATCATATCTTGATAATGTTTTTATAGTAGTTAACAAATATTTATTCACATGCTGACAGTGGGGATGGGGATTTGCACAGTGTTCTCTTATTATATGCATTGAGTAACCTATAAAAAGAAGCGACTTCCTGAGATGTTGTCCAGCAACCTTTGCCAAGAGTATACTACCCCGCCAAGTCCACCAATAGTATTGTTAAGCACTCTCGTCAATTGAATTTCTCTTCCTGCCAATCCCGTCCCTCCGCCTCATCCATCACAGACTCTCTCCCCACTCCAGGCCATATCAACAAGGTCAGATACAAGAGACAGATCAGAAGCCGAAAGACGATGATATTAGAAACCCTTTCGAAAAGCACCAGCATACTCCACTCTTTCCCCAAGATCCCAAGCCTCAGCGCCGTCAACGTTCCACGAAAGTTCGACAAAGTCGACATCTCTTGCTCTTAGTCTCAGACACCCCAGCACCCAAGAGAAAGTCTGCTAGAGATCGTTTCTGACCTTTAAGCCGAGTCATCCGTGCTGGTACTTGAGGCGCAGCGGTGTCGAACATCGAGTTGCTCCAACCTTCATGGCCAACCAGCCAGTCCAGGAGATTTCGATTGTTGATGAAGGTCGCGTACGATTGCTCTGCCTTCCGTGGAATCGATGGTGTCTCCTGGGATGCTTTGATCAATGAAAGTGGTCGGTATGGTGTGGGAGAGTAGAGGATTCGAAGTGGACGACGTCTGCCAGGCACCATGTTGGGCATCTTGCTGAGGGCGCGCTGAATCTCGGTCGAGAAGCTGTTTAGGGAATATTCGTATCTCAAGCCAACCAAGCTCGGAACACTTGGGAGTTTCTTGGAAATAGACAGCTTCTTCATGTAGAGATCAATGGATTGGCTCTCAGAAGCGGGTATAAATGCTCTGAGACTAGACCCAGTGCTCTGCAGACGAATGATGGTCTCATGCAATCTTATCAGGATGGCAATGGCGAACTGGAGGTCAATTCTAGGACCTCTCCGTACTAGCCTGTGGGGCGATCCAGAAGAGTTTGCCCTGCGTCGAGCCTTGGAGACTCCGTCCTTGGATCGTGAACGGGTGGTTCCTGTGGATACTCGTCGACGAGGCTCTGCAAGTGCTTGCTGCCTGAAGTCTCTTGCAGAAAGAAGAAGTGACAACTCTGAGGAATTGAGAGGGGTGCTAAGGCTAGGCGCTTCAACTGCAGTTTCTTCGTCATCACCCGTTGGAAGGACGGTCTCGATCACTGCAGCTTCTGGCAGTGGAGTGGTTGGAGCGACACTCTCTTCATCCACAGGAGGCTTGCCAATGTAGAGCTCCTCGTAGTTGCCCCCACGTCCGAGTTGATCCATCAGCTCAACGTAGCTCTCGAAAGAGAGTCTGGCTGGTGTCTCGGGAATGCTCTTGTCTCTGTTAAGAAATTCTCGTATGGCCACAGCTGGCAGCTCCATCGTCTTATCCAAGCAGACGTAAGAATCCCTTTCAAAGCTCCCCTCACCCAAATACAGAGTCGGGTATCGACTGCGAGGGTTCCGGTATGCCACAGTTGATGGTGCTGCATCCGACGGAGGCTTAGGCATCAAGGGGAGAGAATGGCGCATGCTGTAGCCACCAGTCGAGCGTTGGAGCTTGTAGTCTTTGAAGGACAAGCTGCCGAAAGTTGAAAGCTGAATATGTGATTAGTATGCGCTCAATGGAGCGGTATTGCAGGTATTGCTACTTACTGGTACAGCATCGTAGTATACTACGTGGTCTCTCGTGGTCTGGCTCCCAATGATGATGACAGGGTGCTCGAGGCCTTGGTCGTCGAGCTTTCCCCTGATGGTCGGACTACTGGTTCTACGTTCGAAACATTCGAACGTATCCGTTTGGTCTCTTTTTCTGAGCCAATATGTGCAGCCCGTTCGGATTGTTGGGGCGTGGCAGATTACCGTGCTGTCTTCTGGAGCAGTGGGTTCTTCTGTTGTAGCGTCGACAGCGGGAAGTTCTGCGGAAGGGATGCTCTGTTGGGTGGGTGATTCTATGGTTGCCACTGCGTACGTAGATTCATTAGAAAGATACTCTCTTGTTTTGTGACGGGGTGGCACAAACCTTGATGGAATGAGAGGGGAGACGTTGTTACGCTCAAGTTGGAGGCGTATGACGGAAACGACATATTTCAATACTAGTACTCCTTTTAAAGGAGTAACAAAAGTATCTCAACTGTGTGACTTCTCAATTGGAAGCGTAAGAATTGCAATTGAAAAAGTCTGCTGCGTTGATGTCGTGTTGATTGGTCAGATCTGGAGAATCGCAAATGTTGAGTAGAAGATAACTCTGAAGGCTTGATGCCTATTCACCAGAATTCTGTTTCATTGTAATACTTTCATCTGAACGTTCTTCATCGCCAAATTGTTGGAATCGGCCAATCAGAGGTCGAGGAGGGCACACTATCCCAGCATCACGAGGTAATCGAGTGAGAGCACTTGCGCACTAGCACTATGCCGCATAGCAAGGGCATCTACAGCACAGTATCGTAACCGCATGTTGATTATCGATGCCTCAATTCAACATCCCAATGTTCTCAAGTTGGATTTGAGTACCTGCTCCAGATATACTTTCCCCCTCGCCGACGATAGAAGACCGAACCTGCCATAATTTACGGCACTGCATATACAGGACTGCGATTTATCAAGACAGGATTCCAACGAACATGTTACAGAGGAGGCAATGGCACAGCATGGAGTTCGCACACCACAACCAACGGCTCGACGCCAAACCCTGGTCTGGAAGTATGGACATGGAGTGGAGGGCAAGAAATCTGACGTGCGAGGAGGCTTGGCTCCTTCCTATATCTCTATGTGATGACTGCTCTTTCAGACTAGATCCCGATACGGAGGAGGTACTTATATCAGAGACTGACACTCGTCCAGCCCCGCATCTCATGAGCTTTCCATCAGCTGCACCCAGATCGACGAACATCAGTTTGCTTTACACTACAGAAAAACACCACTGTGAGAAACGTGAGACTACTCACGAGATCTTACAAACGACAAGCAACTGCTTCGAGCAGCCCTTCGAACCCAGCCACGCGGTGGCTGTGGCCACAAACCTCAATGAAAGCCATCGTGCCTGCTATCACGGCTTCTTCGCACCAGGACATATTGTTTGGAAGGATGCATATGACTATATATAGCCGTCAGAGAGTATCATAATGCGAAAGAGAAGCAATTGGCAAGGTTGTCATTCAGTGAAAATTGATCACAGAGAGAAGCCAAGACTAGACGTCGAAATTGTCTCTCGCTTCGCTAGCGTCTGCCAAGATTCCTCACTCTCTCGGTCTGTCTTCAATGACAAATAACACTCTGCAGACAGATTTGAATTCCTCAATATCTCCTTCGAAGATTCGTGCATCTGCAGCCAAGAGTTTACGTATCCACGACGCACAACGACGCAGCTGCAGCGAGACGAGCAGCGTCCCAGCAACGCCTCGAATCACCGCGCGTCCACTGACTGTGGCTCTCCCACGACCCACATCTCCATTGTAGCAGGGGAAGTCGACACAACTCGATGGGAAACAGAACTAGCCGTCAAGCTGAGGCTACAGAATACAATTGATTCGGATCGCGTATCTCCTTGGAGAACAAACCTGCAGAGGTCGAAACCCTCCCTGGATGCGGGTCGTTAGCAGCAGCCAAATTTTTGCGAATTATACATGGCTTCGATAATAGCAACGGAATTTTCTATTTCTCTACGACTTAATTGTCGGGGTTATGGGGAAGGTTACACTCATTTCAATCTCATTCTACCCTGCTCATACCTTTTCCCCTCTCTTCCAAGGCAGGCACGATTCTCTCTTCGTCTGTTACCCCATCACCATGTTGTCTTCCACCTGCAGATTTGATCCTGGTAGTTCCAACATCATATCACCCACCGTCCTTGCCTCTTTTAAGAGATACAGTCCTTCGTCACGGAGAATCTCCAATTCGGAGAAACAACTGCACGCCTTCACAATTCAATGAAGCCAATCGTCAAAGTGGGGCTGGGCATTGAACTCAGCCCTATGCGATGTTTCACTGCAACGCATGCGCAGTATCAGATACTCGGTTCCTCTTGAGGATATCCCACTTTCTTATATCCATAGCACCCCTGACCCCTACTTCCGACAGCTTGAACTCTTTTCAGTGCCTTGTAGGCACCATCACAGCAGAAAACCAATGGCAGCCCACGACGTGCCCTGGGACCCATGCGCCGCGCGATAAAACACCCCACCAACTTGACCAAACGATGACGACGACTCCGAGCTCATCTTAAAAATAACGAGCACGACCGGCCCCAGATACCAACAGCATTAGAAACGTGTCGACTCGTGCGTGCGCGTTTGAGAAACGTGCTGCTCTCGCCTGTGCGGCACAATATATATAAATTTGTTTCTCCCGCCGCCGCCTATCATTTCAGCCATGGTCTCGGATCAATGATGCCAAGATCTTGGCGAGTGCTTGTCGCAGCCCTACTGACAATTGTCGGGTTGTACCGATTCTTGAGCCTCAACAATATCCTTTTGGTCGATCATACACTGAATCACAGTCTGTCGCAGCATTTCAGATACGACGTCAAAAACGAATTCCCGTCGTACATCTGGCAAACGTGGAAAAATGGTCCTGGATCGAGCGGCTTTGAGGAGGTGAAGGGATCCGCAGGCTCCTGGGATAGACGGAATCCAGGCTCCATCCACAGAATACTATCGGACGCTGAAGCAGAAGAATTGTTGAAGGATCTATACAACCCGTTTCCAGAGATCATAGAAGCATACAATGCCCTCCCCAAACCTGTTCTCAAAGCCGATTTCTTCCGCTATCTCATCCTGTTAGCCAAAGGCGGGATTTATACGGACATCGACACCGCTGCCTTGAAACCAACCTCAGTATGGATTCCCGAAGAGTATCAAAATGAAACAATAGGACTAGTTGTCGGAATCGAAGCTGATCCCGATAGAGAGGATTGGCATCAATGGTATTCCCGACGCGTACAATTCTGTCAATGGACTATCCAATCCAAACCCGGACATCCGGTCCTCCGCGAAATTATCGCCACCATCACACATGAAACTCTTCGACTAAAAGCCGAAGGGAAACTCGACGACCCCGACCTCAGCGTCATTGAATTCACGGGCCCGGCATTGTGGACGGATGTTATCTTCAGTCATCTCAACGGGCCTCAATGTCCGGATCGCAGAACGTTGCCACCGCAGGTCACGTGGAAGGAGTTTACTGGCATCACGTCGCCGAGGATGAGGGAGGATGTGTTAGTTCTCCCTATTACTAGTTTCTCTCCGGGTGTGGGACATATGGGTTCGAGGCCTACGGATGATCCGATGGCGTTTGTGAGGCATGAGTTTTCTGGTAAGTCATGTGCGAGAGATTCATTTTGTGCAAATCGACCACTTTCCCCTCAGAAGCTAATGGCGATTTCAGGATCTTGGAAAGAAGAGAAGAAATAGTACAGGTCTCTTGTTGATTCTTGGATTGGGTCTCCGACCTTTTGAATTCTGAAGGTAGTCTGGTGTTGGTGGTTACAGAGAAACAGTTCAGCGTTATGTATTCATTCGGACTCTACAAATATTATGTAAAGAATGGATGTCTTCATATCCCATTGCTCAATGCATTTTTGCAAAATGCCACCAATATCCGTCAGTGTCTCTTCACTGCCACTTCTCTAAATACTTTGTGAATATTGATCTTCCTTGCCCGTCTTGCAAATCTGCTTATTGCTCTAGTGAAGGTGCTTTTTGGCTTGACACTGCTTGTCTAAAATCAGTTACTACCTTAGCTCTCCAACTGCTTTTTGGGTTATTCTCGCTTGTCTTGCAGACTTACTATACTTCCCCAAGTATTGTGTGCATCGTTCTTGCTCTTCTTCCGACGCTGCTTTATCTTCCCAGATCCTCTCTAAGTCGTTCTTGCCTGTCATGAAACCTTTCCGTCCTTCTCTCAGTACTTGTTAGCTCGTTCTCTTGCTTCTTTTGCGAGCCACCTCCGCTTGTCGGAGTGTGTTACAGGTCGCTCTTGCTTACATTGCAGATCTGCTTCACTTTTGCAGGTGCTTTGTGGGTCGTTCTTGCTTATTTTGCAAATCTACTTTATTGCCCAAAGACCTGTAGGTCGTTCTTGCTCCTCTTGAGAATCTACTCTACTTATCTCAGTGCTTTGTGCGTCGTTCTTGCTTCTCTGACAGATCTAATTATTGCTTTCATGGACGAGCTTAGTGGGTCGCTCTTGCTTGTCTTAGAATCTACTTGTTTTCTTAGTAAAAGTGCTTTGTCAACCGTTCTTGCCTTTCTTGGAATTCCGCTATTGCCCAAGTGGGACCCTTGCAGAAGCTTCACCGACGAGAAAAATGGCCGACAATCGGCTGATGGATTGATATCAGAGCATCGGCTTCAGCTGCAAGTGCGGAAAACTGTGCCATTCGTTATTGCTTGTTTTAGAAATCTGCTACTTCCCCATTGAATCAAAGAAACTTCACCGATGAGACAAACGCTCGATAAGTAGCGGACGTGTTCAGTGGCACAGCGTCAACTTTAGTTCAAAGTTTGAGGAAGAGTATAATTTTCATCGAGTAGCGAGTTGTCAAGGGGGCGTTTTAAAACGCCACAACTAATTTACCCGGTCGACTTACAACGGGTCGAGTGCCTCGCGGCCTCGTATATCAGCACCCCCGCAAGCTTAGTTTCCACAAACCTAATTCTCGAAATTCTCGATCTCGATGGTCTAGAAAACGATCCCAACATCACTGAGGAACAAATCTCCACCATCTGTCTTGAGGTCGCGCTTTATCTCCAAAGGTGACTCGAGTTGATACTGACACGTTCCAGGTCTGCCTGCGGCAGAACGAGACTATTAGGCATGTTCAAAAACCTTCTGCCCTGTGTGGAGCTAGGAGAACCGTCAAGCAAAGTGAGTACATTCCTTGGATCAATGGCGAAGGGTACTAACTCTGCGAGGAACAGCTCCAAGCCAGGGCGACTCCTCGTCCCTGGACAATGAGGCTCCGGAGATCGTCTCTCCAACAATAACTTTCGAATTCTTGAGTGACTCTGATGATACACCGAGATCAGCCGATCCAACAGAGATCAGTGTCCATGATTCCTTTTCACCAACTCTGCAACGAAGACAAGGTCATAAACCAGCATCAAACCATAGAACTTCTCCAACTGAGGACTACGGCCGATGGCTCCCTGCTCGTCCAAGTAACATTACACTGGTCAGTCCAGATAAAGCTCGCGGTCGCTCAGGACTTCCTCGGAGTAAAACCACCAATCCATTCCGGGCATATTGAAGAAACGGGGGGTGTGGTCTCTGTGGCGATGACGCCGCAGCTGGTGTAAATCACAGAGTTCGGCGATTGGGAGGCACCAAGGCGCAACATCCAGCTTTTATGGCTGGTATATCGGTGTTTACCTACCAGCACTCCTTGGCACACTCCGAAATGGAGTCAGACACTACGTCTGTCCGCACGGTACCACTCAGTGGTGAGTACGCTTTGGTCCATCTATGGTCCGCAAAAAGAGCCAGGCATTGCGAGTGTCAGCTGCCGATGCTGCTCCTAGCCTCTGCTAGAACCGAGTCAATAACTATCATCAAGCTGATCAAGACCTAGGCCTCCAAATGCAGTGTATCAAAACCCTGCCCTCCTTCGTCGTCGCCATGAGCACCCGTATCGCTCTTCACCTCCAAAGGAGGACGTGAAAACCACTCCACTGGCGCTCGTACGTATGTCTCTACATCTACAATTTCTTCAAGAATGTTAGCTAATGAAGCTCTAACAAAAAGAAGAGGAGAGGACGAAGAGCGCGAGGGCAAGGCAAGACGTGGCAAAGGAATAGTACCCAGCAGTACTTCGTGCGGAATTCCTGATAATCCTAGGCAGCGGACTCAGGTTCTTTACTTGCAAAACTCGGCTACTGGGAATTGTATCACCTCCATTGGGCTCGAAAGAACATCGGTGCGATGGTTTCTCTCAAGGAGATTCACCTGAGCGTGATCATCCCCACACGTCCGGTACTCTGATTGAACAGCTCGGCGGTATGCTTTTGCGTAGGTCGCTTACTCTCACCTCTTTCACCTTGATTCATCCTCATTCCCCTCTCCGGCATTGAGATAGCGAACCAGACCTAACTTCGAAACTGATTAGTGAGAGCTAAAGCCGAGCCGGCCAGTCTCTCATAGATAAGAAGGCGAGAAGATAAATATAAAATGGTGCCTTCACCGGACCAACTTCCTTTCGCGCAGAAAGGAGGCGCCTTCTCCAACTTGTTATTAGACAGTTGGGCCAAGTCACCAAACAGACTAGTGTGGCTTGGATAGTCTATGGGCTAGATATACTTTGAAAGGGATCTCTGCAGTCACCGAGAGGTGAATTAAGTCTGTCGAGTATCAGGTGAGTCTGTGCATAAATACCTCAAACTCTTTGCTGACTATCAACCAGACTCTCGTTGATGAGTTGCCACTTTTCATGGCTTCCTGTGAGTTAGTTATGCCCCATCCATCACCATCCTTTCCTGCCACATCCCTTGCTTCCGATCACCTCGATGGCTCGCTCTTTCCGTCGAGAATTTACACTCTTCACTGGTCTTCGGAGTTGTCAATACTGCTGCTGTCATTTAGCATTGGATGTTGTCAGTCATGTATCAACGGCTGTTATTTAGTACCGTGCGGGAAGCAAGAGCAAGATATCAAGTCCTAACATGTTTTCAGAAAAGATCGATTTCTAGTCGTGCCGCTCGCGTCACCTGGTTGACTACGAGTCACCAAAAGCCGCGATTCAGGCTTGTGGAACTTGTAACAACTTCCAGCAAGCAGCTCTACGAGCAAGGCCGGGCTTGCTTGCAGTCGCAGTGTGGGCAGGTCTCTGAGTTCATAGGAGATACCGTCGACCTCAGGCAAAGAAATGGAATCAAGGTACCTCTCTGGCAGTCCGAATGAGACAAAATCCCGATCATTATAAGATGAAGGACCTTGTGGACGGTTCGAACATCGACAAGCGGCTTCAGCTCGGCTCTAACTAGTTCAAAGATTGGAAGGCACCAAGGCGCAACATCCAGTTTCTACAGCTGGCGTCAGGAATCAAAACTTTTGATTCCGACAGAGCCCGGCCGCCAAGGAAATGATCGAGATGATGCCAAAACTCGCAAAGGTATGGTGAATTTCTTGTCCTCAAAGTGACTTAGCATTGACGCATCGCAGGGTTATCTGAGATGCGGTAAGATCTTGAGCCTCACTAAGAAGACGGACCTCGCTTTGCAAATATACGAAAGAGGTTTGTTGAAGGTCAAGATCTCATCCCCAGGACCAGGTAGAGTGGTATGCTTCTCAACAGTATCCATCACCGCATTGGCTCAGATCGTATTTCCCACGCCGGCGTACCTCAATCAAGAAGTCGGATTCCCATTCGACTCTCCTCGGCCAGCTCAGTACCAGTCGCCAGATCCCGCTCACGGAGAGGCCCCTGACTCGACCCACAGCGCACTCGATCTATACCAGTGCCTATAGGGGAGCAATGACATAGAATCTCGCTTTCTTTTTCTTGTGCTTGGATGGTGGATTGCTTTTCTTTCATGTTATAGGGGTCCCGACACTTTACAGGTAAGCTTCGATTGCCCCTATCTTGGTGGACTATGAATAATAAGACAGGAACAGACCGAAGCATGAATAACAGTAAAAAGACTTAGGAGGAGAGGAAAGCTGGGATATCTGGTTATACAGCTAAGTCCACCCCGCTAAGTGTATTTGTACCTCTGTATTTGTACGACTGTATTATTACTATTGTATTTGTACGAATGTATTTGTATCAAAATTGTGATCTTCTTTCCAACACCTATGACCTTCCGATCCTCGCCCAGTACCTAGGAAGTGTATCACAGAAACCGAGTTCCTTCAGAAAAGCGCAATCGGATTCGTCGCATTCACTGGTAGAGAATTAACTACATCCCAATGCTCCTTCATGCATGTCCCTTCAAACCTCCAAAGATCAATAATAGCCGTAGACTACGAGCACGGCACCGCAATCTCATAATGCACCATCCTGTACGGGGCGTCGAACATGACTTGCATGATATTGAAGTTCACACCAGTGAAATCAGAACCGGCTGCCAACAGGACAGCAAGTGTGTTGTTGCGTCTGTAAGGTGGCAGATTGGCGCTGTGTTAGATATAGTCAACGTCGATGAAGTCGAGGAATGACTCGGTGATGTCGTTGGGCTCGAAGAAAAATTCGCTGATGAATTCGTAGAGGGCGGGGCGCTAGAAGTCGGGAGAGGCGGGATGGCCCGGGTAGTAGGGTCTTTATTGGATTCCTCCTGTTGTTCTGTCGACGAGAGGGATGGAGGCTGCTACAGTCAGAGCCCACACTACTAAGGAGAGAGTGAAGAGAAAGGTTTTCGGGAGGAGTCGCATGTTGGGCGTAGATTCAGCAAGAGGAGACAACACTGAGAAGTGAAAGTGATACTTGCAATGTAGGCGAAGTGGGAGAAACTCTTCTATACATATATTGCGAGCCAAACATTGGAACACCTCGAGGTGCAGTCCTTTCTGACCCGAAGTATCCTTGCATGAGCTCACCTGCATCCCATCTTCTGCCAATGTTCGGCTACGCTACAGTCCCTGTGATCACGCTGTAGCATATATGATTGCTCAATCGTCACTTCTTTATTATTAGATATGCATTGATAAGATACTTATGAGTGTAGACAGCATTGTGTAAAAGCTTTGGGATCTATGGACGGCAGCAGCAGCAAGCAACTTCAGGCCACTGAGGGGAAGTGTGTTATTGAATGAAAGAAGGCGGCAAATAATCCCACCATACGCAACAATTTGCAATAGTCCAGACGCGTCACAATCAGATATTATTATCGTGGTCTCCATTTCTTATTGTTGTTGTAGTCAAAGCGCCTATAGCATGCGGATATAATGTAGGTATCTCGCTTTCGAGAAAATCTCATTGTCATTGTGTGGCTGTCTGACGAGTATTTTGGGAGCCTCCATGTAACAACTCTACGCTCATACATTTGCTTGATAACTGGCTGGGGCAATGAACTGGAAAGGGGAGTCATGGTAATCTAAAGCATCACCCAATGAAATTTGTGCTCTTATTCACCATGAGACTGAGAAGCTTAGCTATTTTCCATCCTGTGCTCATTCTCTGCTGATTTAATTCACTCACCCAGCCTTACCACTCTCCGAACCGTTCTCCGCGGCTAGTGAATCTATAAATTCACCTCTTTCGGTCCTTTGCTCTCCGTTTTCCACTCTCCGCCCTCCATTCACCTCCCTCGGCCCCCGTCCTCCGTCCTCCGTATTCCGCCCTCCGTCCTCCGTCCCCTCTATATAAACCCCCCTCCAGCCTCTCTATAATCCGCACAAAAACGTTCCTTAAACAAGACGAACATAGGAACGGATGGCGGTGGTGTTTGGAGTGTCATCCTGGCCGCGGCCTTGGTTGTGTAGAGCTGGTGTAGTTTGTTATGCTACGCTTTTTCCGTAGCGTTATTTGCTATGAAGGGCTGTGGGGTATTGTTGTTGTTAATTAAGTTGTTGTTGATGATAATTGGGTTGTTATTGTCAAGTCTTAGTATTATTTTCTTTGGAAAATAGTGTTATAACTTATTCCGATCGCTTTGCTTTATTTAAATCGAAAATCTATTGTGGAGGCTTTCATGGTCCGTATCATCTTGTTTAGTCGAGCATGGTTGCTTTCCTTCTTTTAGTTATGGCATTGGATGGAACTATATATCGGTACAATTAATGGCCGCTGTCAATGAATATGTTGCTATTAATAATGTTTCCGCCTTTTTCATTCAATTCAACTTGTGTTAATCGATAAAGATAAGTACCTTAGTATCTAAATTTAAAAAGAAATATATATATTGCTTTCTCTGTTAGCTACACAGAAGAGTTTAAGCTTAGTTACATTCGGACAATAAGGGGATGTAGGGAGTGAGCCGGGCGCGTGTACGCTGGGCTCAGGGTACAGGTCAGTAGTGGCTCTGTGGTAGATTAGACTTGGTTTAAATTGTGAGGAAGGAGGGTGAGGGATTGTTGTCAACGAGGTTTTTGTTGTCAAGTTCTATCATTTTTCCTTGTTTAACATCTGTCTAAGCTTTTCACGTACAAAACTCTCTCTCCTCAAACTCATTACATCCCTATTATTGCTTCAGCCGCCCAGCTATGTTGCGCCTTGGTGCTTTCAATTGTTGTTGCAACGTTCGCATGATCGTTCGAGATCTGGGTTTTTATAGTCCGTCAAGTTATTTCCGCAACTTTCTCTCTCTCTTTTTGATTCATAGTGAGGGGTTGTTATTATTTAATTTATTGCTGTTAATTTCCCACCCGACTACTCATCTAACATCTGTTTAAGCTTTCTACATAACAAATTCTCTCTCTTCAAATCCACTCCATCCCTATAATTGCCGTCCTCGGCAGCCCGGCCGCGCGCCCATGTTGCGCCTTGGTGCTTTCAATTGTTGTTGTTGCAAAAGTTCGCAGGATCGTCCGAGATCTAAGATTTTATAAATAATCAAGTCTATTCTCCGCAACTCTCGCTCCCTCTCTCTTTGTCTCACGACTTAAATTTAAGGCATTCATCGGCATCTGCGGCCGCCGTCTATCCTCTCTTATTGCAAATTCTTTTTCTTTTTGGAGTAGAGACTTGCATTCACTATATTTCCAACATCTTCGGTATTCGGCGTTGTTTCTCGCCGTCTATTTATGAGAAAGGTCTTTCTCTCGCCTTCTCTTTATTTTCACATTCACTCCATTCCCCGGCATCTTTGGCCGCCGTCCGCCGTCCGCCGTTTATCATAGTACAAATTCCCTTTCTTTGAGTTACAACTTAAATTCAACGCTTTCATCGGCATCTATGGCCACCGTCCATTCTATTGCACAATTTACTCTTGTTGAGTATCTAGGTAGGGATATGCATTTACTGCATTGTTAATATATTCGGTAGTCAGCGATGTTTCTCGCTATCTATCTATGACAAAACCTTCTCTTTATTTTTTTATTTTTGTCTTCAAACTCACTCTATTTCCCGGGCATCTTCAGCCGCCGTTTATTTTAATACAAATTCCCTCTCTTTGAGTCACGACTTAGATTCACTCCTTTCATCACCCTTGTCAGAAGCTCTTGTTTCTCCGATCTAAATATAAATAAACTCGATTAAAAAGCTCAACATGCAGATCCATGCATACACGTCTAATCTGGCGAAAACGAGATCCTCCAGGGCATACTTCTCGTTGTGGTAGTGTACAAACTGATAGATTTTGTTTTTTTCTTGGTTTTTGATTATGAGGTTGGGGGGTTTATATAGATTTTGTATAAAAATCAAGAGTCAAGAGAAAGGGCTTGAAAGAGTTGGAGGAGAGCGAGGCTGGAGATTCACTTCTTTGTCTCGCACCTCAGACTTTTGCTCTTACGCTTGCTCAAAGTATGTATTTGTGGGATATAAATACCTCTCCTCTCCTCGCTCTATATTACTCAGGTATCTGAACCAGAGGCAACACTTGCCAAAAAACAAGGCGATCGGCTGACCGTCTAGTTGGGGCAACAGTTCGAGCATGAGTTTCTTTCTTTATAATGCTGGGTTAAAGTTACAATATCACTAAATAGAGGTTCGGGTCGTATTGTTAATAGATTTTCTGTTGTCAATCTGCCTGCCGTCTTCCATATTTTGTTTCTTACCAGCCCCTATCCCCAAGAGAAGCAACAAAAAACTTTATTCTAAAACATCTAAATCTTTGGAACATATATGTTCCACCCTGATCACACCAATTGGAATCGCTCTCAATACCGTTAATTAATGAAAAGAAAACAATAAGAAAAGAAAAGGGTTGTTTATACTTTTAGGAAAGCTTTAATTCAGAAGTGGTTAGAATCCCAGAGAAGTGAATTAATGAGCTCAGTGTAAGGGTGATTCAAATTCACTTGTACTGCACTTCGATATTTCATTCTTGGATGCTAAGATAGTTATGTTGTGGTTATAAAGCCTTTTCTAATCGCTTTCGAAAAAACCAAGAATCCACTTTCTCTTCCTTCTCCACGAACAATTTTCGACACAGTGACAGAGACGTTGTTCTAGCTGGCCGGGGGAGACTGAGACTTTGTGTTTGTGCATGTTAAAGAGATTTTAGCTCATTGTTGCCAGAATATTACTTGCTCTCAGTACTACTTAGACTGAAGAGTAAAAGTAAAAGAGTAGAGGGTGAGGGAATAGAGGGTGAGGGAATAGAGGGTGAGGGGGTGGAGATTGAGTGGGGGAGAGTGCAAGAGAATAGACTTTGGCAAATTAAAGGGGAAGTGTTTCAGCCTCATTTAAAGTTTTCAGCGCAAGTGAAATATTTGTGTGCCTCCTTTTCACTCCCTAATCACTTTCACTCTCGCTTTCACTTTCATTCCTACTCCTAGTCTCACCCCCTCCCTCTCTCTATTCTCACTCTCCCTCACTCTAAGTTGTAATGAGGGCAGGTAATACTATGGCAGCAATAAAGCGGGCAGCAGTGAGGTGGCTAACAATAAATGGGCTGTACCAGCGAAGTAAAGTGAGTTAATTATAAATACTAAACAAATCATAGTTTTTTAACTTGTTGCTAAACAAATCCTTCCTTTTCACAAATTATCAAACAAATTATAATTTCCGAGCAGTTTAATTAACGATTAATTATAAAAATAAATAATAAATAAATTTAAATACGTGAATATATAAATTTATAAACTAGTAAAAAACGGAGAGCGGAAACGAAGAGCAATGTCCGATAAAGCTGAGTAATAAATAAACTTAAGTACGTAAATATATAAAGTCACAAACCGACAGAGGACGAAGAGCAGAGAGTAAAAAACCGACAAAGGTGAATAATAGACGAAGTCAACTAAATTATTGTACCAAGTAATATATGCAAGAAGAGCGAATGTTAAACTATTCTTTCCATCCCCGACAAAACCTCCCAAAGTCTCCCATAGAAATGAAAATATCTACAAATTCCCACGTCTCACAGCTCTCCTCTCCTCTATACTTTCCACTTACCCAACCACCACTCTCCACACTTTACGACTAGTCATGTCCTCTTCTTTCCACCCCACTTTATCGCTACTTTTTCCCCTACCCCCCTACCCCCTACTCCTCTCCCTCTCCCTCTCCCTCTCCCTCTCCCTCTCCCTCTCCCTCTCCCTCCCGCCCCCCTCCCGATCCCGACTCAAACTCAGATTCCTCACCGCCTGCTCCCTCAAACTGCCTGGTATATAGATCCCCTTAACCGCACGACTCAACACCTCATTACTAGCCTCTTTCGCGTTCACGCCCTCTCCTCTTCCTGTTTCCGTTTCCGCTAACCTCTCGAAAATAGACAGATTCTGGGAGAAAGATGAGTCTAGCCTGGTTCGGGAGAGGGAGCGTGAGCTCGACGGTGTGGGGAGAGAGGGAGTTGAGGGGAATGAGGAGAATGAGGGGGGGTTGCGGCGGAGTGGGGAGTCTTCGCGTGAGAGAGATGGGGGGTTTGAGGGGTTTCGGCGGAGTGGGAAGTCTTGTCGTGTGAGGGATGGGTTTGAGGGGTTCCGTCTCAGAGGACTTAATGTCGTTTCTCGGATCTCTTCCTCTGTAGGGATGGAGGCTAGATCAACAGGATTCCATTGTAAGGGTGAAAGAGTGCGTTCTTTTACATCGATGCTGTTTTCTTTTTCGTCGGATTGGATGCGCGAGTTTCGAGCTGAGAGGCGAGCTTCGATTATATCTGATGTGCGGATCATGGAGCGGCCTCTCTGGTAGCGGTCGTCTAGTTCTGGTTCTGGTTCTGGTTCTTGCTCATCGGCTTCTATTGTCTGGTTTTTGGCGAGTAGGGAGGTGATGTTTCGGAGTTGAGGGTTCATTTTTAGTGGTGAGAAGTCTTTTTCCCGAACATCCTCAATTTCTGGAAATTGTTCGCGGATTGCAGGCTCCCTTTCTTGCTCCTCTATCTTCAATGCTTGGTTCTCGGCGAGCAATGAGTCGATATTTCGCAGCTGAGGATTCATTCTCAAAGGTGAGAGCTCCCTTTCCTCAACTTCCGGAACTGGAAGAGGAGACGGCTCCTCCCGCATCTCTAGCTCTGGAACCTCGTCTTCTGGACTCTTCGCGTCGTTCTTAGCGAGTAGAGAATCGATATTCCTCAGGGGCGGAAATTCTCCTTCTTCCAACACTGGAGCTGGAGAAGGTGCCCGAATCTCTGGCTCTCGCGTCGACTCTCGGGGCAACTCCAACATTGGTTCTGATTCTGGCTCAAACACCTTCTCTTCCTCAAAAATATCCATGTCAACCCCAGAATTCCTCCTCAAAACCTCCATAACCCTCTCATTCCTCTCCTCCTCCTCCCTCCTCCCATCCATCTCTCTCCTCTTAGTCGGCGTAGGCGTATCCCTAAAAAGACTCAACATCCTGACCTCCTCGACCTCAAATCCTCCCAAATCAACCGGTACATCTGGCTCAGCAGCCCTAAAATCCGTCCAAAAGAGCGGTTTATAGGCCAATTTCTCGTTCTGCTGCGCGACTTGACGGAGTAGGATGTCGATTTCGGGCATGGTGCTGTTTCGTTCGGGTTCTGGTTCTGAGCGTAGGAGAGCGAGAGTTGAGGCGAGGGGTGCGCGAGTGCTTTGGGGTGGGAGGAGGGTTGCGAGGGAGGTGATTGAGGGGGTGGGGAGATGGGGCGAGGGAATTGGTGGGTTTATTGGTTCGGGAGTTGCTGTGTTGAGAGTTTGTTGGAGAGCTGGCGAGGAGGGTGGTGAGGGTGATTGTTGTGTTTGTGATTCTTGAATAAGGACCCTCGCAGGAGAGGGAGGCTCCTCGATGTCGAGACTTGGTCGGGATGGCTCTTGTTGAATTGGGACAGTATTTGGTAGCGGGAACGTTGGCTGCACGTCTTCTGAGGCTCGCGCTCTGAACTCTTCTACCAAGAAGGTCTCCTCAACAGGGTCTTCAAACGGATTTATTACTTCCTCCCTCGGCGTCACATTTGCAAAGCTTGTATTTCCGGCCATAGATTGACCTCGTTCATCAACAACAGGATCCGCGAAAGGTCCCATGTACGGGACTGGATCCGGCACCGGAGCGATAAATGACAGTCTCGCAGCTTCAAAAATATCGACACTGCGTTTCCGTGGCGCTGCCCAAGTGGACGGCGTAGTAACAACCGTATTAATACCACCAGCCATGAGCGGCCAACCCGTGACTTCCTCCGTAGGATCCTGGAAAGGATCATCCTCCTTCGCCGTGAAGCTTAAAGTAAGAGGCCATGCAACTCCTCTAGCAGGGCTCACATCGCTAATCTCCTGAATCTCTGCACTGGGTGATGCTTTGAAGGTTGGCTCTCGAATGGACGGTTGAGCAGGAGGCGGTGCATCTGAAGTTTTTGGCGGGTTGAACTTAATCGTCATCGCATTCCCAGTTCGGAACGTCGAACTCATGCGAGTAGGAATATTCCTCGGGCTCCGGGCAACATCTTTCTCGTCCAGATAACTGTCACGATCTTTCCTGTTCTTCATGCGGATTATGAGGAAGTAGAGAGCTAAACCGAACAGGATCGAGCCAACCACAGCACCGACGATGATTGCTGCCAATTGAGCTGGGGTGAGAAAGGTGGTTGGTGGAGCGTGGAAGATTGGTTGACTCTGTGCTGTTTGTGAGAATAGGATGAGTAGGGGAGGAATGGGGGTCTCACTGATGAAGTTTGTGAACTGAGAGCTTGGCCATTTGAAGCTGCTGACGCAAGAATTGAAGATGCTTGTGCTGCCGCTGATCCAGTTGCTGAAGCAAGAGCAGCTTGAGCCGCCGCTATAGCATCGGACGCTGACGCCTAGTGCGGCTCGTCAGAAATGTATGAATATAGCGGGATATCTTACCTGAATCGAAGATATACTAGCTTGGAGCAGGGCCAAACTCGCACTAAGGCTGGAAACATCAGTACTGGACGCCGACGATACACTCGACAATGCCAAGTTAACACTGGTAATTGTCGATTGAGCAAGATCCAGATTCGAACTAGCAGATGCAATGGCTGTGCTTGCGCTTGCTTGAACACTCGTCAACGCGAAATTCACACTCGTCACAGCCAAGTTGGCGATTGTAAGACTGGAAAAGGCAGATGATGTTGCGATACTGGCACTTTGTACCACCACGGCGATTGTGGAAGTAGCTGAGTCTTGAGCCGACTTGATGCCATTGGAAGCCGATATCGATGCTTGCTGGAGTTGTTGAGAGAATGTGGCATTAAGTGCGATGATCGTCCTTGAAATTTCGACTGTTGCTCGATTGACAGATGCAGTGATGAGGTTGGAACAATCTTGAGGATTATTTTGACGAAGTTCGAGAAGAGCGGGCGTGGTAGTGAGCGAAAGATGACCCTTTGTCGTACTGGGTATCATTGATTTTGATGACAGTGAAGGCTGAAAATTATTGTCGAGTATTACATTTTCCACATTATGAAAGACAGTACCGAGTAAAGAGCGACGTTCTTCCAGAGAGTTGTCGACATCGATGTGACCAGCCATCGAGAATATTGGACAGGATCAACCCATACCTAGATGGCTTTGATGATGAGAAAAAGTCATGGCAGTCGCCAGATGGAAAAGAAAGAAGAACCCAGTGACTCGGTATCCTCGAGCTCCCCACCGCCGAACCAATCTCATCATCATCCGATCGAAACAAATGGAGTCCTCTTATGGAACATTTCTGCGACCTTGATCTCCTGATGGCTCTTCTCCACGACGAATCGCTTATATCAGATGGCAATATTGGTGGAAACGTTCTCACGTCAAGAGATCTGCAAATAAAATCTCCTAGATTTCTGCTCGTTCGTTGGTCAGAACGTGGAAACACAACGATGGTCGCTGTAGGTTGCATAAAGTTTTTGTCCATTGGAACCATATGCACGTTTCAATATTGCCTTGCCATACGGTTTGAAACAACGCCAAGGATTCGTCGACCTGTAGGAATAGATGGCAGAGAAAAAGTAAAAGCATACACTCGCAACCACGTTATCAGATGTCTATGCACTGCACATCATAGACGTGGACGTGTGGAGAAGGAGCAGAAGGAAGTGGTAAGTAGACGATGTGTGATTAGGTAGGGTATTGGTTTCGGTTATCTCGGGAGTATCTCCTCAGATCAGAGAAATGCTGGCAGCCACACCGATTGGAGCCCCACGTTTAAGTTTGTCGGAGAATACTGTAGGATTCATGAGCTTTTGTTTGACGTCGCAACAAACGGCTCTGCATGCGAGCTGTCCTTGGGATATCGCGGGAAATACTTGCAAATCAACCAACCAACCAACCTGGACCGATGGTTCGAATAGAGCACGTGGTCTGGGCGGCATTCAGCAGCGAGTTTGTATTTCGTATTCGCGTTGGCGACGTGGATTATTATGCTTGATAATGGAAAAAAGAAGTTGGTGATATAGAGGTTTGATCCTCGTTTCGTTGCGATGACCCAATTCATGTCGCCGAGTGGATGTCATCGGGTGATTCTCCAAAAGCAACTGCAGAATCTTGGGACTTGATTTGTTTGTGAATCTGATGGTCAAGTTAAAGATTGCCAAGTAGACGCGTATTGGTGGTAGGGGAGCAAATCGATCGAGAACGCATGATGAGAGAGGTGACGGAGAATTGTAACGTAATGCAAAAGTAGAGACGGTGAAAATGTGCGAATGAACGAAGAAGGACTTGGACTTTGAGCCTTGACGTTGGAGACTTCAGCAGCACGACATTGTCTGTAGTTGACATCATTGTGAGTCGGAGCAGGCGGTGACCAAGAAAGGTCTGTCTGATAACTATAATGGATGACAGATGAAATGGAAAGTACAGGAAAGGTAAGACTACTTGGGCGATTTCTTCTTTGATATTGAGCGCCCCTTCCATTGACGGGTCTTTCAACTCGTCAATGGGAGGTGGAAGTTTCACGTTCACGTTCTCAGCGACCACCAAAGAAACCCCGCGAGTATGCATATACCTATCCACTGTGAAATCGACTCATTAATTCTTCTCTGGGTTTCCCATCATTAATTACTACAGCCTCGAATGAGAGGACGACTTACTGATTTCCTCTGCCCATCGCAGTTCATCCTCTTCATTGCGAACTCGTGACCGCCATCAAGATTGGAGAGCGAGGGTTCTCGTGACTGAGGCTTGTCTGTTTGACTTTCGTCCAGACTCTCGTCCAAAGCTGTATCCATCACCACTCTTGTCGACATCTCCAACCGCTTTCTCCCTCCTTCTGTTTCTGCGCTGACCACTTTTCTCCCTCACCTCACCTCCGACCTGTCTGTCACCTCCTGCAGCCTCCCGGCAAGCATCACCCTTCCATCTCCCAACACGGCACAACAGACTTTCAAACAAACAGCCGTGACACTTGACAGTTTGGAATCACTTGGTGTAGGTTTCCGTGCAGCTGGCGATGCATCTCGAAGCTTACTGTTGGCAATGAGGAATTGACAGCTCTTACTGGGCTGTCTGACCTGGCCTGGCCTGGCTAACGAGCGGGACGGCAAGCCAGGTTTCGATCCGCTGGCGAGTCCCTAGGCGAAGTCGGTCTCGGTGTCGGTACCTTGGTAATGACCCATGGCTCGGATGCTAACCAAGATCACTGAGATGAGGAACAGCGTCATATACAGTACTTCTAGTATGTATCTGTACGTACGAGGACTGCAAGAGCAAGGAGAAAGAAATACATCATCGATCATCGGTGATAAGGGGAATACCCTAATAACACCATCTCCATCCTCATCCCCGTTCTTGCATTGCATGTGCATGCGCGCACACACACACACACACACACACACACACATACACACACACAGGCATTCGAATTTGATGGTTTCCCAGCGTGGTGGAAACGAAGCGTCGCTGTCGTGGCGCATCATCAATGGCTGGGATCAACTGGAGACCCTGTACCACACCACCTCGAGGCTAGGGCCGCCCCGACAGTGCGCCGCTTGACTCCATGTGTGTCTAGCTGAGCTGGGCTGGGCTGGGCTGGGCTGGGCAACGTTGATGAGCTGTTGAATACTGTATCGTCAGTCAAACATTTGACTTTTTCCCCCAGCCTCCTCAATTTATTTTATCCAATTCAACTCTTGGGGTCCGACGAGCGGTGGCCATCTGCCGTGCGATCTGTAATTTACCAGCTTTGACTCCCGCCAAAAAAGACGCCGACCGAGACATTGTGTCAGCGCTGGGCACCCAACGGTTTGTGAGATGAGATGAAGTGTGATTAGGGACAGGAAGGAAATTTGATATGATGATGATGACGGAATTGGCGATCAAGATGTTGTTGGTTTGAGAGAAAGTGAGGAATGAGAACGAAAGAGGAACAAACGAATGAAAGCAGAAGTAAGTGATTCTGCTGTATATTGTATTGTGCTTGCCAGAGAGAGTGAAGAGAAAAGCGTCCGGGATATCGATGCACGGCCAAGTTGGTGCACCCGTCCGTCCTTCCTGCGTTCCTTCGTGCCTTCCCTGATCAGAAATCGCATCTGTACCTGAACTGGACTCGACCAAATCCAAGTCTCGGTGGTTCATCATCATCATCATCACTCACCCACACATTTCTTCACTCAAAACACCATCATCGCAAGTCCCCATCACCACCGCGAAATCTGCAATTGAAATCCCCCCTCACCGAGCATGATCTCTCCGAGCTTACAATCGCATTCGAGCCTTTCTGATCTGTTCCCCAGTGCGTGCAAAACTATTTGCATGCGCAGTGTGGAGGAAAGTATTGGGTGCCGTCTTCTCTGACGTGGGTTGGGTTGAAGCTCGAAGGAGGGTTTGGCGATACTGGGCGACACTCGACACCGAGCAGCAGCAGAACAATACGAACAAACCGCCAACACCGACCACGACGCGCATGCACACGGATTGAATCGCGAAGAATCGCGGTCCATGGTCGCCAGATCAAATACCATTGGATGTGTTTGTGCTTTATGATTGATTGATTTTTCTCGTGCGCGCGCTGCTGCGAAAATTGAAGCCTCGCCTGGCCTCCTCCATTTCACCCATCACGAACCCAGCCATCTCAATTCTTCGACCACCGCCAATTCGACTCCCAACTCTCGACTCCCTTTCACCACGCTCTTTTTCCAACACACCAAACTTCTTCCCAACCTTTCCTCTTCTTCAGATACCCACATTCCGCACTCCCGATCTGAGCAGATTGACAAGGAACTACCGACGGGCAGAAAAAGTGACACTGGTCATACCAATTGCTACACCATTGTTTGCCCTTTGAAGGGGAGATTGATTGCTCACCTTCACCTTGTCGACCTCTCCTCCTTCACCGTTGCTCGCAGCCGCGCTGACGACCCCAATCCCCTCACCATCTAACGACCCTTACGAAGCACACGATCACGACCCGGTTACGCCCACCCCAGCGCAGCGCCAGCAGCCACGATCTCTCCGCAGAACTCATATTGAAGCGACCTCTGCCGGCATCTCACCCCCTCCGCGCGTTCGCTTTGAGCAGGAACAACGGACAAGGAGTGAATTCGCCCATGATTTCGAAGACGACCTTACCTCTACACAACTAGCTTCCAGCTCGCAACAAATCTCGCCAGAAGCTGAACGCCGACCACACCGAGCTTTACGAATCTCAAAGAACACTGCAAGTGCGATCTTGTATGCTCTAGAAGAAGCTTTGCGACATCCCAACGCCTTCACACCGGATTTGGTCGAGGAGAACGCGCAGATGTCCGATCTTCTTGGTGGAGGTCCCTCGGCATCCGCTGGAAATGGGCGATCGAACAATGGCAGGACCGCACAACCTCCCCCGGGTACGACAGGCTCTCCGAGCGGCATCAAGGGTCCTCGGGATATAATGCGCGAGCGTCAGGCACGAGAAGCAAGACGGAAAGTGGAGCAGGAGCAGAAGGAGGCGCTCGAGCGCAATCGAGCCGCAGAAGAGCAACGGCAGATTCAAATTGAAGAGGAGAGGAGACGAAGAACGGCTGGCGCTGCGCAGAGAGGCAGTGGGGATACTGCACAAAGAACATCAGGAGGCACCGCCGGCGGACCGCGGATATCAGACAATTCTCAGCGATCACAAAGAACATCTGGTGGTGGAGCTCCAGGGAATCCAGCTTTACAAGGAGTTGGTCAAGGGGGAAGAGCTGTTGGTGGGGGTGAAAGTGCGGGCGGCAATCGACCAAGACCATCGCAAGCCCCATCACAGCCCAGACCGGTTCAGGCTGAAGCACGTGAAGGACGGGCAAAAGCAGAAGCGGGTAGCTCTGCGGGTCCTTCTGGAACACAACCAACTGCTGGAGCTGGTACAACCAGGTCTTCTTTTCCTCATGCATTTGAGCGATGGGAGACATTGTCTGCTCATTGGGAGGGTTTGACATCATTCTGGATTCGACGACTTGAGGAGAATAGTATTGAGGTCAATCGCGATCCTCTGTCTCAACAACTGTCGAGACAAGTTACAGATCTTTCAGCTGCCGGAGCAAATCTATTCCATGCAGTTGTTGAACTCCAGCGATTGCGAGCTTCCTCAGAGCGAAAGTTTCAACGATGGTTCTTCGAGACGAGAGCAGAGCTAGAACGAGCTCAAGAAATCCAAGCCATGACACAGGCAGCTCTTGAGCAAGAACGAGCAGAAAGATCTGGTCTGATTGAAGCAGCTGTTGCCAGAGACAGGAATAACAAGAATTATGAACAGCAGATTGCCACGTTGGAGAAGCAGGTTGCTGAAGGGAAGCGAGAGCAACAAATATCCAAGGAAGAGGCTCGACGTGCTTGGGAAGAGCTTGGAAGACGAGAAGAGGATGAGCGTGAGAGAACTGCTTCATTGCGTGATGGACAGCCGACTCTGGTCGGTGGTGTTCAGGTTGTGCCCATGATGCAAGGTGTACCAAGCAGACATGGAAGTACTCGTCAACCCCAGACAGGTACATATGCTGGCGAATCTGGCAGTAGTACCCAACCTGAGGGACCAGTCGATGAAGGTGGCTACTCGGAGTATGTTCGAGGTCAACGAGAGCCAGCTGATCCATTTACCACGACCACAACTGGAACATCCTCTCGTCAAACTCCTGCCACATACCCAGGGACACATCCAGCATTCACCAACTCCTCACCTCAAGGAGCAGCACCAGCCGTGCAACCAGCATCGACCTCAGGGTTCTATCAGCAGCATCAAGGAACTTCACTTCATCCCACAGAGGCTGAACGCAATCCTTCACCAGCCGCCTTCTCCGAAGAGGAGTATGAGATCGACTCCCAAGGTCAATTCATCCGAGACTCTCGCGGCAACAAAGTCCGCTACCAAGCCCCAGCATCAGACGAAGATGATGACGAATACGATGTCGCTGAACAACGAGAACGTGAAATCGCCAATCTCGCTCGATATGGTCAGACTTCTTCTGGACCAGCAGCAGTTACAACAGCTGGTAGAACTTCCGGACCAACGAGTGCTCCAAGCATGGGACCTCCAGTTGATTACACCGGATCAGCGTATGATAGTGCACCCGCTGAGTGGGCTGCTGTTCCAAGACACCATCATCCAACCCGACTGAGTGATGTGCTGGAGGAGGATGAGAGGAGTAGGACGAGTGCCAGCCAGGTTAGTCGGAGAGACTAATGGCCTACCGGTCCTGTTTTACTCGAATCCATAGACTTGTTTCAGGTTTGCTGCTGGGATCAAAGTTGCTTGGCTCGCGGTTGGTGTTGGGGGGATGGGCATTTAACACCGATTTTCTCATTCAAAGCAAGCAAATAAATAATATGCATCTGCATCTGCATTGCATTGCATCATAGGAGTCTGGTGTATGTATGTGTGTGTGTTTTTCGTGTAAAGCAAATTGAGCGTGCGTAGCTAGCGATGGTGCATGGCATCGAAAAGCGAGGAGCGCGGTGATGGTGAAAGGTGTATTTGTAGGATTGATAATGCTTGCTTGCTTGATTGCTTGCTGGGGAGTACGTAGTGAGGTAGTGAGGTATAGATATTTGATAGGGATAGTGGGGGAGGGATTAATGATTGAGATACTTATATGAAGTACGGTCTTGCTGTGATTTGATTGGAATGTGAATGTGAATGCTATGAGATGGCGGTGCTGGGGAGGGAGGGATGGGAATGAGGAGTGAGGGTGAGGAATGTTGGAGGTTGGAGGTTGGAGGTTGGTTGGTTGTGAGGTTTGTGTGCATTCCTTGGTGAGAGAATGTCAGTGTCAAGGACTAGCTATTTTATTTTTGTTGCACGTCACAGTTTTGCAACGGTCCTGATCTTATTCCTCCTCCTCTACCTCTTCTATCTCCTCTTCCTCCTCCTTTTCTCCTTCTTTTTCTTCTTCTTCTTCATTATCATCATCATAATGTGCGTTTTGTTGCACATCGCACTTGAGCAGCGGTCCTGGACCGTTGCTTGTTGGTAGACTGACTTGTAGAGTCCAATTTATTTATTTTTTTTGTGGCTGGCTTCTAGATGTATTAATTATAGTTCATAGAGCTTTTGTTACGTAGCTAACTTTCAATTTTATGTTTTAATGTAGGTACTGAAGTCTGATATCTGAGGTGCACAGAATATGCAATCCTCTCTTCTTGATTACAACCTAGATGATTCTGCCACAAAATAATGGAATCCAGGCTTGAGACCTCAGATTCATAAAACGTGGAGGCAATAAAAAAGTTTCTTCTAATCACAATCCCTCCGCTTCTCTTACGTCTGCTTCGACTCGTGGTTTGAGTGTCTAGGCAGAGTACTCGCAATGAGAAATACAAGCTTTGTTCTGCAGCAAATGGTGTTTGTATACATATTTTAGTGATTAATAAGATTTCTCTAATGGGTTTGGTGAAGCTCGTGCTGTAAATGAAGGGAGAGTTGTGACGAAAGGTTTTGAGCTACGTAGAAGAAAACGCGTTGAAGCTCAGTGTTTGAGTATTTTTTAAGCTTTGCACGACATTCAGAAAGGCATTCAATCTCTGTCTCAAACCCAAATCCCTTGCTTCAACCTTATGCAGGCGATTCGCAACAAAATATCTTTGTCCAATCACAAGCTAAAGTCATTTTCCGCTCCGTCCACGAGGGCCCTAACGGAACAACATTCTCCCGCCCCGAGAAATTATCCATCATCATTCAGTCTTCAATCAGCCCACAACCTCTCCGGCTTCACAACAAAGATGTCGAGACCAATACCCCGAATCTGGAGCTGCCTCCGCTCAACAGCATCTACGAGATCACAATTCCACCCTCCTGCAGCCGCGAGATGTCGGAATCTATCTACCAATGGAACGGGCTCAAATTCAAAGCTTAGGAGGAAAATGGAATTCCAAACGACACAAAAACGAACCTACAAAACCGTCCAAGAACAACGCTCCCGCTACCGCTCCGGCGTACGTCCCATCCCCTCCCTCTCCCCCTCCCTCCCTCCCTCCCTCCACCCGCTGACCCCCTCACAGCCCTTCTCCCTCCTAGCAGGAACCCTCTTCCTCTCCTCGGGCCTGGGCCTCGTCCTCTATTTCCGCCACGAAAAATCGCGCATGGAGCGCCGCCGCGTAGCCGAAGCCTCGAAAGGCGTCGGGCGTCCCAAGGTCGGCGGACCCTTCTCCCTGCTCACGCAGGAGGGGAAACCGTTCTCGGAGCAGGAGATGCGGGGACGGTGGAGTCTGGTGTATTTTGGGTTTAGTCACTGTCCGGATATTTGTCCCGAGGAGCTGGATAAGATGGCTGTTATTATTGATAGGGTGAATGAGGGGATGAACGGGGAGGGGGATGAGGGGAAGTTGTTGCCGATTTTCGTTACCTGTGATCCGGCGAGAGATACGCCGGCGGTGCTGAAGGAGTATTTGAAGGAGTTTCATGAGGAGATTGTGGGGTTGACGGGGAGCTGGGAGGAGGTTAAGGATATGTGTAAGAAGTATCGGGTGTATTTCTCCACGCCGGAGAAGACGGAGGGGAAGGATTATTTGGTGGATCATAGTATTTATTTTTATTTGATGGATCCCGATGGGGATTTTGTGGAGGCGATTGGGAGGCAGATGGGGCCCGAGGAGGCGGCGAGGTGTGTGTTGGGGTGGGTTGGGGATTGGGGGAAATAATGGAGGGGATCGAGGGATAGCGCGTGTTGTGGTGGAAGAATGTGTGCAAGGGGAAGGTGTATTATATGATTGCTTGCATGGCTGGGCTGCAGAGAAAAGGGTGTACATTATGGTGTGGCTTTGTACATGTAGAGGCTTACTCCATTCACTTGTAGGTCAAGTGAATCGAGAGGAAGAGAAAAATAAGAAAGATTCGCACCTCAGGCCACCACCAAATTCTCTCTGGGTCTATTTGGACAGACCCCTCCTCTATCCACCCTTCCTCTGCTCGGAGAACTACATCTACAAAGACAAGAACCCTACATGTGTCTCCTGGTGCGTTCCACTGAGCATATGTCCGGTGAGCTCATATATCTTTTACCATGTCTCCCCCCCTACAAAACCTCAGCGACGGACTCAGTACCACGCTCAGGCTAACTCGATTCGATTAGGTGGTGGCAGGGGACAAAATGGCACACTTAAGCGAGGAATAATGATATAATAATAGAATTTGAAGCTATCCGCATGCGTACAGGCCCAATTTAGCTGCTCCACATTCCTGAATCCACCCCCTGCTCCAGCTCCTGGTCCATTCCCCCCAGTCCCTCCCGTACTTCCATTCTATCCGTTTTGTACCGATATCCTAGCTTTCCCTTTATTCTAGTCCTCCAATCATATGTAGTGTAAAGTCTTAGTGAAAAATCGAGGAAATTGTCCGGTAGGATTAATAACCACAAGTCCAACTTTCCCATCTCGTTCGAAAAAGTCAACGGCACAGAAGCCAAAAAAAAGGGTATAATCGTAGGTAAAGAGGTTCGTAGGCTCGAAGAGGTTTAAAAGGAAGTTCGTAAGCTCGAAAAGGTTTGAGAGGAAGTTCGTAGGCTCGAAGAAGTTTAAGAAAAAGTTCGTAAAGTAGATTAGGAGGTTGGATCGATGCTTTCGGGGTCGTCTTCGCCATAATTATCGATATGCTCAATATCCCTGTACTCGGTCTAAGACAAATATTAGTACTAGTTCATAATAACATTTGTATTTACCTTATTCATTAAATAAAAGGTTTTCCCGCCTTGGGGGCCATTTGTAACTTTAAACTACCATATTCTACCAAAACCCTTAGCTTGTACTGAACCAAAAGCGTTATTCTAAGGTTATATTTATCAAAAATAGCCTCCAACAACTCAAATTCCTCTTCCCAGCCCCTTTCTGGCCAGTCAGGCTTAGTCTCCACCAATGGCGCGACGAATGGTGCTGTTTCCGGCTTTACCGATGCCTTTAGTATATACTATGAGCATTTAATTTAATATTCTACGCCATACTAATTGTTCGCAGCAAGATCTACTACTACTAGTACCCATAGTACGTACTACTAGTATTTCTAACGTAGCAGTACTAATTTAGGCTAACTACTTCTACTCTAGTCGTTTACTATACGAACACCACCCTAGTTAATTTCCTTCCTAGCGAATCAGACGAAGAATATATCGAAAGGCGCAAAGGGGAAAGTGCCTCGGTCGGAGGAAGGGCACCTAGAAAGGGTTAGTTCTAGGGGATGGGACATTCTACAAGAATATGGGTACAAAATAAGGCACAATGGTTGGTTCTCAAGGAGAGGAATGCTCTCGCCAATGGCCTTGGCAAATTTTTTCTCGCATTTACCCTAAGAAAAGTGAAATTTAAGGTTTCGCCCATACAAATTTGGCACCTGTGCAATTGGCAAAATGGCATAATTTTGGTGAGCGTGGTACTCAGTACCACGCGGCGTGGTACTGAGTCCGTCGCTGAGGTTTTGTAGGGCCCTCACTTCTCTTCTAAGATCACTGCTTGTAAGACGACCGTAGGAGAAGTGTAGCGTCGACCAGACTCGTCTCCCTCGGCCAACAGAGCTGGATAAATGATACTAATCCTTGTCAGCTATTATGAATTGATGACAATGACAATACATACATCTTATCGTTCGCCATATTTTCTTTTGAATTCAAGAAGTCCGGGGACATGATAGACTTTGCATGCTCTTTGTTGAGACTTGAGGCATAAGGTTAAGGTCACATGACCTGAGTGTTAAAGAAAGCTCTAGAAGAAGTCGAGAGCTTAAGAGCTTACAAATCCAGTGAGCAGCAAAGAAGGTGCTAGAAGGTATTTCAAGTCTATATATACTGAGTACCTGTCCACTGTAGTAGTAGTTCTTTAGTTCAGATAAAATCGATGTAGTTAAGCCCAACAACACTCTTGAACTGATCGAATATCATCCGGACGATCATTCTTCGAGATTCGTTGCAATGGGAACGGCCCTTCCATAACGCCTACGTGATTATAACTCCAGCACCATCTCCTCAAATCCTTGTGTATTGCCAAGCCTATAAGAGATGCCAGATGGCAGCATCTGTGTAGCGTCTCTCTTGACACATCGTCAAGCTCGACCTGATCACGAAGTAAATCCACGATGAAACTCTTCAATTTCTCGATAGCATCTTTGCTTGGTGGTGCTTCGCCTAAATCTGCAAGAAGAGTATCGCATCGAGTGTACGTTGGCCATAGCATATTCACGAGATATACCCTTGTTTTCTCCCAACCCCATGTCTTGAACGAGTCTACGGAATTAGAACATGTTAGTGTCTAGAGGGTGTGGCAGGGCTAGGTGACGTACCAAGAGAAGTCTGATCTAACACGTGTGCGAGTGCAATGTATTCGGGGCATAATAGAGTCCAAATGGGAGAGCCGCGCAGTTCAATGTTCGTGATAAGCAATCGATATATGAGTCCTTCTAGGGAAAGTATTCGAGTCCGGGGGGTATCAGAACCATAAATGTGTTTCAAGTACTTGAGGATTGGAGTGTGTTCTTCGGTTGGATAACACTGCTGACGGAGAAATTCTTCAACTCGAGTTGGATGATAGGTAGTCGACTTCCATGCGCACCGGTGTACTTGTGAGGCCAGTCGATTGGTATAGAACTTCAAATCTTTGATGCGTTTGAGAAGGTATGTTATCGATGCATCAGTAAGGAGTTGCTTCTCGGCTTCTTGAAACACTTGCGGTTGAGGCGCCCACAGATCACGGGCAGGCGGTTGCTGGTTGGGGCGATCTATATCCTGAGAAATCGGGCGTGTGGCTCTCAGGCGTCGAATGGAAAGGAATCGCACTAGCCACCAAGTTGCGGCAGTACTGATGGTGACGGCGACGAAAACAGCCACAGAGATCCATACTGCCAGCATATTTATGGAGACTTGCCTCATCTTTCCTCGTTGTGTCTGCTGCTGCTGCTGCTTTTCCTTTGCTGCTGTGGTTGCTGATGTCGTTTTTGTCGGTTTCGTTGCGGGAAGCTTTAGGTCGAGGTGTGGAGGAGAATCGATGGAGGCGTATTGTGAAGGTCAAGTATCTTGGCTTTCGAGAAGGAGAAATAAGATCAAATCTACGGTCGTCTTTGTATTTGCGTGCTTGCCCGTCGATCTGATTTCGGGTCTTGGAAAGTGCGAAGTAAAGTCAAGCGCTTGTGTTTGTGTGAATGTGTGTTTGTTGATAGAAAAGCAAGCACAGAGATACTTGGTTACAAATACCTTGCGTTTGTATTCACCTGTTTGTATGTTCACGTGAAAGCAAGCATAGCTGCGACGCGATAGGTTACACTTATGACTGTTCTTGTATTTCAGCACGTGTTTACTTTTTGATGTGAAAGCAAGCACAGCCTTATAGCTTGTTTGTGGGTTTGCGTGACACGGGAAAGGCAAATGCTAAGAGACAATCAACATGTCACGGCACGAGAACGGCCCTGAAATTGATCGATCATCCTAGTATAGCAAGCATTTGTTCGAGAGGTGATTTGTATTATTCATCCTTTTTTTGTTATCAAACTAAAATAATCTAGATGCAAATCAAACAATAAAGCTCAAACAAATTCAAAGAGTATTCGAGAGCGTAGAGTAATTGACAGTCAAATATGCCACTACAGCTTTCTTGTGAATCACAAAGTCAAAAGCATTCACAACGATATTGACCCTTTGTCGCACCACATCTTGTGTATTATACATCTATTGTCACTCAATATCACAATATTTGAAGTCGCCCTCCAGCCCACGTGCTATTCGCATCAACAGAAATATGGGGGAGGAGAAGGCATTCAGCTCCCAGCTCCACATTATCCTCGATCTCGGGATGACAGGCATTTGTGAGAGCCCGGCAAGCATTCTAACTTTGGCTTTAGCTAATGCCCCCCTTCTCTAGCTGTCTCTTATATCAACGCCACCACCAAATCTGAGCGATTTCTAGTAACCAATATTACTTCTTGGCCATGCGAGTTTCGCAAACAATCGGATGTGATAAAGTCTGACGGCAATGCCCCTCTTGACAAGTTCCCAGCGTGCAGGACCAAGTTGGGGGGACATGTCTGGTACGGTTACGATAGTCTCGACAAGCTTGACGAAGGCCATGTTCGGGAAGGCGAATTTCGCGAAGGCTTCAAGACGACTTGTCTAACCGATTGTGGGCCTGAAATGGGTGACATCAACCAGTGGCGCAAAGACTACCAAGACTTGATCGCCCACGTTCTTGGGTATGTTCTGGTGGTGATACTAGGCAACGAGGAAGTTTACGATGCCAGCAATCCTTCGATCACAATCCACTTGACAAAGCCGTCTTCCTGGGACCAGGATCCGGAAGCAAAAAGCAATCAATACAAACTCGTCCACAATGCTGCTGTGCAATGTGGGATCAAGCCTAGCTTGCTGACCGTTCATCAATCACCGGAGTTGGACGAGGGGCAATGCTCCGCTATCGCAATCGCCCATGAGGCGTCAGAAAAGCTCGTTCCAGGAAGTTATTACTTAATCCTTGATCTTGGAGGATACACGGCTGATTTTTGCATTGTCCAAATTGGCGCCGGCAACCAGGTGGACCTTATCACTTCTATATCCAAGAATGTCGGCACCAATCTTATCGATGCCGCACTGGCCAAACTTTTGCTTGAGAGAGCAGAATCTGAATCCCCTTCATCAACGCCACATGAACGTATGGCAAAAGCGTCGAAAGTAGTTCACGGTGCTGAGTGGTCGACGCTTAGAGAGAAGGGCTAGGGTAAGTTCACAGATTTGGTCAACACTGGGGATACTTCGGTTGGTGCTTGGGGCAAGTTTCAGGAAATTTGCCCTGGCTTTGGAAAGTATGTACCGAACCCATTACTCCTTACATGTTGATATTGATTATTTGCTAGAAATGATTTCATAGAACTGTTCAACCCTTACCTTTCACAGCTCGATACATATCTACGACAGGCTCTGAATCCGAAACAGCCCATCAATGTCTTCTTTGTAAGTACTTTCAGTTTAATGAAAAATTGTAGTGCAGTGTAGCAATCAAGGCTAAAACCTCTTTCAGGAAAAGGTATACTTAACAGGAGGAGGAGCAGGGATTGAGAGAGTCGCGGACTGTATCGAGACAACACTGCATCATAAAGGTCTTCGGTCCACAATGAACAGTAAGATTGTTATTGACAAAAATGCGTAATTTAACCCCGATACCTCGAACATATCAAAACCCTCTAATGAAATTTTAGACGATTCTCTGTTAATATAGGCTTACAATCACACGTCCAAGAAAAGCTGAAAGACAAGAGGAACCATTGGATCAAATGCGATCCATTGGTCATAGGCTACCAGAAATCAATGATTCATCCAGAAATCCAATGGTTGGATGGGGTCAATAGACTATCCGAAGATGTGGACTGCAACGATCCGTCCAGAAAGGTACTGTACTAAACCCATTTTAACCGTGACTTGCACTTACCTGTAAATTAGCTACCAAAAGACACCTATTGTATCGCGAAGTTGGAAGGTACGAGATCGAAGCTACATATTAGATCATATTGTGTGGTCAAGGCTTTTGATTCTGGTAAGCTAACGTGGTTCATGCTTACGTCCTCATCCTTTCTCTCTTCATAAAATAACACTTTTTAGCAAAGATAAGAGAACATCGCTTCAAAACTTCGAACAATATACCGTCAGCCCTCGGCAAGAAAACAAATATCTCATTATATTTTCTTCTCGATCAAGAGCAGCGCCTTATAGTATGGTGCCAAAGTAATGATTCTAATGGAGAGTCATGGTACGAAACTACAGTGCCTCAGCTGTCTGTCAGCACAATTGTACAAACATCACGTTACTGTGATTGTGTTTTCAATTTCTTCAATTCAATGTACCGTAAACAAAACAAAGTCCATACTGTTTCATGCTAAAGCCTAAAACCACTAGTAGATCAATATACCTCCGGGCGCTTCTAACTCCAATCATTCATTCCAACGGCCAATCCTCCGGCCTAGCTGGATTGGATGCCTATGGATCAACACTAGTGAGATCCTTCACGCTTGAAGGAATAGGACGAGAACTTTGTTGGCTTGAAGTTAATACCGATAATGCTTGCGATTGACCAGAAGTGGTGACTTGAGTTGAGGCTGAGCTCGTGATTTTGGTCGATCGAGCTTGACTTGCTGTGATTTGAACGGGTCTGGCTTGGGACTCTATGCTAGAGGAAGTACTCTGGGTGGAGGTTGGCATCGACAATGATTGTGATTCGATAGGCGTGATAGTTGAAATTGGGGTTGGGCTTGTAATTGTGGTCGATGGAGAGAAATTGGTTGAAACATTTTGAAGGGTTACGTTTTGCGACCTGGTATCGCGAGACGTCTTTTGGCTGGAGCATTGCCGCGATAAACTTGGTGATGGAGTCAGTCTAGATGGCGTGGGTGTAGAGCTCGTTGTACTAATCGATTGAATATTTCCACCAGATGCATTGTCAGAGGTTAAACCTTGCGATCGGGTGTTTTGAGATGTTCCTTGGCGTGACGATTGTCCCGATGAAGCTGCTGGGATAGCAGTTCTTAAATAGCCGGTCAAAACCCGATTAGGAATGGGAACCTGGGCGAATTTTATGTCGACAACTCCAAATTCGGGCCTCGGAATTTTCTGCCTTTGGTAGTGTCTGTCACATTCCAGACATTAGTCATATTTCACCCATCAGTGGCTAATCCTGTAAACTGCTACTTACTCTGTAAGTTCTGTGAAGTCGTTCAAATACCAAGTTATCATCTCGCTACATATGTTGACTTCGATCGAGTTTGCATCGCTGATAAGATATTTGGTCTTCTTGAACCAACTAGCCTTTTCCCTATTCTCCATTGACTCTTCCATTTGCTCCATATAATTCGTAGCAGAGGTTAATCTTCTTTTCAAAATTTCAACCACATTGGGATCAATTCCAGCCACATAGTGATAGTTTCGAATTAACTTTAAGGTCAATTCCCATTTCTTGATCTTAGCGCAAATCCATCTCAGATTCCTTGACTGACCAGTAATCGATGAATATCGGCCCCATAGTTTCTCAAGAGCTTTGAATGCAAGAGGCAAAAAGATAGCAAGAAGTGCCACAACTGACATCATGCAACGAAAACTGGATTCAATTTCAGATGTGGACTCTCAAACTTAGGGTGAAAATTGAACAAGATATATATTAAGATTGTTGGTTTATTAGAGTCATACTATTTCCTAAATTACTCATACTATGTAGGTACAAGCTAGAAAAATAATCAAACAAGCATTGCTCAAAGACAACGAATCTCTAAGATTGATTGCGCTGTGTTGCCTAAGCTGTCGGAAGAATAACAAAGTGAATAGATCAGACATCAAACATCGAAAGCGAGTGCGACTCAGTCTCGAATCTTTCTTTGTCACACATGGTTCTGGTCATAGTGACAGATGTAATGGTGATAGAGCGGTGGTCACTATAGGAGGAAGTGGAATCGAAAAAGGGAATTAACTTAGAGAGAATTTCCTTCTCTGGCAGCTATATTGCACATTATCTGCAGATTGACTTTGTAATTGCCTAAAGGTCCTGCCCGTTTAGAGGTAAAATACGTCATTTCAAGCCAAAACCTGCAACGCTGCTGGACTTAATTTCACATGAGAGCTAATTGAGAGAACATCAGAATAACCCCTCACAAACGTACAATGAGAGCGAAGATCTCCAGTATGGCGACTTGCCCGACTATGATCCCGAGAAGGACGAAGATCCACCGCATTTACTGGTATGCTGCGGCACCGACCGACCACGGAACAAGTCGGGCGGCGTGCTGGTAACGGCATCTCAGTCTGGACCAGGCTTTGTCACAGTTCATGATTATATCACGACCGTGCATCCTTGGTTGATGCGCAACCGCGACGACATCTTGGACGCCATGGACCGCCGGGAAGATCTGCCTGACCCGGAGGATATGGATCTCGTGGTGGACGCCGTATTTCCAACTTGGTTGAAGATCAGAGAGAAGTCGGAGTGGGTTAATGAGCTGAGCTACCGATGCCAGCAATTTGCGAGTATTCACGATCTTGAGACTAGTGCTGTATGAACGGTTCTCGAGGTACTTGCAAAGAGAAAACGTTTGATGGAAAATATTCATTCATTATACTACAGGTTATGTAACTAAACGGTGGCATGCGTATACATTTCAAAATCCATCTCTTTTAAAGTCACTATTTGGCCCTAGGAGCTGCCGTCGCGGAGGCGCAATACGAGCTCTCAAAGGCAAGTATGGTCGAGATAGCACTCGTATCCGTGCCGCAGACAGTATTAAAGCAGTCTCGAATACCGTAATAAAAGTTGATGTTTTTGTAAAGATATGACGGATCGGCGGTTGCGCATCCCAGACTCGAATATTCAGCCAGCACCGAATTAAAACATGTCTGGCCACAAGAGGGCAGAGCCTCAATTCCTGTCGTTGTAGAGCTTGAAGTTGTCGATGCGGTACTTTTTGAGACCGTGCTGCTCGCTGTAGTCGTAGTTGTAGAACCCTAAACTATTCTAATTATGCAGTACAGGTCCCAAAATCCGGCTGACGTAGATTGTTTAGACTACAAAACGCACTGGTGGTTCCGCAATTCCCTTTCACGGAACAGCAGTCTCCAAACGAGCTACCGAGACACATGGCGTTACTCGTAGAAGCAGAATTACATTTTCCATGTGTTGATACAGGCGTGCAAGTACCGAAACCTGCTTGGCATAGATTTGTCGTACCACAGAACGCCGGCGTACTTCCACAATTTCCTTTCACAGAACAGCAGTTTCCAAATGTGCTTCCTTTATAAGTTGCACCGTTGATGTTTGCACCACATTTTCCGTCCGTCGAGGTAGGCATAGATGGTTGTGTCGTTGTAGTTGTGGTTTTGGAGCTCGCGATCGCCGAGCTGCGAGTTGCTAGCGCTGATGAGCAGTAGGCGGTCTCATAAGCAATGACGGTGCTGGCAATATCAGTTCCACACGCTCCATTTGAACAATCTCTGATACCATAGCCAAAGTTTACGTTGCTGCATAGACAAGACGGATCAGGAGAGCTGCAGCCAAGGGATGAATACTGCCCGATCAGATTGTTAAAGCAAAGTTGGCCACACGATGGCCAAGATGAGATAGCTGGTAATGTCAAGGTCGAAGATGATGTACTAACGGAACTACTTGTTTTTGCAGTCGAGGAGCTCGTCAGACCACTCTTTGTCGTAGTCGAGGAGCTCTTCAATGAAGAACTTGTCACTGTATTACACGTCCCCCACTCCGGTTGACTAAGTACCAAGTTAGCATACTCTCATCGAAGAGGACGACTGCGCCGTCTGAATGATTCAGAATGAGACTCACCATCCAACCCCGCATTCCGAAGGGAGAGATCCGCAAACATTGTCTTGATTGCAGCAATTGCCCCAAAGTGAGCCACAGCTCGTACTATTTGCGGCTCCGCAGGTTCCGTCGGTCGAGTTTCCTTATGACCAATCCGGAGGCGTCGGGGGCGCAATTGCCCACGTACAATTGCCGGACTGGCATGAGTCCGTGGCACAAAAGGTCTTCTATATTAACATCAGATGCTTTCGTCGGTCTCGTCTCTCACTCTCTGTAAATTCTCTCCTTCTCCCACTCCTTTTCTTTTGCCCCTTTATCCGACTCTGTCCCGAGTCGTTCTTCAATCGTGCCACTCTAGCGAAGAAGATGGCCTTCTTCAAAGTTGTGGCCTGCGTTGCGGCGTTCTTTCTTTCCGTGAGCCATAGTCAATACACTCAGGACTATGAAGCTTATGCTTTCCTATTACCAAGTCCGCCTGCTGGCGGAAACCCCGCTCAAATTCGATACAGGTTGTAAGTAAACTAGGACTCAATTCTGACGCAGCTAACTCCAAATCTCTCAAGCCGGCCCACAGGAGGTCATAACCCAGCCCGGGTCATCGACCTCGAGTTAGCAGGCATCACTGTGACACTGTGGTACAACTGCGCTTACATGAACAACATTTGCGATAATGCCGATAACTTTGCAAGCACGACGCGGGGTGCAAGCCTACACACCGTGAGCAATGTGCCTAATAATAAATATGGTTACGACTTCAGCGGTATACGGAAAGACAGGAAGCGCGACAGAGTGTGTCCTTCGCCTGATTGGGCGAGGCGTCCTGAGAATGCTTGCCCCGCAACTCTGGCACAAGCACCCTTCAGGAGTGACAAATTATGGTGGACTCCAAATTTGGAACCCGGAACAACAATCAACCAAATTGCGAACCAACGCAGTCTCGCCACGGGCCAAGTCACTATCAACTCGGGGATCCGATATACGTGTGACGAGTTCCCGCCGGCCAGCTGGGTCGAAGGGGGCAACGGAGCGTATGGGACAAGCGCGGGCACTACGCGGTGCGCGGCGGCGCGATGTTCTCCTGGTATTAATGCTGAGCAGGATTGTACGCAATCCCAAGTCTTCCTCAATTCCTCAATTCTCAACTCCTCAACTCCTCAACTCCTCAACTCCTCAGAATAACTACTGACCCTCAACGTCACAGGGCAAGGCTTTTCACATCAAAAATAACGTATTGCGTTGGAGGCTCTGACCAGAGCAGATACTGCTCTGGGGGACGGCCCATTCAACCCATCGAACAGTGTCGTCTTCTTCCGCTTTCGAACGTATTACGAATTCGACTACAAGGCTACTAAAATTATAACAACCTTCGCCCCACCAACAGCTTCAGTAGAAGTGGCTACTCCTGCTAACAAACGTGATGAAGGATCCGCGAATGTTACAGCACCCCTCGGCCTTGATCCTATCCACAGCATGACCATGGCAGAAGTCGATGCTCTCGTAGCAGCAGGCTTAGCACAAGAGGATTTTGTACATGCGAACGTGACACACTTCGAGTCCCTGGCGTCGAACGGGACCATGCAGCCACTCTGGGGAGATTTCCAGCCGGATAGCATTTCCAGTTTTGGGGCTGTTGGTGTTGATACGACCAAACCGGTCAAGGTCTAGGTCACGCAGAATAAGCGAGCCCCTGTTGCCAGAAGGATCTCGGACGACCGCATCACGCCCCTGTGGAAGAGAGCGAGCCCTCAAGACCTCGACAATGCTCGTCTTGTTGTTCAAAGCGCGCTGAATCAGTCATCCAAGTTAAACCAAGCACGCCTGGCAAAGCCGCTTCGCAATATATATGGTCTCCGGCCCGGGACATTGTGGGCCAAATGTACTGCTCCGTCGCCAAATATCACATTCAACAGCGATGTCACACCCCTTCTGACATTCACTCCCGAGATCGTACAGGCTGCTGCCCTCGTGGCCGAGGCTGATGCCGTAGCAAACCCTGGGAATGTGACCAGGCGCGCCGTGTCAGGGTCATACTGGATGGAGCATCTCGCTCGGAAAGGCACAGTACCCTGGGGGAATGATCCAAACTATCGCGTGTTCCGCAATGTGGTTGACTATGGCGCTGTTGGGGACGGAGTCACTGTAAGTCAATCAATCGAGGCCATTATCCGCTACTCGTGCTAACGCAGCTTCTTCCAGGACGATACCACAGCAATTCTAAGCGCCATGAATAATGGGACGCGATGTGGTAAAGACTGCAATGGTTCGACGACCAAGAACGCCATTGTGTATTTCCCCCCCGGAACCTATTTGATTTCGAGCACCATCCCCCTGCCATTTGGGACACAAGTTATTGGCGACGCTATCAATAGACCGACCCTCGTCGCCTCCCCGTAGTTTGTCGGTCTCGATGTCCTATCGACAGACGAATATACCGGTGGAGGGGTGGGAATTGATGGGGGGGATCAGGAATATTATGTCAATACGGCCAATTTTTACCGGCAGATTCGAAACCTCATCATAGATATCTCAAAGACCCCATCGTCCTCGTCCTCTGGAGCCGCACTCAGCCAGTCCTGCATCCATTATCAAGTTGCGCAGGCCACTAGTCTAGAGAATGTCGAGCTCATCGCAGCAGCGGGTTCGAACCAGGTGGGTTTGTACGCGGAAAATGGAAGTGGTGGTCAGATCTCCGACGTTACATTTACTGGCGGTGCCGGCATTTATGGGGGGAATCAACAATTTACAGCCCAGCGTCTTACATTCAACGGGTGTACTACTGGTGTCCACTTGATCTGGGACTGGGGTTGGGATTGGAAGTCTGTTACTATGAACAATGTGGGTGTAGGATTTCAGCTCACAGCCGATAAGGGTGCGGTGGGCAACATCGGATCAACCTCCTTCTTTGACTCGTCCTTCACAAATGTCGGCACAATTGTTGTCATTGCACCACCATCGTCGACTCCCGGATCAGGAAGCACGGGCCTTGCCCTCGAGAATGTCAAACTCTCGGGAGTCACTACCGTCGTGGCAGATACCACTGGTGCAGTGATCCTCGCCGGTTCATCAGCCACTGTGGACGAATGGGCACTAGGACCCGTCTACGAGGGCTCAACGACGGCTCGCTCATACTCGACAGGAGGCAAGATAGGGAGTTATAAATTACATCAATCTCTCCTCGATGCTAACGGAAACTACTTTGAGCGTGCCAAGCCTCAGTATGAAGATGTCGATGTTAGCAGCTTTTTCCATGTCAAAGACGCTGGTGCCACAGGGGATGGGTCGACGGATGACACAGCAGCTTTTCAGGCAGCGCTGTATTCGACTGCAGCAAAGGGGCTAGTCTTGATTGTCGATGCCGGATCGTATATATTAACCTCAACCATCACAATACCACCAGGAGCGCGGATTGTCGGAGAGACTTGGTCTCAGCTTGTTGCTTCAGGCGCATACTTCTCAGACGCGACGTAGGTTCTTTCCATCTTATCTATGATTACTAGCGAAGTGGCCTCTTACTGACGAAACCTTTAGCAATCCTCATGTCCTCCTCAAAGTTGGCCAAGCCGGAGAAGTCGGCTCTGTAGAGATGCAAGACCTCTTGTTCACAACTCGCGGAGCTACTGCTGGTTTAGTTCTAGTCGAATGGAACATCGAAGCTGACGCTCCTGGATCTGCCGCTCTATGGGATTGCCACGCTCGAATTGGAGGCGCAACAGGAACCCAGCTGACGCCTGCCGAATGTCCTGCCGTGACCAGCGGCGTGGATTCGGATTGTAGTGCAGCCAGTTTGATGATGTATTTAACGTCCACAGGCTCGGGCTATTTCGAAAATATGTGGCTCTGGGGTTCTGACCACATGATTGAGTGAGTTGACTGCTTTCTGCAAATGAAAGTTTGGGCTAATAATACTTCTACCTAGCGACCCTGATTTGACTGATGCCAACAACACTATGGTACAAAATACCATCTACGTTGCGCGTGGGTTCTTGATTGAGAGCACCAAAGCGACCTGGTAAGCTTGCACTTTCAAACTTGAACGGGACGACACTAACTGAGCGGCTAAAAGGCTTTACGCTACCGCATCTGAGCACTCTGTATTTTATCAGTACAATTTCAATGGCGCTGCCAACATATTTGCTGGTATGCTACAGACTGAATCACCGTACTTTCAGCCGTCGCCGATGCCGCCTGCGCCCCTGCACAAACGTTGTCGGGACTTTTGCAGGTGATCCTAATTACACCTGTTCAGCCGGTAATGAGTTTAATGGGTGTGATGAGTCTTGGTCTGTTATCATGACAAAGTGCGAGAATATCTTCATTGCAGGAGCGGGCCTTTACTCTTGGTTTTCGTCTTATGCCCAAACTTGCATTGACACTCAGCTATGCCAGAAGACACTGATTCGCCTGGACTCCAATTACGCTAATGTTCGATTTCAAAATCTTATAACAATCGGGGCCAAGTATATGGCCGTCATGGATGGCGATGGCATTTTGGCTCTTGACAACTTGAACGTGGAAATTCATCCCCACTGGTCTCAAATAACGCTTCTCGATGTCGGCAGCAACGGCACACAGTTCGGTGAAGTCTCGTGGATTGACCCAGCTCTTTGGGAAATGGATCAGCCAGAAGTCGCGTGCTCCATTCCCTGCACACTTCGGCTTCCGGTGTGGCCCAGCGCGACTACTACTGTCAATTATCCCCTGATGACAGTCAGCCAAGGGACTTGGACCAGTACCATCACACAAGCTCCCCTAACTTTTTCACAATGGATTTTCGAGCTAGTCACCATCACTGAGGATGGGAGCAACGGCAAGATGAAACGTCAAACGAGTGGAGAGTTCTGGCTACTACGTCCCAATGGCCTGTCGTGCAATATACAGGCATTGATGGTAGTGCGTCCGCGATGGGTCCATCGGGCATCTTTCCTACCCCCCCGATTGTTCTTGGTCCTAATTCGCCTGTTACTGTTGATGGGGGTAGTTGGCCAAAATTGGCTGTCCGCTACATTTCCAACCTATATGATTCACCTCAGGTTGACCCATGTTCGGATTATAACTATGGGTGTATTCCAAATCCGTGGACCACTACTGACCCGCCTTGGACCAGCCCAAACCACCCAGATCCTCAAAATCCAAACGACGGCGATGGCGATAATGAGCCTTATAACGCGTGTCCGCTGTATGCCATAATCGGACCCCGTGATAGTAGTACCATCACCAGCGCTACCCCGACATCAACACCAACATCAACTACGGCATCAACGACAACAAGTTCGACGACGCCGACGGCGACAGAGATAGGCAACCTCATGCTTAACGTAGTCCATTGCTACAATAGCGGCGAGAACACGGAGGGCGCGCGAATGCAGAGTGCAGCCCAAAGCTTTTGCAACGCCATCGAATATGCTGATTTCAAGCAAAATTATTTCCACACGAGCGATCAGGCTTTTGACTACAACGATGGCATCGGCACAGTCACAATCACCCTATCATTCCAAATCAACACCGGCTGCACTTGAGTTTGGGATAATAATGAGTGCCTCAAGTACTTTAGTGTACCGACCGACAGTTGTAACTGTAAAGGGGTCAATGGAAAGCAAGGAGGGACAGTGACGAACGATTGCTACACTTGGAGAATCGATCCAAACATTAGTTTATAAGCTGAGATTATTTCTGATAAAGATATCTAATAAAGAATTAATAAATCAAACTGAAACGATTTCCACCATGTGTGACATAGTATGTGAGTCGTAAGTTTTTTTCTATTGAAACAAGTAGAGCTTGTCGCAATTTTGGTATTACAGAGTTCTCTTTCTTATAAGACAAGTGATCTTGCTTCTTGGTAACCTGTCAGTCAGTCTGACGAAATATGCATGAAGCACTAGATAGCATGGGATCTCCGGCTTCCATGGTACCGTCTATCTGCCAGCTGTTACGTCACCTCAACTCGCTACAAACATAAATCATGATGCAGCCCACCTCTACCATGTGCTGAAAATAAATACACACATGATAATTACGGAGTCCTCTTAATACAAGAAAAACGCATACTTGAATTGATATTTTGTATTACGCTCCACTGAATAGTAGAATATTTTGTAGTATGCATTAACTTTGGTAAATTGAATTCCTACAACCTTGAATTTCCTAAAACCAACTCCTCCAGCTTTCAAAAAGAATAAAGGCCCCATCACCTCCCAGGACGCTGCAGAAACACAAACACCTCAACTCTCTTTGTTTGCCTGCCAATGGGAAACGTGACATTTTTAGGGACGGCACCTTGCTCTGCGCGCCGTGAAAATATGAGACTGTACAGAGCACTGGCATATGGGTCTGGGATGATTTCCTCCCAGCTCGGGCCGCGCAGTTGGAAGAGTGAGGCCCCCATGCCTTTAAAGTTTTCCGATTTTTAAGCCTCGGACCACAAGAAGGTCGTGCTTGTAATCAACACCGAATTGAGAGTTGACATTGCCGTCACCATGTCGAATAGCCACACCACCCCTGCTTTATCCTCATCGTATGGTTCGCTCACCTCGTAATCTTCCTCCTCACTGTCCCCAGAAGATCTTCCACGGTCGAATCCTGGAACACTTCAAGATCATTCAACCACTTTTGTTCCTTTAAGTGCTCTCGCAATGCTTGCATCAAACAAGTGTGAACAAGTTCGCTAGAACTTCGTATACCGTCGACAACAACAACCATAAAGGAAAATATTAATATTATTTATGTAGTGCATTCATCGTAGTATGTGAAGGCATTTGAGGGGATATTTCGTAGAACTTAGCGAAAGAGAAATCTGCTACATTTAAGAACTATTAGCTAGTGTTTCCAGAATTTGAGAGATGCTAAGTGTAGATAGCTACATGGGATGCTAAACCGTACCTTCACTTCGGACTTAATCATCTTTGTAGTCTTCTAAAAATGTTTAAAGTCTATACTTTTGGCAATTGGAACGAAGTTCATGTTTGGGATCGACGTAACTAATTAATTTGTGCGTTCTAAATATAAAAGAGGCAACATATCAAAGGTACAAGAAGAGGTGTAAAACCACCTTTTGAACCATCCATACAAGGTCCAGAATCGAGTTAGAAGCCTCAGCTTCACGCGGGAATTCGTGAATCCAAGCGCCTTTCGAAATCTTTCGGATTGGAGAAAGATAATCGACGGGATAAGATAAGAATACACTCTCTACCGTGGCTTATACAGCAAAAAGAGCAATAGTTTAAGTAGCCGTGGGCATTAGATGCTCGGATGTCCTATTAAGGAGTTGTTGCTACGAAGTAAATATTGGGGTGTAGTAACTGTTCAGACGAGGAGACTTGCGAGTTATGGTGGTGATAAGGTAGCTAACGTCCATCCCTACGTGCCGGAAAACCCTACGTGCCGGAACGACTTCATGGTTTGGGGGTCACAAATCTCTACCACATAAATATATAAAGTTACAATTAGCTTACTATTATTCTTTAGCTATTTCTCTACAAGTGTTCAGTTTGTAGTAAGAAAGTACTATGGTTGTGATCATATTATCAATTGTCCCGTCGATGGCGTTGAAAGCACTGTTGGCTGTTCCCCCCTGCTCTATTATAACTATTGGCCTGTCTCTAAATTTCGGAACTATATCATGAAGCTCCTACCAAGAAAGAATATACCCCCAAAGTTTAAAGGCATAGAGCGGAAGGAAACCTTCATGCCGGATTTATCCGGACAAAGCTGAAGGAGGTACATAATACGCCAAGCATCTTAATAAGCGAAGGAGGTGCTTATATAATATTATATTTACAGTTACACTAAATTAATCGTATTATATTGCATATTACAGTAAAGTTCGAAATCGGCTTTAGTTCGGAAAACTCAATGAATTTATTTTTCAACCCACATTTTATATACACTAACCCTATGTAACATCCTTTTGCTCAGCCTTCCATGCATCTAAAGCTGTGCAGGATGATAAAGTATGTGGATGATTAAGTCCCAAGACACGTTTCCGTAATTGTACACATTCTTCCATAAGTCTTACAGCTTCGGTTTCTTTGCCGGTTCCTTTCCACGTAAATGCCAAGTTGTTCATGCTGGTCAGCGTGTCTGGATGGTCGGCGCCGAGTTTCTTCTTGCGCGTCTCCATCACTTGCACCTCCAGCTCTTCGGCAGCGT